GATGTGAACACAACGTTAGTGGGATTTCAAGAGGCACTGTAAAAATCAAGAAGTATTGTCAATATGAAATAGTGGGGGAAGGGAAGTTTAATGGCAATACGAAAGAAGGGAATGTGTAATTAAAGATAAAATATGGATGATTCTCAGAGACGCTGAAGGAAGTTCAAAAAGAGACAATTTGTTGAAATTTGGATAAAAATGTATAACTGTATGGAAAACCAATAAAAATTTATTAAAAAAAAGAAAAAAAGAATTGCCCTGCTGTGGTATTATGATACCATTACAACCTATGACTGTACACACCAGGGCATGTCAGTCTATGCTGACTAAGCACTACTCTAACCCTGTATTGGTTTAAAAAAAAAAAAAAAATTTATTAAAAGTTTCAAAATTACAGAAAAAAAGAAAAAATAGGAAACAACACTACAATACATAAAAAAGAAGAAAAAAAAACCAAAGCATAAAAACCAATACAACAATACAGCAAAAAGATTAAAAAAAACAAAAAAAAAACACAAATCCCATGTTACATATCTTTAACTTCCATTTGCTTGTTTCATTGACCTCCTCACACCTCCCTTTTTGTATTCTAGTTTAATTAGTTATTTCAGCAAATTCTTTCCATCTTTCTCAATTTTTATTGAATAATTTATCTTAACAATTTAACCTATTAATTAACTCAACAAATCCTTTCCATCTTTCCCCATATTCTGTTATTCAAATTACCTTAATTTATTTAACCTTATCTTACCGTAAAATACCTTAGAGCTTGAAACTTAATACTCAATTATACATAACTCCTTATATCATTTCTACTAAAGCCATATAGTTTCATTCCAACATTTTCCCTAATATTCATTAATTTTAGGCTAATTCCCTAAATAAAAATTTTTCTTTATAAATTTTCTTCCAATCTTCATCCAGCGTCTCTTCTTCCTGGTCTCGGGTCATGTCAGTCCTTACTGTCCATTCCATCTAGTCCATCAACCTGGTAATCTTATGTCCGAGGCTCTTAAGTCTCTTCCATGTCCCTTCTGCAGATCTTCTTCTTCTTGTTTATACCTGCACTTTTCCTTGTCTTTTGTTGGTCTCTTTCTTAATTTCTTTCCTTTCTCATTGAGGAGTAGGTCTCTGGGAGGTTCCAGCCCAAGATTATCTCCATCTCCCTTCATCAAACCAGCCCATTCCCCACAGTCCCACTCCCCACAGTCATCAATGTAATCCAAAAAATATTTAAGACCCTCCGAAGTTAAGAACCTCCTCAGCTCCAGACTCCCCCTGGCCCACTCCAACTTCAATCTTCAAAAACAGCGGCTTATGCTCCTGCAGGGCCTCGGATCTCTCCATTTGTATTATTTGAGGTGCAACCGCAACCTCCTCCATTATCTTCTGCACTTGCCCAATCAATACAGGTTCCTGAGTTGGTCCCTGAATGGTTTCTGTATCAGTATTCCCTGTTTGTCCACAGTTATTGACCACAACAGTCATCAAATCCGTTTTCTCATTCATCAGATCCATCTTCTCATGCATCTGTTCCAACAAAGCACTTGTCTTGCATAAAGCAAGCACCAAAACTTCCTCCTAGCTCATTTTTATTTGAGGTCAAAAGGAATGGTCCCACGATCTTAATCTCACAGCTGTAGAGTCCTCAAATAGACTGCAGCAACAATTTAACAAGCTCCCTCTAGAGGAGACAATTTCTATTTGTATCCATCTTTTTAAGGCAAGTCCAACAAAGGAAAATTACTTTCATTTTTCAGATATTTTGTTTTTTAGAATGCAAAAGGCAACATTGGAATCAGTTTATTTCTCTTCTTTAGCTATCTGTCAAAGTATTCCATTCACAGTCAGTGAACCTCTCCAACAATTTCTGTCTCTGACCCCCCGTTCCCAGGTTTGAGACGGTGGAAACTTATCTTTCTTCACTCCCTCTCCAGCAGGCTTAAACAAAGATTCCCCCCCCCCTTTTCTCCTGCTTCCAAGGGGGTTTTAGTGGTTATAAATGAAGGAAATTTAGATTTTTTTAACGACTTTCCAGACTTTAGCTTACAAGGTTTTTGCTTCAGTCTATGTACAAAAAGCGGAAGGCGGACTTCCTGTTTGAACCTTCCCGCTTCGGTGCCAAATTAGGGTATTTCTTGATCCAATTTTCCGTTTCTACTCACGGGTACTTGTTTTAAATCCAATTGTCCACAGGAAAAAGTCAGCGCTCTCCGGCAATGGCTGTGCGGCTTCACTCCATGAAAGTAGCAATCAGTTCGCAGCACCGTGCCGCTCACCCCACTTCACTCCAGAACCCCGAAATGGGGTTCCCCGTGAGTAGGGGAGGCGCTCCTGGTGCCCTGCCGAACCCCACATTCCCAGGCTTCCTCCGCCTGGGATTTGTAGCGGGTCCCCACCTTCGCCGCGGCGGGAAGACCCAGTTTCCACAGAGCCAGTTCCTCTGGTCGGAGGAACTCCGCCATTCGCCGATGGCGCTAACCCAGAAGTCTCTAACCCTGTATTGGTTGGCATGATGATTACCAATTAAATTGGCTTTTAGATTGGAGGTTTAAAACCAGAGGCCTGCTGGGTACAATTTGGTCTTTTTAAGAGTGGCTCCTCAGCTGACAACCCAGAAGTGAGAAAGCAATGAAGACAAAGTGATGACACTGGAAACAGAACTTGCTAGCAGGACTTTTTTTTTTTTTGGCTGGGGGAAAGGGCCAGCTCCTCAAGGCGACTCTCCTGCAAAACTAATGGTTGACAAGGGTTTTAGATTGTGTGCTTCATCAGTTTTATTTAGCTTAATTTGGCCCTAAGGAAAATAATTCCAATCCTTTGTTTGTTTGCTTCAGTTTTCCTTGGGAAGTAAGGCCTCAGACCATTAAACAGCTGTTGAAGGCCTTGACAACAGTTAAGAGACAGGAAGCAGGAATGCTTGTGACTTCCCCCCCTCCCTTTTCACAGAGCAAAGTTACAAATGAAGGAGTTTTCCATGTATTTATCTTGAGAGCTAGCCAAGTCTGCAAAGCAACATGTTCCTAATTTTCTGTAGTTTTAACTCCAAATTAATTTGTAAGTGATCTGGGTGCCTTGTTCCTCGAATGACACCTAATAGTGCAAGGGAAGTGCCTGCCAACTGAAACTTTGCAGCGGGCAAAAAGAAAGCAGGTCAGGAAAAGGCCTGGAAGCACGACCCCCTGTGAGTGTTTAACAAGGTGTCAGTCCACGATGTTTGCAGATCAGACTAAGTGGCTGTGACATCAGAGTCCCGGGCAGAGGTGGAAAAGGGATTATTCTGATGGCCTGGATACAAGGCAGTACAGAGCAATAGCAGACCCATCTTCATAGATGACTAGGCAACCTGACTTCAACTTGGTCAGGATTTGTCCCTGGGTTAGGGATAGACATGCAAAGGGGGTGTGCTCACACACATACTAATGTTTTTAAAAAACTGGGGGTCAAGGGAAGCAGACAGAGAGAGATGCAAGCAGAATAAAAAGGCTGGAATGGATCTGCAGCTGTCTCTGGAAGTGGTGACAAGGCAATTGGCTCCAGTGATGGCAGTAAGGAAGGAGCAGGAATTCCCTCCTTCTCAGGCAAAAGCTAAAAATCCATCCTGCCTTCTTCTTCTTCTTCTTCTTCTTCTTCTTCTTCTTCTTCTTCTTCTTCTTCTTCTCATGACTCTGTCTCCATCCAAGCTCCACTGGCCACCTTTTGTGGAGAGAGATCTGTGGGGTGAGGGGCTGCTTTTGTGGCATGCAAGCAAGGGAGAGGAGCCATTTGGCCCCTGGCCCTCCAGAATTAACCTGCCTCTGGTCAGCTTTGCAAGGGTCTTTTTCTCTGCAGGAAAAATCTAATGTTTTGGCTTCTTGATGTGATCATTTTGTTAGCTTGTTTTTCTTCTTTACCTCTTCCTAATCCTTATTTGTTTGTCTTGTCATTTCCCTCCCCCTTCCTTTGTTTAAATAAATAAATCATCCACCCATCCACCCATTAAGGGTGCACACCTTAATGAAATGTGCTGTGCACTTCTATGGACCATCATGCATTTTGCAGCAGATGTGTAGATTCTACACAAGTAAATAGTTCTAAAGCATTGTTATAACTACTGAATGCCCCTGAGCAGCTGCAAGTAAAGGCTTCAAGTATTGGCTTAGATTAATGTAGGGTTGCCATACGTCCGGAATTTCCCAGACATAGCCATGATTCGGTGGTCAGAAACAGTGTCTAGATTTTCACTTTTTGAAATATGGCAGCCCTAAGTAATGGCCATTTCTTCCTAGCCAATCTCCAAATGCTTCCTCAGTAAGACAGCTGGAGACATTGGTTGAGTGCTATAAAGATGTATCTTGGGGGCTGAATGGGCCCATGCATGTGAGAGCCAGTTGGCACTCCCACTAGGGGAAGCTGCTGGCCACCATTAGATATATTCTGAACCTCATTCAGCCCAAGGTAATAAATGAGCTGGAACCACCTCTGAACATAAAATATGCTTAAGAAGGAATATTATACAAGAAACTGATATGAAAATTTGCCTTACCATGCTATTTGGAATTTTCATTCAGAAACTTGGATGGAGCCTGGCAGCATGGTGGAATCCCAGGAACAGCTGAAGGTTAGAGGTCACAAATTGGGAAGTTTCCTGCTGGGCATTACTGGAAACTGGCCATGTATCTCTGCATCATGTCTGGCTGCAAGACAGCAATGAATCTAAAGTTAAGTAGGTTGCCAAAAGATCAAAGGCTGATTATGTGTTTTTTGAATTCCTATACTTAGTGTTCATTTGCTATGTTGTGAGCCACTTTGGGTACAGTTTTGTGGAACAGTGTCATACAAATAAACACATGATGATAGCAAAAAGAAGAAAAGGGTTCCTGTGCTATAAAAGTGTGATGCAGGAATCAAAGACAGCTATTTGACTGTGGCAATTAGAAAAAAACCCCTTTGAATATCAGAAAGGAGGTAGAGTAAGAGTGAAAATTAAAGTGGGAGAGGCTACTCCCCCCCACCTTCCCACCCTAGGACATGAAGAAGAGTCTGACTTGTAGAAGAAGTCACAAGGTGGTGATTTATCTCCCTTCAGTTTGGAGAGATGCTGGGAGGAGAGTAGTGACCTAAAGCAAAAGAAAGGAGAAATTTGTAAGGTAAGCCTGGAAGTTATGGTAAACACTGTCTGAAATTCTGGAGAGCCAGGCAGCGTAAACAAGGTTTAGGCAGACGGACCCATGATCTGACTCAGTACAATGCAGCTTCCTGTGGTTGTATGAAAAGCCCCCATATAGGAGTCTCACTGGGGGCAGCAGTGTGTGTATGTGTACAATAGGTGCTGTGGCTGCCAAGCAGAGGAGACATCAGGGGAGTGATGGCAGAGTTGGGCCTCCGCTAGCCATGCTCTTTCTGATGCGTTCACAGTAAAGAAGCAAACCTCTGTGATTCCATGCTGAACAGGGGGGAACTAAATTGGCTCAGGCTCTTGCGTCATGGGAAGCGTGAAGGTTTGAGTTGGCTGGCAAGGTGGTTGTAACCTTGGCACCTGGACAGAAACCCCTTTATTCCAAGCCTTCTTCTACCTAGTAACTACTGGAGTTGGCTGCATCATCACAAGCTGCCCAGCACTCACCTCAGGCCTTCTCAGCCATGAAGAAGAGAGCAGGCCAAACCCACAGCGGTTCGCCAGTGTCCCAGGGCTCCCCGCTCTTAATAGGCCACTGCTAGAAACAAGGAAGTCTCTGGCTCCCACCAGGAGTTAATTAACAGAAGGAAAACACTTTTAAAGGCTGCCAAGCAAGCAATCGACAGTGTCAGGCAAGGTTACCACTACACAAACTGAGCTCAGCTACACAACTTTTAGCCAGGATCCACAACACGCACACACACAGAGCTGCTGTCAATCTCTGTGAATGAGCAGCTCACCAACAAAATGCCTGAGGAAAGGGCAGTGGTTCAGCTGGGAATCCAAGTTATTTGCCTGTTGGCTAGGATGGCAAGGCCAGGGATTGCTTCAGACCTGTGGAGGACCAACCAGAATACAGGCACTGAGAAGTCTCAGGTCTGAAAACATTCAGGTGAAGCAAGGAAAAGAACTAGTCAAGATGGAGCGTCCTGAATTATGCCACTTATCATTGGGATCCTACCCACAGGCAAAAGTCTGGGGGAAGAGGATTGACGCAAATATAGGTTTGTGTGTGAAAGCTTTCATGCGTTGGTAGCTTCTCATTTGGATTATTAGAATGTGTTTGTGGGTGGGGCTGCGTGTCTCTGGAGTCAGTCGGGAAGCTTCAGCAGATGCCAAATATGGCTGTGAGAGTGTTAATTGGGACCAGACATTATGAACATAATATCTCACACTTTTCTCATCCTCACTGTCTCCTAATTCAAAGTGCTGGTTTTGGCCTAAAAGGCCTACACAATTCAGGGCCTTGGGACTTGAAGGGACGCCTCTTCCTGCCTATATGGTGAGCTCATCTGTGGGTGCCCTTTTCCAGGTGCCCCCTCAGCCCCAAGTTATGAGGGTAGTCATGAGAGGGAGAGAGAGGGTCTTTTCAGTGGCAGAAAGTGTTCCTGAGGAAGTTTGCCTTCTCTGGCATCCATGTTCTCTTTTTGGCATCAGGCTTAAGACTTTTCTGTTCTCTCAAGCTATTTAATATCATGTGTTTGGTTTTCTTTTTAGTTCCTGTGATAGTCTTAGTGGTCTTTATGTACTTCTATATTTGCGGGTTGTTTTTCAGCTCCTGTGAGTTGTATTGTATTTTATTTTGTTGTTCTTTTGGCTAGATGTTTAAGTTACAGTCTGAATTTTTATGGTGCTATTATGCTTTTCATTTATTTGCATTATGTCCGGAGAACTTATTTATGAGGCATCTGACAAATATAAACAAATATATAATAAATAAATAATGGTATTACTAATTAGTGAGGAATTGGGTAGAATTTTGCCTGCCCTTCTATCTGCATGTGTAAATTGCCTAGAGACTTTGAGGGGAAGGGAGAAGGGGGAAGAAGGAAAGGAAAAGGAAATTCAGGAATGAAGCCCCAAATTTGCCTGAGGTATCCAGACTCCTACCATGACAACAGCTCAGATCAGAATGTTTAGAGTTGACAAACCAAACCCTCTCACATCAGCAGCCAAAAAGTCTTTATAAAGTTAGCTCAGGCAGAACAGAATTCAGAGGACACAAGCAGAGTATTCTCGAAAGCCACGTTGCTATCTCTGCCCAGTCCCTCATGCTCCTAAGGCTGGCCTCTGTGTCTAAGACTAAGATGGACATAAAGGCCTGGCTCAGAGATTCAAACAAAGAAGAACAAATCTCTTGTTTAGTGTCAGTCATTAAACAACTCATGGGGCTTACAGAATAACCTAACAAAGTCCTTACTATGTCAGATGAATGGTCTCTCTGCGTACCTTGCCTGTGACAGCAACTAGCTTGAGATGACCCTTCGACAAGGCAAACAGCAGAACAGGCTTCTACAAGAACACTGAAAGATGAATAGGAAGGTGCCATATGACATACCCATTTGTCCACCTGACTCATTGTCTCCATTACACTGGCTGTGCTCATGCCTCATGGTCAGCCACAAACATGGAGAACTGCTACCAGTCAGTGGTCCTATCTGCATGTTGCAGAAAGCCACAAACCATGGCTTACTGTGAACAAGCAGAGTGCTAGTCCATGCTGCTGAATCACTCCCATTTTACTCCACTCTTCCTCAAACTGGGAGGAACAAACAAGACTTGGCTTACTATTACATCTGAAGCAGCACTCGTGGGTTTGCCCCCTGCTCCAAACATACCACAATGGTTAACCAAGGTTTGCTCATTGCTTTCAAATTGTGTTTTGAACAAACCATGAGTGCTGGGTCATATGCCATGGGAAGCCAAGGCTTGTGGTTTGTTGCTCCCAGCTTCAGGAGGGCAGCGATTTAGCAGCATGCACTAGCATATGAAAGGGCCCACTGACTGGCAGCAGACCGCCAGGGTTTTGGACCCACTTGGAGAAGCAATAGATTGGAGACCTGTCATTAATGCATGTTGTCTGTTTACCCTGTTAAATCCACATCACAACCATGTCTGGATTTTATTCCACTGTGTGGTGGTTCAGCGGTTCAGGCTGCTTATACCCCATTTTGTATTCACTCCTCTTCCATCATTATGCCCACTGATTTAGCACACAGTCAGGAAGCACTTTAGGAATTGGTAGGTATCATTCCCTGAGATAGCCCCTAACTCACAACTGGAAGCTAGCCTTGTGAACTGCACTGCATATCTACGTTCTTGTCAGTTTTGTGGAACAGCAGGAACTGGGATAAGTTATCTCTACAGTGGGTCTGCGTGGGAAGCAGAGAGTTTCTGACCTACGGAGAAGGAAGGAACGGGTATGGAATAAAACCAACATATATTTATTTACCTACCTACTTACGACTCAAAATGATGTGTCTGAGTGGTGCACAATAAAACCATTCCATAAAATGCAAAATAGGTTAAAATACAGATCACAAATCCCAACTGCAACATACACGGATGTCTAATGCCAGAAACAATTTGTGAAGAAGTAAAAATACAGTTGAGCCTTCATCAGGAAAGACACAGGTTAAAAAAAAAGAAGAAAAAGTAAAAGTAAAAAGAGGATGTCCTAAGGAGTGACCAGCCAGAGGACTGCTGGACCTTTTGCTCCCCAAAGCCTCAGAGCTCTGGGAAAGGGTTATTGGGCTGCTATAGACCCCACCAGCTGACCAAACTCACTTGGACAAGACTGAACTTCTGGTGCCTATGGCAGATATCGTTGGATATCTGATATGGATATGGCAGATATCGTTGGCACTGAGAGAGGCAAGGCACAACTCACTAAGAAGGAGTAGTTGCTGCTGCTATAATGGCTTCTGGGACTACCAGTATATTCTCTGGGGAAAGAAATGTAAGGTTTGTACCAAGGGCCAAAGCTCAATTTGCAGTTGACACACTTTACCTGTTTTGTCTTCAACAGGGGCTCCCATCTGAGTGTATCCCCCATGGAATTGATGGATCACAGGGCGTTCCAGTTGGGCATTCCCTTTGGACAGCAGGTCAGTCTCCCTCTGTATAAGGCAGGTTCCTAAGTATGCCAATATCATAACCTTAGACTTGGCCTAGTAAAGGTAGATGCAATGGAAAATTTCCTTGGGATATAAAGGCAGCAAAGATGGGATATAAAGGCAGTAAAATAAATACTTTCCGTTTTGTCTACTCACCACACTCCATTTACAGCACATGTAAGCCAATTATTCCTAGTTTTTCTCTTCTGTCTGCTTCTGAAAGCAAGTTAGTGACTTTCCCACAATCCTCTACTTAGATGAGAGAGACAGAAATCACCCACCCCCATCCATCTTCCCTCTCTCCACCCCCCTTTCTTTTTTCCTTTTTTTTTCTTCTCCCCCTAATGCTTCAACAAATGAAACAGATTTGTAAAAATGTTACATGGGGAAAAAAAATACGAGGCATTACACTTCTGTAAAACAAGAAAATTTAAAAAAAAAAAAGAGAGACAGAAATCACATCTTCACCATATATGGAAAGCACTCTTATAGCAGTCATGGCCTCTCCCTGAAGAATTCTGGGTACTGCAAGTTTGTTGGTGCTGGGTGTTGTTAGGAGACCCTTTATAAAGCAACAATTCCAGCACCCTTAACAACTACAGTTCCCAGAATTCGGGGGGCGGGGGTAGGCCATGACTGTTAAAGTAGCATAGGAGTGTTTTCAATGTACAGTGTGGATGTGAAGAAAAGTAGAGACAAGGAAATGAATGAGACATCTTGCTTCATTCCCTGTTTGGCAGAGTGATCGTTCTATTAAATCTGTTATCAAAACTGTGTTTTGCCAATCTTTCCCCACCCACCCCGCCTACACCCTATGCCAACCAGATCTTGCTTGGGCATCTTTGACCTTCAGGGTGCGGCCTTACTGCATGAAGCCAAGGACAAGATGGCACCCATCATTCAACATTCAGAAATCAAGCAGGCAGGCAACTGAATTTGTATTTCATCACTAACAACATGACAATGTCCCATTGAAGACAGCAGGCTAGTTTGGAAGCACAGAGTAGGATATGAGGCACATATATCACTCTGCTGTTCAACAGAGGCGAATTACCTCGGTTGGAAGGGGCTGCTGCCTCTGCTCCCCACCCCCAACACTCAGCAGCTGCCTCTCAAGGCAGCTCCCTTAGCCTAATGGCAGGGCCGGCTGTGGCCTTGAATAAAGCCAGTGACCACAAGGTCTTCTCTTCTGCTTCCAGCAGAATATGGGAGCATTATGAATTGCAATGTGTGAACGGATCTGATTGAGTGAGCCTACCTCTGGGTAGAGTATATTATCCAGGATTATCAGGGCAACATAAGTACTATTGATGTTTGTTTTTAATTCCTTTTTTGCTTTTAACTTGTTTTTAACTTTATGATTTTATTGTTTGGTTTTATGATTTTATATTATTATAAACCACTGTGATACATCTTTATGATACAGTGGTGTATAAATATTCAAACAAACAAACAAACAAACTTGTCCTACTTTATCTTTACAATCACCCTGTAAGGAAGCTTAGGTTGAAAGATAATGATTGGCCCAAAGACGCCCAGTGAGCTCCTTTCCAAAGCAGGGATCTGAACATGGGTCTTCTTGGTCCTAGTCTGACACTCTTATCCAGGAGTAGCCAATGTGGTGCCTTCCAATTCTCATCACCGCTAGCTGTGGCTGATGGGAGTTGTAGTCCAAAACCTCAAGAGATCATGATGCTGGCTACTGCTTTTCTAAACACTGCACTACACTGGCTATCCATCCATATATTAATACACTACCTTTAGCTCTTTGTTAAAAAGGCAGAATATAAATGTGATAAATAGATAGATGATAGATATAGATAGATGAGAGCTTAGATAGATAGATAGATAGATGATAGATAGATAGATAGATAGATCATAGTCTGTTCTGCTTGCTCCCTCTCTGCTCTGGCTTCCTTAAAAATAAAATAAAATAAAAACACAATTCTTGAGAAGGAAGGCATGGGCTCTTATTTTACTGGCCTCTGGCAACCTAAGTGTAGCAGTGGTTGGGTTAAAAAGCGCTTGACAGAGGAAGATTAAAAACAATCCAAGGAATTTGTTGCAAACTTCCTGGATGGTTCCCCACACGCAGTGGCGTTTTCTTGGCTGCCTGGCTTATAATCAGCAGAGTGGAATGTTGTAAATTAAATATTTTTAAACAACTTTGCTCTCTCCCTGGTTAAACATTGCAAAGATTGCTCTTTCTTGTCTGTTTCATGCTGGGTGGTCTCTCCCGCCCCCCATTTGCCTGTACGTCTTCCTCAAACACAATTAACCATTTAGATGTTGCACAAAGGATTAGCTTATGCATACAAGGCCAGACGCTAGTCCTTTTCCTTGAGGTGCGGGGGCGGAAGGGGGGTGGGGGCAAGGAACCAGGGGGCAGATCTTTTACTTTCCGCTAAAATACAAAAGCCAAGAAAATCCCCTAACCCCTCCAGTTTTCCTTGAATGATAAAGGCCCTATGGTAGGCTCCTCAGCTGCCCTCAAGTGCAGGCCTCACAAGCTCCTTGCTTTCTTATCTTGATGGTCAGCACTGAAACAGCCTTAAGCATCCCAGGTGATGTGGCACCCAGAAATTCTGGTACCTTATAAACCCGAAGTTTGCCTTAACACACTATCTGTTTATGAGCTTTGCCTAGCCACTAGTCTGCTGTGCCTGCAACAGTTATTTCTCGACCCACTGCCACTCATATGTGGAGGTAACCTGTATTCTCAAATGCAGATTAATCAGAGGGATGTTAAGAGACAGTGTTCTGAAAAGTGGAGAGTGTCATTCCCCCTCAGGTATACCTACAAGTACTCACATGTGTGGACATAGTCTGTTGATGTATAAATATTTTTACCTCTCATGGGAACAGCAAGCCAAACCTGGGAGATGAAGTAAAACCCTGCTACTTCAGGATTAGCTGCACTCCTTAACTGGAGTTACCACCACTGGGGAAGAGGAGTATATACAGGTGCTTCCTCTCTTGAGAGCCTGACAATGGCAGAAGAAGCCTCTGTTTGAACTTTGGTTTGGCAGCTGTGTTGTAGTGTAGTGGTTAAGAGCGGTAGACTCATAATCTGGTGAACCTCCACATGCAGCTGCTGGGTGACCTTGGGCTAGTCACACTTCTCTGAAGTCTCTCAGCCCCACTCACCTCACAGAGTGTTTGTTGTGGGGGAGGAAGGGAAAGGAGAATGTTAGCTGCTTTGAGACTCCTTCGGGTAGTGATAAAGCAGGATATCAAATCCAAACTCTTCCTCTTCTAAATGACAGCAAGGGGTCAGAAACTGGCGTGCACTCTTGCATAGACACACACATATCATGCCAGAGCCATTTCCTCAAGGCCACTTTCTTGTACTTCTGGCCAGGGAGCAGGGAAAGCAGTTATGTCCACAAACATTTACTGTCCAAGCTCTCCCAAGAAATGCTGAGCACATATGCCCTTCTTCTGGGCTGGAGCAGGCTCTGAGCTCCCTAGTGTACTGCATTTGTAGAGCTGGGACACTGGATACCTGCAAGTGTCCCTTGTCTGAAGCTGCTGTGCACATTGACTTAATAAAACTGTAGAGTTGGAAGGGACCATGATGACCATCAAGTCCAATCCTCTGCAGTGCAGGGATCTTTTGCCCAACGTGGGGCTTGAACCCACAACCCTGAAAGTAAGAGCCTCATGCTGTACCAACTGAGCTATCCCACTTGGCTGTTGTGCACGTTGCCTTAAATGGCCCTGGGCCATAACTCAGTGGTGGAGCCTCAGCTTTGGATGTAAAGGGTTCCAGGTTTAATCCGCAGCATTCCCACATTGGACTGGAAGGGACCCCACTGGAAAACCTTGTGAGCTGCTGCTTGTCAGGGTGGATAATAAGGATCTAGATGGCTCCATGGCCTGACTAAGTGCTAGGCAACTTCCTATGTTCCTAAATGTAGTTCCTGGGATATGTTTGAAAGGCTACCACTCTGGGTTAGCAGCTTAGTTAGAGTTGGTATAAATGTATGGCTGCATGCATTCATGTGTATATGGATATCTGTAACTCAAGGTCTGAAACAAAGCATGTGAATTTTGTAACTGATGCTGCAAATTTGCTTAGATGTGCGTAATGTGCATAACGTTTTGTAGATCCCGTGCTAGAAAGCTCAGTGCCTTAGGATATAATAGAAGCTATGCAGATTTCTAGAGCTTCAGGTATAACAACCCTGTATGTCATTAAGATGAAGAAAATCATATCTTCCCAGCAATTAGTGTGTTTAGGAAAATGGTATTTACTCATAGCAAAATTACACCGAATAATTGGCAACGCCACTGCTTTTGGCCACACACCCAGCAGGGCCAAAAGCACATTGGTAAGATTTGTTTTACATCTAGCTTTAAAATTACATCTAGAGTTTGCTGCTGTGTTCAAACAAGATTTTTTAAATTGTCATCTAGTTTTCCAGGCTGGAAAATGGGCATCTCCAGAGACAGAGTGATAAATGCACAATCTGCCATGTTCCCCTGCCCCTCCTGCCAGAAAGCAGAGTAGCTATTGTATCTTCACTATTCCTAACAGGAATCTCAGCCAGCACATTCATAACTGGTCTGACAAAAATGGGACTCTGGTAATATTACATTGCTAAACTGGCCTGCCACAAGATAGGCTGGCATATCTATCAGAACACACAGGCTGCATATGACACACCAGAACAAAGATATGGTTGATTTTATTATAAAAATGTTGGAGTCTCTTGAGCCTCACAGCATTTGGAGAACAATTCTTCTCTGTTGGCTTGTAAATGCAATGCAAATGCAGTTACAGGGTACATTTCTAATGAAAGAAATACTTCCCTGAAGAGAACTGAACCCATAAGTCAGTCTCCAGGTCTTATAATCACATTTTGAGATGTATGCCAAGAAACTAGATACTACTGAAAGGGCAGCGCACATGATAAAAAGTTTCAGTCCCATGAAAATAAAAGGATAAAACAGGGGAGGACACCTACTCCCTGCACCATCCTGTGTGGACCCACTGACACTAGAGGCCACCTCCCCTCTCCTGGGCCCTGATGAGAGATCTCTACCTTTAGGCTCTGACGGCCAGTCTACAGGTCTTTTGGGGGAATCAAGCAATCCGTGAGATTTCCCAACAGCTGGAAACCCCATTACACCAGGAAAGTGTGTCCGTTTGGGCCAAGCTATTTTTTACCACAGTGCGGAGTGTTTTTCTAGATGATGCTTGAAGAGGAAACACCTGATAGTCTTGCAGCCCTCATCCTGCCTATTTTAAGAGTACAGCCACCTGTAATTGACACATTTTCAAACTTGGCCTCATGCAGATCTGCAGGGATGAGAATGGGAAAGGGAAAAAGAGGTAAAGATGTGGCTATTGCCTCTTTTGATACTTATTTGCTTGCATGGCACTCCGTGCCAAAGAAAATGTGGTGCTAGTCATGTGTGTTGATAGCACAGTGTGAGCTCTTTAAGTTTAAAGTGGCCATATAATTTCATGTTTAAATTGGACCTGTTGGTCACACTTGTAGCTCCACCAACTTCAAAATGATTGCTCTCTCTCTCTCTGTGTGTGTTACAAGAATGTACAACAGGCATATTGGAAACTGAATGTGTTTGGGGGCGGGGGGGGGGGGCTGCTTGAGCCCCAGGGCTTTTTGAAGGAGGTACTGTGAACTATGGCATATCATGGCTTAAGATGTGTGATGGAAATGGGTCACAATAAGTAAAATGATAAAGACAAGATATAACTACAGTACAAGAGCAGCCCACTAGAGAAGCCACTGCCTTGCAGAGATCTGTGCAGTTGTAGGGACTCAAGAGCTGATGGTTTCCACTTGGAAGAGGATTGAGGCAAGCAGCTGCTAGGATGCAAGGGAGCAGGAACTAGCCATGTGGAGGGTGCCTGCTATAAGACACAACTACATTAGCATGAACCCAGAGGAAGCACCTCTGTTACTGGAAGGATGTGTAAGGTGAGCCTTGTGCAGAGCAGACCCCAGAATCTCACTGCCAGATCACTAGAGGGTTAAATTAAAACAGCTATCTTGTGATTTCTAGAGGAACCATTATTTGGAATTATTCATAATTGCACTGCTGCCACACACAGTGACTACATCAAGAGCAAATCTGTGCTTTGATAATCTACTTTTATCTTGCCCCAAACACCTGCAGGTCATAAAAGGCAAAAAGGAAAAGCCGGTTCCTCCAGCAGTCAGTAGCACTTGCAAGCAGCAGAAAACTTGAATTGAGGACCTCAGTTCTAATCTGCTCACTGAGGCTTCCCATCCCGTCTCACGACACTAAGCAAAACAGGATCATGAAGACAAGGAGATAGCATCTGATATAGATATGGGGAGTTATCATAGGAGCAAAGACCTTGCAAAAAACTATGATACCAGCTCCTCAGGCTCACTTCTCAATTTACATTTTGTATTCAGGATACTTGCATACAAAAGGCAGACATATTGTGTCACCTAAGATCAGCACACCTTTGTGATTTCAACACACCTTTGTGATTTTCTCAGTAAATTCACTTAGGAGAGTGGGAAAGGTTGATCTTTTCCCAACTGCTGCTTCTGTGCGAATACACAGGTTTAAATGCATGAGAACCATTTCCAGCAAATATAAGCAATGCACATTTTGTACTTAGCAAGCCCCAAAGTTATAGAATGAATCAGAATATGATCTGGGTTATCTGGCTATGTATGAAGTAGAGCAACATTGGGTTACAGTAGAATAACACAAAGGGGCAATGGATGAGATTCTCTGTTTTTTAAAGTAAAATGTTAAGTTTTTAAAAATGGAGGTTGCGATCTGCAGACTTCTGCCCAATCCACTAACCTGAGCTTTAGACAGATCTCACAATTTATGGCAATATCAGTGCTATGTAGACATACATCTAAATGCCTTGACTATGTGGGCATGCTTTTGTTTTTTAACCTCCTCACAGGATGTCCCAGAATAGTCCAATATGTTGGTACCTTGAGTTCTATCGCTAGTTACATTTTAAAAAGATAATGGGGTGCTGAAGTTTTCTCTGGGTATTTGTGGAACAAAGTTATCCTTCTGCATTCTTTTCCACAAGTGCAATGTGACATTAGATGCTGGAGCAGTTCATAAGGACTTATATGCAGGGTTAACTTGGGCCATATAGGAGGACCAAAGAGCTGCACAGGGCTGCATGTGGAGAGACAGGCAGCCTTTCATCTTAGACAGCTGCTGCTTCACATCTTTCCATTTGGAGCCAGTTCTTTAATGTGGTTATTTTTAATTTATGAAGGAATGGGCAGGGTTGGCTTATAATTTTGATTCTCCTGTGTTAAATGGGGGAAAAAATGCTGCTCCCCTTAGGGGAAAAAAAGATCAGGATCATGTTTATCACTTTGTCTAATGAAAATGAACTAATATTCCTCTGGGCCAATATCTGGTAGCAGAGACCAAACAACCAGGCTTAGATGTGCAATTTAAGAGTTCTGCTAGTCAGATTCCTGTGAACCAAACATTTTAAGAAGCGAAGAGCCTCTTTATGACACACAAAAGTTCAAGAACTTGTATTTTGCACCATGATCCTGGAATTGTATTTTGAATTGTGGTTGACAGGACATGCGTGTTGTTTTAAATAAAACTATTTTGGCTAAAGGGTTAGATGCATACCACTCCACTGGAGCTTCTTTTACCATGACTATGCTAGTATAGTAATATTCACATTTAGATCAATATTTAACCTTCAAGAAGCTTAAGAAATTTTAAACTGGACTCGGGTTTACCATTTCTCTCCTGTCCTCAATCCATTTAAAAAATATTCCCTTGGTTTCATGGAATCCATAATCACTGCATAGTCTCGGTATTCTTATGCAGCGGGTTTATTGCTTTGCTTTGTTGTTGTTTTTATTATGTGTTTTTATTTTGTATTTTTATGCTATGAACTACCCTGAGCTTTTCAGATGAAGGGCAGTATACAAATTAAATAAATTAAAGGAATGAATAACAAAGTTTAAGGTAGTAAGTGCTACCAGTTTATGATGCAATGAACCTAAAAGAGGTGACTAAATGTGGAACTGTAAAACAGTGACATAAAGCACTCAGGCTTTTAGTTTCTGCCCAAATCAGCAAAGGTAAGGCAAACAGTGACAAAGCACAGGAAATGCTATACTGTGTGCTCCATCGTCAGGTGAATACTAACAACAGAACAAAAACCTTCTGAGTGGTCAGGACACACTCTAAGATAGTAAAGGAATGGTAATATATGCCCCAAGGTAAGCCAAAGCTTGCCAAAAATTTAAGATAAACAACAGGAGTTGGTTCACTAAATGGCTAGCCTGTGGTATATTTTCCTTTGATATCCACTGTAACATCCACTGTTCCTCTTCTTCTTCTTCTTCTTCATCATCATCATCATCATCATCATATCTCACCTTTTCCCTGGCTTGGGACTCAAGGTGGCTTACAAAAAAAGTGCAAAATACAGCTAAAACAGAAAAGCTAAAAACATAGAAATCATTAAAAAGTAATTAATCAATAATATAAAATATGAATAACAACAATAAAAACATCACAGCAGCAGCTCTTTCCTTAAAAACAGGCAGTTCCTAAAGGCCTGTTGGAATAAAAAGGAAGAGGACAACAGGGAAGGAGCCAGTCTAACTTATTCCAGGAAGAGCGTTCCAAAGACAGGGAGCAGCCACCAAGAAGGCGCCCTCCTGCATTCTCACAAGCACATCTGTGAGGGTGGCGGGACTGAGAGAAGGGCCTCCTCCTGAAGATCTCAGGGCCTGGGCAGGTTCATATGAGATAATAGGGTATTGCAGATATAGCCTGGGCTAAGCCATTCATATGCAGGTACTGTTCATCATGTGGAAGCTTGAAAAATATTTGAGTTTACATCTGCACAAGGTGGTTTGATAACATAAGTGGTTTAAGGATAAAGTGCTCATTAGTTTATGAGCAAAGCTTAGTTCATATTATATACCTGGTATTCTACCAGGTAGCAAGTGCTTGCAAATGATTTTAAAAACACAATTACCCACCTGGAAGGGCTCTTTCATGAGCTTTTACTGAATCTATGGTCCCCAAAGCAACTACTTGTGGTCTTATCATTGTGAGACATCCTTCTTTCTCAGATACATGTATATTCTGGCATTTAATTATAAACCTTGATATAACCTTGACCTATCTGCTGTATTATGTTGACATGGTGTGATCACAGCTCTAAAGCCTTGTGTGTCTGTGCATTTCCATGAATAAGGAGTAAGATCATATGGAGCCAATTCAGATAATGGATTATTGTCACTCAAATAGACTTAAGAATTTAAAATTATCTAAGTGTGAACATGTCCTGCAAGCAATCACGCCTTTTGCAGTGAATCCCAAAACTCAGGCATTCATGATTTTAAATACTATTATCCTCCCCCACTTTTTTTCCCTTGGAAGGAGATGAATCCTGATCTGCTTTGGAAGGCATTCCATACTCATGACCATCTTGTTTTTCTGTAGATATTTCAGTTTTATTATATTATTTTAAGGTGGAGTCAGCAGACACCTAAACAATTCTCAGTATACTGACTGCTGGGCTAATGAATGTATGGTTTCTGAAATATTTTATCCCCTTTCCCCAACATTCTGCTTGCCTTTTGAGGGCTGCAGTGCTTTGTACTGACAATTTTAGGGACGACAGGCGCAGATGCCTGAGTGAGACTAGTTAATTCAGAATCAAAGTGGATTTTTAGCAGAGAATATTTTTCTCACTGTGCATCACCTTGCAGTTACTGCTTCTCCGCCCACTGTTATTTAATCGTTTTGTAACATTGCGTAGTTAGCCTTAAGACTGAATCATCTTGTACTATCTTGCTTTTTTAAGGTACTGGAACCCAGAAAGTTGGCACTTTCATCACAGTGAGATCAGCTAAGCTGTTCTTTTGACTGAGTACAATCTGTGTGGTCCCTGCTCTTAGCTTGGTTGGCAACACACAGCATTCACTGGATTTACAGGAACCAATATCACCCTGTGCAAGGCAGCATGCATGTCAATGAGGGAGGATATGGTGGGGGGAGGAGGAGGGAAGAGTCACACAGAGGAAACAGGGAGATGTTCTTGTAAATATTTATTTATTAAGGTGTAAATAAGAAGTTAAAAGCTGGAGAGGATACTGGTGTCAACGATGCTAGGAGTCAGATCATGAAACAGGACTGCAGGCTCCTGCCATGCCATAAGCTCAGGCAGCCAGAAAACCCTCTTTTAAATCTGTCAAATTCAGATTTCCATCAGCTGTTCAGTACCCATGATAACTTCATTAATGTGCTTAGCTGTAAGAGAAAGAGAAACACATTTTAAAAAATGAGTTATTTAAAACCTATGCCTTACCCAATTTAGAAATGAATTTATTTATTTTTGAGGGGGAGGGGCACAGATTCTTTGGTAAGTTAGGCACAGCAAACAAATTATCTGTTCCTGTCTGAGGCAGGCACCTAACCAAACATTAGAAGGTGCCTTGAATGAGAGTGCTTGCAAGTATCAATCACTGCCACATGCAACAAAGGCAGAGAGCAACCAGCAGCTGTAGCTGGCAGGTGTATATCTGGAAATCAGCGTGGAGTCACACTGGCCTAAAGGAAGGAAACGCTGTAGAAACTAAATCACAGTACGACCCCACCCAGACCAACCTCCCTTTGGCAAGAAGCTGAACCCTCTTCTGTCAGCCCCGTACGGAAGTGGGCCCAGAATTAGCAGAAACCAAAGGGCTCTCTGGGAGTTTTCAGTCCCGGGTCGAGAGGCAGTTCTTTTCAGCTGGCTTCACCCTGTTCTAAAACCCAGATAGGGTTTTGCAAATTCTCCACCTCCTCAAAATTTTCTTACCAGGCTGTCTTTTATTTGCCATTGGCAAGGTTACAGATGCATTCAAGCCGCAAAGAAAAGAGAGGGATTAAAGAAGGTACTTTCAAAAAGGTCCCAGAATTTGGGCTCTGCTTGGCACAATTGTTTCAGACTGAGAGCATCTGTGCCAAGCAGATCCAGAGCCACATCAAAATGTCTGATTAGTGCTTGGTGAGGGAGCATTGCCTGGCCCATTTGTTCTGGGTGCTCCAACCTGAATGGCTTGGAAAATGTGTCACTTGTTACGCAGGAATTTCTGCTGGGAACAGAGGAGTGCTGCAACAAGCAAACTCCTTGGGAAACTCAGACAGAGAGCCCCCCACAGAAAGCTTGGGATCTAGAAGGCTGATGAACTACTGTTGCAATCAAACTGCAATTTGAATAAACACAGGGACAGAAATGACTCAGTCCCAACAAAACTCCATCATGGCACTGGGCATTCATGACAAAGTGCTTTCCTCCACCGGACAGCCGCTATTCGCTGGCAGCATCTGTCCTGGAGAGCCCTGCCTTCAGGGGGAATATGAAAGCATCTCCTTGTTGTTTGCTCAATTAGCTCCAGACAGATTGCTGCTGGTGATGGCAAAGCTAAGCTGTAAAAGAGGAGGAGGAGGAGGAGGAGGAGGAGGAGGAGGAGAAGAAAGGGTGTGTGGGAAGAGAGAGAAGGGGCTAGGGCCCAAACCCAGGACCACCACGAAGCTCCAGCCCTCAGGGGCTCCAGAAAACGTTCAGTTTACTCACTCAATTACATACACTGTTTTATAAACCCTTAAAATAAAATAGAAAACAGTCCTTGGCACAGAGTTCCTGTTCTATTATACAGTAGTGATGAAAGACTCCGCTGTGTATGAGCACTCCTGAAAAGCCAGAGATGAATTAATAATAATAACAACAATAACATTAAAAAACAGAATAGAAAGGAGAGGGTGGGGTTGTGATTGCAGAAATGCAAAGATGAAAAAGCACACTCTCTGGGTGGCTTGAGCTAGTGCAAAAAGCAACTCCTTTCTCTCTCTTGATCTGATGGTAGGTGGGATAGAGGGGATACCCACAGACGCAGGGAGCAGCTGCAGCTAGAGGTCAGGAGGTGGGGTGGGGCCTGGAAGTTCCATGTGGTGAGGGAGAAGGGAAACAGGTGGTGTGGGGCTGGTTTGTTTGTGTTGGTAACAGGAGTGGGAGCTTCTCACAAATGCTTGCTCCATTCCGCTCAGGATTTATTTAGACAATTCAGTGGTGCCTCACAGGCCTAATGTGGTGGATGGTGTTGTACACTTTAGCCATCAACAGGGGCAACTGCAGCTCCTAGGATGCAATGCTCTATTTAAATAGGAGACTTTTGTTAGTTGATGCACTCACTATAATGGGGTGTGTCAGTAGGCTGAGCGCCTTTGGGTCTTCCCAGGTGTAATAAATGGGGAAAGACGTAGTTAATCCCTACTGTTGCATTCACCTGTTGGGTAAACAGCCAAAATATCTATTATCAAAATGTTTTCACTAAAAACAATTAATCTGAGACTTCTGCCTGGACAATAACCACTTAGTTTGGGACTAGTTAGCCCCAGAAAGCTATTCCCACAGTGAAAAGTCTTGCTTAACCAGGATTAATGATGGACTGATGTCTTCTGGTGTAAGTGCTGGGAGCTGGCCAAGAAAGTAAATGTCTTACAGAGGAACAATGGACAAGGCAACTAGGGGCAAAACAGGAGGAATTTGCTTCTGCAAATATCTAGGATTGGAATATCCATGCATCTAGCTGTAGCAATAAACCATTAGCTCTGCCTCAAAGTTCTGAATTCAGCACCTTTCCTGCTTCTGACAAATTAGGCATATTCTGTGATCATGATGGAGGTAATGGAACAGCTGCAGCAACTATGCTCAAGATCCCTGAAGAAAGCTGCTTACTTGGTTCAGTTCAGATAGGTTGCCCCTCATGCACTTAGACCAGGGGAAGGCAGAATGGCGCCCCCTCCAGATGTTTCTGGACTCTGACTTCCATTATCCCTGACCACTGGTCATGCTGTCTGGGGCTGATGACATATGAACTTCAACAACATCTGAAGATGAACAAGCTGGTACCCCTGACTTAGACCAATGGAAGAAGAGCCAGCAGATGAAGTCCAGGAGGCATGCAGACGGAGAAGAAGGACAGACATGTCCCTTCTATTGCTGGGTAGGACAAAGTCAGTAGATGCGCCAGGAGAACCCAGGAGCTTAATGCTCTCCAAGAGTCTGCAAGCCAAGACAAAGGGAAGGAATGCTGGTATGAGAGAACCCCATTCCAGAACCAAACCTAGAAACCCTGCTGGACCTACCCAGAAACAGAAGGAAGGGAGATTGGTTTGCTGATTTAGGTCTTCTTGAGACAGGCAGAGCTCCACATCTGAGAAGGAAAAAACTGAAGAGTTCTAAGACTAATATTTCAGGATTTAAGGAATTGCCAAGGAGCATCAAAATACCATTACTTCAAATACTGTTGCGCTAGAATATTGAGATCACTGCACACAACGTGGTATCATGTTCTTCTGGGGCTTGGTGGGAAAGTCAAGGGCAAGATAAAAAAGATCAGAGCAAGCCCCTGGGCAGCTCCCAGTGTTCATTGCTATACAGGTATAGATGATGTCGTTGTTGGGATACTGCCAGGGAGATAAAGTCCACCAAGGCCCCCAAGCCGTCTGCCGGACGATCCATCTACCTCCCGTAGTCACGCAGTATCAACAATTAGCGACATGAGTTTCTCGAAGATTTCTTGCCACATTCCAGAGCTCATGCACACTCTTATCAGCAGATAGCACAGCCAAAAGTTGCAATCAGGAGAGCATTATTTACAAGTTTATTCAGCGTTGATCAGAACACAGAAAAACATGACTGCCTGCTGATTTAGTGTCTGCGACACCAAGAGAGAAACGAAAGCAACAGAAAACATAAACATCCTGTGAACAGGAAATACGCAGACTCTGACTCACAAAGCCTGCTCCCTTTTAAGGTGGAACGGAAATATCCTAACATCCTCCCCTTTCCGTGTAACCTGTAGTACCTGTGGTTCAACCCAATTGCAACCTTTGTACGTAAACCTTAAGTTGTTCTCTGTTAACAACCTTAGACAACAGATCAGCAGGAATTTCATTTCCTGGCATGTAGGACACCTGAATGAGTCCTTTCTGAATACACTCTCTTGCACGATGTAGCTTAATCTGCAAGTACTTGGTCCTTTGCTTGCAACTCTCCGAGTTCAGCAAAGCCAAACACGATCTATTGTCTTGATACACTTGTACAGGACATTTCACAGAAACTCCGATGTCCTTAAACAGTTGCATCAACCATTCACAATCCATGAGTGAAAATGACAGAGCATTGAGTTCTGCTTCACAGGAACTTAGGCTCACTGTCGTCTGCTTTTGCACAACCAGTCAAACAGGCAGTGGTTGTACATGTAGCATACTCCAGAAGTGCTTGTACCATCCGTGGTGTCACTTCCAAAACTTGCATCTGCAAAGATTTCAAGACCTCCAGTCTTCTGACTGGTGAACCTCAGCCTGTAGTGCAAAGTCCCTTTCAAATAGCGGGCTATGCGCTTCAGAGCTTTCCAATCCTGAACAGTAGGATTGTTAGCATGTCTGCTAAGCAGGTTAGCAGCTTACAGCTATGTCAGGTCTTGAGCATCTAGCAATGAAATTCAACTTGCCTAGAATGCATCTGTACAGCGTTGTGTCAGAAAACGCTTCAGCAGTACTGTCTACCTGGTAACCTGTCACCATCGGTGTGTCTGCTGGGTTTGCATCAACCAAATTCAACCTGGTTAATACATCAGCAATTTTCTGTGTTTGGTGTACCAGAAAATTACCTGCTTGGTCCCTCTCCACCTGCAGAGAAAGATAGTTGGATACCTCACCAAGATCCTTCATGTCAAAGTGCTCCTTCAGCTGAGCTAGGGTGCTTTGGTAGAAAGCCTGATTCTTCCAAAACATCAGAAGATCATCAACAAAACATAAACAATACAGTTTGTTTTGCCCCTCCTCCTTGACAAACACACATGGATCAGCTTTGCCCTGGTGAAAACCTAGAGAAAGCAATGTCTCAGTGAGTTTTGTGTTCCAACACCTGGCACTCTGCTTGAGACCATATAAGGATTTCCGCAGTTTACAGACCATTCCCTTCTGTATCTGCATTCCATCAGGTGGAAGCATAAACAGCTCCTCGTCCAAAATCCCGTACAAAGCTGTATTAATGTCATGATGGGAAACATGCAGTTTCTCCTCTGCAGCTATCTTGAGCATCAGCCGAATGCTCTCATATTTGACGGTGGGTGAGTAGGTCTCGTGGTAATCCTGTCCTGGTACCTGTGAAAAACCTCTGGCAACCAATCTGGCTTTGTGTCTGACTACCTTGCCATTCTGGTCTGTCTTGGCCTTGAAGACCCATTTGCTGCCAACCAGTCTCATTCCTGGGACTACCGGTACCAATTCCCAAGTTTGGTTCCTATTCAAGGAATCAACTTCAGCCTTCATGGCATTAAGCCAAGGCTCAGCATCTTTAGAGGTTAACTCCTGAACCTCTTTGAAGCTTGAAGGTTCCCACACCTTCTCTGAGCTACTAAGAACAGCAGTTGCTGTCTTAGCAAACTCATCAGCAAATCTCTTTGGAGGTCTGCCCTTGGTGGCTCTTTCAGATCTGCGTACTAGACGCAAGTCTTCTGGACTCATCTCCTCCTTCTTAGGAGAAAAGTGACCAATGGTGAACAGTGGTTCTTCCAGTTCATTGTCAGACGCATCAGATGGTCTGACTGAGGCCTTTGCGCTCTTGTAGTCTGCTGTGTCATCACTGTCACCGACATCAGCAGCAGCGCCGCCCACTGAACTGGAATCCGAACTCTGATCATCATCGCATCATCATCCTCAGCAGCTTCCTCAGCTTTAGCTGCTTCTTTGACATCACCTTCATCCTCCTCTGGGTAACTCTGGAAAATTCCCACATTTTCCCCACTTAGGATTGTACTCAACACTCTTTGTGAACTTAATGGACTTAGAGTTGGTCATCCATACCCTGTATGCACCTTTTCGTACCCCATGAACAAACCATGTGCCCCACGCTTCCCAAGCTTGTTGCTCTGTGGGGTGTGTACCCACATGTCAGAACCAAAGATTCTCATGTGCTTGATGTTGGGTTTCTTACCAAACATCTTCTCATAGGGAGTACAACCAATAGGTGATGACAATCTGCGATTATAAGTGTAAGCAAAATTCGCCAGAGCCTCCCCCCAATACTTATCAGGAGATTGGCATCATGCAACAAGGTTTTCATTCCTTGCAGCAACGTTTGATTTGCTCGCTCCGCAAGCCCATTCATCCATGGCGATCTAGGCGTTGACAAGTCATGCCGGATTCCCTTCTCAGTCAGGAAAGCTTCAAACTGCTGAGAAGTGAACTCCCCGCCCTGATCAGTAAACAGACAGCCAATGCGTTTACCGTGAACATTCTCCAACCAAGCACAGAATGCCTTGAACTTAGGAAACGCTTGCGATTTCTGCTCGAGCATAAACACATGAATGTACCTGGAAAAAGAATCAATTAGAACCATGAAGTACCTTGCTCCACCCAAAGAGGGCGCAAGTGGACCAACCAGGTCTGCGTGCACTAGCTGGTAGGGTTTGGAAGCCTGCCTGCTAGACTCCTTGCCTTTGGAGCAACCTTCACCTTGTTCTCTGCACAAGATACACATTTCATGTGAAACTTACAGGGTTTGATGTTCAAACCCTCAACCATCTCTGGCATCTTGGCCAGCGCCTGCCAAGACATGTGACAAAATCTTCTGTGTGCATCATGAATGCATCCTGCATGAAGAACTTTGTTAGTTTGTGCAACACAACAAGAATCAGCATTAGACACAACAGCACCAATGTCATCATAAGTTATACAGAACAAGCCATCCATAAACTTTGCATGCAAAATGTCCTCTTTGCCTTTTCTGATGACACAGACGCTCCTCTTGAAGGAAATCTCAAAACCACGCCCAGTCAGCTGTGGGACACTGAGCAAATTGTCTGCAGCACCTGGAACATACAGTACATCTTTGATGGTCGTGTGCAGACTTGCCAGTTTCACAGTCCCTTCTCCCGCAATTCGCAACGACTTTCCATCAGCCAGGTGGATCTCACCTTCTCGAGGCGAGAAGGAGATAAAGAGGTGGCGGTCCTTTGAGACATGGCGGGTACAGCCTGAATCAACAACAAACCTGGCCTTGGCTTTTGGAGCAGCCTTTGCAGCAAGCAAAACCTTGTTTTCCACCGGCGTGGGCTTTTGCAGCTTGCCCCCCTGCTCCTGGCCATCAGACTTGCCTTTAGCCTTTGGTGAGGCTGTGCCAGCAAACAAAACCTTGTTTTCCACTGGCGTGGGCTCTTCACCCTCCCTCTGCTTCTGGCCATCTGCAGGCGTCTGCCTCTGTTTACCTTTGCCCTTCCGGCCTCTGCAAAGGCGATGACCTTGGCTCCCACGAGAAACAGAGCTCTCAGCTGCCGACTCCTTGGCTCCCCTGGAGGCTGGAATGCTGCCTGGGATGACGTGACAGTCAGCTCCCCTGCAGCTTGCAACCGGTGCCCTCGGCATCCCTGCATTCACTCGCATTCTGGGAAACAGCCAGGACCTCCGATGCAGTCAAACTCTGGGCTGGGATGACTGGCAGATGGGCTATCTTCAAAGCATGCCACATCTTACGTGCAGTCAGATTGCCAGCTAGCGTCTTTATTTCCTCCAGAGAGACGGACAAGACGATTATGTCTATCGCCTTCGAATTCTCGGCCTCCCATCTATCTGTCAGAGGAACTGGAGGGGCTTCAGACACAGTATGCCACACTCCAAACTGACGCAGCAAGCTCTCACACCACACAGCCCAGGTCCCATAATTGTGCCGATTTAACTTTGGGCACTCAGCAGCCTCAGAAGCCTGGAAAACTCCATTCCAGGCTTCTACTTGAGCCGTGAATCTTATTCACGTCAGAGACGTCTTATCTCGGCAGCTCATAAATCTTGAGGCCTTTGGCGCGGCTCCCAGAGCCATTAATCTGCCAGCCGGACATCAAAGGCCCTTGCCGCGGCAAACAGAAAAGCCTTACTTTCGCTTTTCCTCCACATACCTTTCAGCAGTCTGTCGCAGTCTTACTCTCCTGTAAGTGCTGTGAATCTGGGCCCGAAACCTGTTGTTGGGATACTGCCAGGGAGATAAAGTCCATCAATGCCCCAAAGCCGACTGCCGGACGATCCATCGACCTCCCGTAGTCACGCAGTATCAACAATTAGCGACATGAGTTTCTCGAAGATTTCTTGCCACATTCCAGAGCTCATGCACACTCTTATCAGCAGATAGCACAGCCAAAAGTTGCAATCAGGAGAGCATTATTTACAAGTTTATTCAGCGTTGATCAGAACACAGAAAACATGACTGCCTGCTGATTTAGTGTCTGCGACACCAAGAGAGAAACGAAAGCAACAGAAAACATAAACATCCTGTGAACAGGAAATACGCAGACTCTGACTCACAAAGCCTGCTCCCTTTTAAGGTGGAACGGAAATATCCTAACAGTCTCCATCAAGAACCACAGTCATCTGAAGACTTAAAGAACAGACTGGCAAGGCCTTCCCTTTCAGTGGCTCTGTCTCATTGAGAGGGCTATATGCAATCTCTTAAGGGGCCTCTCACTGATTCTGCAATCACATGTTGCGGATAAGCTGCTATAGGGGAGCTATATTTTATTGTGAACAGTCCTAGATAACAATCTTCTTGGATTAGCAAGAATCTGGATATGTTCATATCTATTTCACATCAGTCTATATTTTGTCTTTTTATGGGTACCTACTATTATTTGAGCAAGAGAGATTTCATCAAGCCTGGTCTGCTACTCTTGCAACCAAGTCCCTAAATTTAATAATGAGAGAGGAAGAAATGGCATGCTTGTGAAGCAGAGCTAAACAATATTTTTAAAATGTATGTAGAAAAATTATGGAAAGCATTGTCAGCATTTCCAGGTGCATATGTGACAGATGCATATCCAGGGCTCCTCAGCCCACTTCTGAAGGTGATCTGGGGAGAAACAACAACAGGAGATGAATGGGACTGCAGGTTCTTGCAATGTGTTTTTTCTATATTTCTGCAGAGCCACCCATATGCAGATGCCACTGTAGGCTGCATGTACACAGCCCCTAAAGTCAGTTCCCTGGAGTTAAATTTCCAAGGCCTTCCAGATGCACAGTTGCAATTATACAAATGTCATGCAGTGATTTGGACAGCTAACAACAAGGTCTCTGACTCACATGGGCTGTTTACAGAGAACCTCAGGCCACACAGAGCAGTTTCCTGTTGTGATAGATTCTAGGCCAGGATAGACCTCTGCATTCAGAGTCTGATCTCTTTTGACCTTTCTGCAAAAGTATGATCATTATTATAGAAGAGAGAAACATTTTACATTTTAAGGAGACAAGCAGCCTTTTAACTTTAGCTTGGTTTCCACTGAAGAAGGTAAAACTGGATTACAAGGCTACTGCCAGCTATTGGCTACAACAAATGTGCCAGGCAGGTTGTAAAGCTGACTTTATATTTAAGGGGCATGTGAAAGATGAATGCTTGCAGCTCTTGGATTCATGACTATAACAAATTGTTTAAGACCTACAAAACCATAAGCAGCAGCATGCCAAAAAGGGTTATATACCCATCTGTTCTTGAAGAATGTTATTTCTTAAGTTTATAAATCTATTAGCAAATAAAATATATGTTCAAATCCTTAGCACTGGATCTATGATGGCTTTTCCAAGGAAGCGCAGCAGAATAATAGAGAATTGGAAGGGTCAGAAACATAGAACTGAGTATAACGTAGAGCTGAGTGTAAAGAATTGCATGAGGAAGGATTAAGCTGCCTTTAATGAAACACTGCCCACATGACACTGAAGCAAAATAACTGTGTACTAGCTAAGCTTTTGGTCATCAAATTGTAAGTATGTGAACATATTGAGGCAAATTAAGTGGGGACCTACAAAAACAATAAAGAACACAGAACACATGACATATGAAGACTGGCCACAGGAACTGCAGACTTACTCTAGAGCAGGCATCCCCAAAAGCTGTCATTATGGGTCTTACCAAGTCAACAGGATCATCACTCAGTACTCCCCAAGGAACTGGAAGAGTGGTTCATAGTTTGCAACATTCACTTTAATTCTTAGCTTAGGGGTCAAGGCAATAAATAACTGGGTAAACAATGTGTTTGTTTGCCTGTGTGCGCATTTGCATGCATGTGGAGGAAACAAGTGGTTGTTACCCACCAAAGAAGATCAATTGGGTATTAGTGCTGATTTCCAATGGGCATTTAGCACTGATCAATCACCAGTGAACAAGATTCTTTTTCAAGATACATATAATATATGGTGGTGGTGGTGGTGGTGGAGTCAGGGCAGAGTTTCAATCTTTTCTAAAAATTGCAGGTGCCTCACAAGGGATGCCTACTTCACTATTAGAGAAGCAATGGTCCAGAGGGAAAAAACGATGAAGAGGAAATAAGATGTTGTCAAATATTCAGTAAAGATGGGGAAAAGAAGGAGAAACAGCTGTCTGCTAGGATAACTGGGAGATAGCCCCCAAACAAAAACAAAACAAATGACAACTCCAGTGGGTTCAATTTATAGTGGACTAGACTGAACGTGGGTTGCAGAAAGTGCCTCCCAGCTGTAAGAGTAGTTGGGCAACTGAACGAAAATGCTGCATGGCATGTTACAGTATTTCCTGGATTACAAAGCAACCCTAACTGTTGATCACCACCTCTAAATCTGAAGCCTTGTTGCCTCCTATTGGTCAGGACGGCAGGTGGGGGGAAGTGCCAGCTCCAGGCTGCCACAGCAGAGAGCTCGATCTGGCATCTCTTTAGAATACACATTGTTTCTACTGCTCCAATTTCACATCCCTCTTCTGCAAAGGGGCTGGCTTAATAGCCAGCTGATCCTTTGCCAGCCCAGTTCTCTGTACAGTGGTACCTTGGTTCCCGAACGGCTTAGTTGACGAACAAATCGGCTCCTGAACACCACAAACCCGGAAGTAAGTGTTCTGGTTTGTGAACGTTTTTTGGAACCTGAACATCCGTTTCGGCTGCTGGCATTGTTTCCGGGGCTAATCAGCCAATCAGAAGCCGTGCCTTGGTTTTTGAATGTCTTGGAAGGCAAACGGACTTCCAGAACAAATTGAGTTTGAGAACCAAGGTACCACTGTAATTGTTTTACTGGGGGTCTGTTAATTATTCTATATGCTTTATGCTGTATTTGTGACTTTCTATTATGTTCTATCATGTTATTGTTATTTACTGTTTGTAAGCCGCTTTGGGATTCATTTGAATGAAAAGCGGCATAAAAATATAATAAATCAAATCAATCAATGTTCCTCTGCACCCCACCCTCAACACACCCATTTTGGGGCCTCTCACCAGTGGGAACATTGCCTGTGGTAGCTGTAAAATAGTCTGTGTCAGAGCCTCCCTGCCCCTTACAGAGATATCTCTGCTTAATCCAAACACCTAGCAGCATGGGTTGGGGGTTAGGATCACTCCATTCATGTCCCCAGGGATATGATAAATCTCGAAGATTTGGCCTATGTGAGTGGGAAAGGCAAGATTAGATTACTCTTGCGCTCCCTTCAATATTGAACATGAAAAATGGAATACTGGAAGCAAAGTGCACTCTTGATGGAATGTGGCAATAGCTCCAATTGATAGCAACAGGAAATACCGCTTCTGACTGGGGTAAGTACAGCAAACAGTCAAGGAATATAAATAGGTATTCCTGGGGCTGCTCCTCACTTTGGAAGTTCTAGCAACCCAACAAAGTCCAAGCCTGAGCAAATTATCCATGGCCAGGATGAGCATAAGGGTTTTTTAAAAGGCAGAATTTAGAAGATTCATTACTTATTACTTTGAAGTATTGTCCAGCTTATACTGTGGGGGATAGGGTGGTTTAAACAAGTAAAAGAAATAATGACGAAATCGTTATGATCAGAAAGCCTTCGTGGTGTCTGTTCATGCCCATGAGAACCAAATGCATTAGTGTCCAAATTAAATGACAAAACACAGTGTAAACACTTCTGCAACTTGGGTCATACACAGTGTATACAAATCCAGCCAGTCTTTCCATTACAGACAGTTAAAGCCTAAAAATCAGCTTGAGAGAGAAGGCAAGCCAACCATTTCTACCACAAATTAACCGCTTGGGTGCAATGCTTTTGTCACAGTTCCACATCCCAAGCAAAGGAGGTACCAACCCTCCCTCCTCCACTCATTTTAAAACCTTGGTTATAGAGAAGATAGTTTAAACAGCTAGTCCTTGATCAACCATGGGCTCTCCAGCTCAGATCGGAGTTGCTAAGACTTCAATACCAGCTCCTTGTACTGTAGGGACCAGTTTTTGATGCACCTCATGATTATAGCAAAACTGTTTTATGCTACTTTTTATTTCACGTGTGTATGTTCCACCTTGATTCGAGTGTGTGTTTCATGGCTCCAGGCACAAGACAGCATGTTGGTGCCTGCAACTTCTATTGCCAGCACTTTCAAAGGTTAGAGGCAGCATGGTCCGACTTGGCAGGCTGCGTATCCTCTGAGCACAAACTCATTTTACAGGCACATACGTTTTAGGAGGTACTTTCAAATAATTTAAATTAGTTGTTGAAATTGGTGCCATGAGAATCCAGGAACCAAACTATAGACAATGGATCAGATCATGGATATACTGACAACCCCTCTCCTCAAAATGGCCACAACCTAATTTCCCACTTGTATTCATGCCACCAAGCATACCTGATCTGGGGCATGTGACAATAGCTAGTTAGTTAATAACTCCTTGTGTTGCCTGACACTTGTGTGTGATCTAAGGGCCACCATCATTTTAAGGATAACTTTTATTCACTACAGAGCTATTTTTAGTACGCTACTTTCTACATTTGGGGCAGGATTCGAAATAATCTCCATTTCATGATATTGCTTTTACCACCAATGTACTCTCTTGAGTCCACTGATTCACTAATCATATGCACTTGCATATTGCTCTAGCTGAGAAAGGATAAATCCTGGAAGTGGTGATGGATGAGGAATAGTAGCCCTTCTAGAAAACAGTGGTAAAGTTAAAAGATCATTCATCTGCTTACATTTGGGTTCCAGATGCTGGCTGTTTCCGATCAAGCAGTCCTTGATATCGGCTCCGCTCTCTATCACTGCATTATGGCACACAACACAGTTCTGTAAGCTGCACCTGTAATGCAATTATAAATGGGGCATTATTATGATGATATTGTTTTATTATTACCTTCATATCCCACCTCCAAGGAGCTCATGGTAGCATACATATTTGTCCCCCTCTCCATTTGATCCTCACAGCAACCTAGGGAGGTTGGCTCAGCTGAGAGCTAGTGACTACCCCAAGGTCATGCAGTGGAGGGCTTCATGGCTAAGTGGAGATTTGAACCCTGGTCTCCCAGGTCCTAGTCCAGGACTCTTAACCACCACACCATGCTGGCTCTGAAATGCAGCAAAAAGTTAGACCAAGAACAGTAGTGACTCCTTGACCAACAATAGCACTGCTACTGCCACCAGGGGACAGGAACCATAAATATATGGTCTCAGATTCCATCTCTGTTGTAAAAAAGGATCAGGTAGTAGGTGAGTAAAAAATTCCCTGCCTGAGACCCTGGAAAATGACTGCCAGTCATAGCAGAGCAGACAATACTGGTCTAGATTAACAAATAGCCTATCCTTGTGTAAGGCAGCTTCCTATGAGCAGACCTGGGATATAAAACCTGCCTTTCTTCCAATTCCAGTCTTCTTCTTTCCCAGCCTGGGTGCTTAGTTGCTATGACAGAGCTCTGCTGCCAGATGTCACAAAGGAAGCATACAAAAGGACAAAGACAAGACAGTTGCCACCTTTCACATTCAGGATGCTTTTCTATTTGCAGCTTCTACTGCCTTGCAGAGCTCCCCCCACCCTTTTGTATTAGGGTAAATATTGCCACTGACTTTGTATTCATGCACACACAAATACCCTGCTATGTTAAACCAACAAAAGCCAAGGAAATAAAGCCTGGAATGCTCTCTGGTTCAGGGATTCCCAATTGGTGCAACCTTGCACACTGTTTGCTAGAATAACAAGGACACAGCCAAAATAGTGAAAGGTATACTACCCTGCCAACAGTCTTTGCAAAAGGATGGTTTTAAGTCACAGTTAAAGAGTCAGAGGAGAAACAAGCAAGCAAGCAAGCAAGCAAGCAAGCAAGCGCCAGATTCCTAATTTCAGCTCTCTCAAAATCCTACATGTAAGTGGTACTATTCCTTTGCATCTCTGTCTCATGAGAATCCATCATCAGACAAAATAGGGAGTGTGAAAATCAGTGTTAGAAATATTCACTGACATTACACACAATTTCCTTCTCAAACACATACCAAAGCATTGTCAGATCGTAGGCTTCTTGTCTGTGCCCAAGCAAGTACAAAAACAGAAAAGCTACATAGGCATCCAGCTACTTGAACAGATGTGATTTCATTATGTAACAGAATCATAGAACTGTAGATTTGGAAGAGACCATGAGGGTCATCTAGTCCAACCCCCTGCAATGCAGGAATCTCAATGCAAATCCAGAAGTTTCTATTCCGTGTGGAAACAGAAAATAATAGCACACAGAAATGCAGAAATCATAATGCTTTTTGGATACTTCCAAAAGGCTGGAATTCTATGTGCTTTCCCTAAGCCCTTTCACAATGAGACACAAATCTATATTTCTTTTCATCACCTAGTGTTTGGTATCAAATTCCAAAGCTCTATTAAAACCTGGATGAATTGGGGAAAAGTTTTAATAATTTTCACATTTTCCAACATTTTCTCATTTCTGGTTGAAGAAAGTGACAATCTCACTTGAAATGTAAAATTCAAGCTTTTCATGTTTCATTCCCAAGTTGCCCACTTGCAACTAAAGAATGCTGCACTCAGGTCCCCTGGCACAGGATAGATTTAGACCCTGAGAAATTGCTCCCCCTATTGGTTGCCCGTCACTGTTCCAGTGGAACACGGCTGTCAAAGCAGGCAGACTATCCTGTGAGCACAAGCAGCATATACAGGGCTTCAAATATCAAGACAGAGACCTTGACTGGACTTAATGAAAATTCGCAAGGATACGATCATAATGCCCCGGGTTGCTAAGGAGACCGACTCCCATCTCAGACAATTGGGAACTGAGCTTCTCCAGTCAAAGCTGAGTTGACAATCCTCTTGTTGAAAAGAATTTAACTCCCTCTCTAAGACATCATAGGGCTCAGAGAGGAGCAGGCCTATGGTATGAAAAGGGAGACATTTTGAACAGGCAAGACTCTCCTTGCTGTAAGCCCAACTGCCTCCCCTCTCACACAGCAAGGCTGCACAGTTATGCATGATGGAGTCATCTAGCTCAGGTTGCCTTGGCAAGGCCTCTTATTGAGATGTTAATAGAGGGGAAAGGCTGTGTAGACAGCTCTCTCTCCATTTGCTCCCTATCCCTGCTACACTGACACAGCTGCTTCCTTTCCAACAGCTCCATTTACTGCACAGCAGTGCTAGCATGAAGAGTATCTAGGATTCACTGGTTTACACACTAGAAACCCAGAGTGCTGTTGGGATTTTTAAAAATGCACCCCAAGTTCAGGTGCAGCACTTGCAAGATCCCCGTGGTTTGCCATCGCAGAGAATTGCAAACTATAACTTTCCAAGCTGAAAGTTTCTCAGTGTCTTGATTCCAAGTGACTTTAAAACAAATGCCATGGAAAACAAATCAAGAGCACACTCTCTCGCATACTGTTGAACTTACCCAAGCTTCTAAGCTGGCTTCATTTGTGATGCTAGGCTGTGATTTCAGGAGATACATAAAGTAAACTGCTCACCTCTATATTTTCAAAGGGCAAGATCTTTATACCAGTATACTTTGGTGTTACAAAATCTTTTACACTAGGAAAAACTGAAATCAATTAGTCTGCAAAGAACTTCCAGAAGCATCCTCTTAAGACATATGGCAAACAGGCAAATACCCTCACCCTCTCCTCCATCACCTTTTTTAACAGGGAGCTTGAGGAAGAGTTCTGTGTTACTCAAAAGCTCGCTTAATGTTTTGTGGCTTTTATTTGGCCTAATAAAGGCATTCTAATACTGCTCTTGTTTGGGCTTATTAAGAAACAAAATTTGGCTGCTTTCAACATCTGTTGGGCTGAAAGAATCCATGAAAGAGCAGAAATCTCATTCTGGATGTCAGATTCCAGCAAAACAAGGGAAACGTATTTTCCAGCTCCAGGATGACAAAAGCTTACCAGGGCTGGAAACATTTTAAATTCAGTATCTATAATGCAGGATTTCAAACACACACTGATAATTCTAAGCTCCCACTAGGGCCCTGCCCCACAATAGAGCAGTTTGGCCAGATTTTACCACAGGAGTGGAAAACAAATTGAAGACGTAAAACACATTTTGTGGGTGTTCCTTCCACTCACTGACAGATGTAATACAGCCATTTGGAAATTACTTGCAAATGCTTTTTTGTGCACATTTTAAAAATCAAACTATAAAGACTGCCAACAGAAGAATTTTGTGTTTATTTTATTTCAAACTCCTTTCTGTCCCCCCACCCCTGTCAAGAAATAAGCTTATTTTCTTATGTGGCAAGCATCTGATTTCCTGGCAATTTGATTTCCAGTTTTGAGTACTGTATCCTTATAAAACTACACATATAACATTAGCCTGTATAACAGCTTTGATGCTAGCAGGCACCTATGTAAGAATGTATCGGATAGAGTGGTTTCTAATGGGAAACACATTTATTGTTGCGAAAAGGACAATCTACATTTTCAGCACTGTGAAAGTAGATATCTTCTGATCCTAAAATCTGCAGCGCTCACCTTATTAACAAGTCACAAATGATTTAAAGGTATACAAATTGGCCAATGTGAACACAAAATCAGCCTCTATGCTAATCATAATATATTTAATGTCCATTAAATTCCGCAACTCAAGCTTTGTTTAAGAGCCAAAGTCAAATTTCAGGCTGTAAAATAAAGACAAAATAAAACACAGATATCAACAAAGACATTACGAGACAGAATAGTACAGTGGTACCTCGGGTTACATACACTTCACGTTACATACGCTTCAGGTTACAGACTCTGCTAACCCAGAAATAGTACCTTGGGTTAAGAACTTTGCTTCAGGATGAGAACAGAAATAGTGCTCCAGCGGTGCAGCGGCAGCAGGAGGCCCCATTAGCTAAAGTGGTGCTTCAGGTTAAGAACAGTTTCACGTTAAGAACGAACCTCCGGAACGAATTAAGTACTTAACCCGAGGTACCACTGTATTTATTGCGCTGAAAAACCTGTAAGATATCTTGTAATTATTATTTTAATAAGTAACGAGGGTGGTCTCTTTGCTTAATAAGTCTAAGGAAAATGATGAAATTAAAATTGTCATGCATGGGCAGAGTTGCTGCTATTAGAATTAATACACTCCTGAGGTTTCTTTTTGTCTTTGAACATGTGCCAATTAGTATACATGCACAAATACTGACAACTTGGCAGGAAAATGTTATCTAATTTTAGTTGGGAGGGTAAATGATAATGAGTTTCTTTGCAGAATTCAAAAGAGAAAGAGAACAGCCTGCCCAAACTCTTACTATTTTGTCATGGCACTGAAAATGACACATTAAATACATGGCACAAGCCCATTGGAAGATACTCCATTCTGTTCCATTTGGAACTGTTTTACGTGTTTTGCAATTGTAGTGGTTTTGTTTTTATAATGGTATATTCAGTGGCTCCCAAGTGGTTTTCCCCATGGACCACTTAAAAATTGCTGAGGATCTTAGTGGACCAATTCATTATTTTTCTGCCTCTTGTAGCAATCACAATATGCCGTGATAGGTGCTGTATGGGTTTTATTTGTATCTTTATTGCTTTTTTATTTCTTATATTGTATTGTCTCCTATTACAATTTGAATTCCACAGAATTCTATGGAATTCAAAAGGCAAGTGAGTTCTTCACAGACACAGTGCAGACCACCTGAAGGAAGCTTGTCCGCAGACCACTTTGGGAACCTGTGGTATATTTTATGAAATTGTGTGTTTCTGAGTATACAGAAAACCAGACAGTAACAAGCTCTCATCATTGAAATACAGAATGGAGAAACGGGAAAAATATGAAAACAGCATTCACTGTTTTTGAAATACTAGTTGTTAATTGGAACGATTCCAAAAATGTTATTTAGAATTCACTGTCAATTTGCTATCTGTTAATTACTAGTATGAAACAAATCTTTAAGTGGAGAAAATATGCTTGAACAAAATTGTTGCAGTGCATGACTGGGATAAAATCTGTACTAAATATTTTGATATGCCAGTTAATATTAATATGAGGGAAACATTATAAAATAATAATAGTATTTGAGCCCCAACAAACTGAAAACTATGATTATGTCATTCATAAATGCTGGAGATGTGATCTATTGTGATAATGTGTCATGGAAATGTTTTCCGACATTACAACGTACTTGCTTTATCGGATGGACTGGTGAGAGATAGATGTGACATGCTCACCTCTCCTTTGTTAATGGTGGGTGGAATTCAACTGGTGCTCTTGTGCTCATGCTAGTGGAAGAGGAGAGGAGGCATTTTTGCCTCTCACAAGCACTCTGCAGCTCCCACTGAGAACTAGCTCCGAGGAGTTGGGGGACCCTCCAGGACAGGGTGAAGAGTGGCACAAGGGGCTATAGGGAGAGAGGGGGAACTGGCAAAAACCACCTCTCTGTGCTGTTAGCGGACACCACTTGATCGCTCCTATGACACAGCATGAGACTCTTAATCTCAGGGTCTCGGTGGTGGGTTCATGCCCCACGTTGGCAAAAGATTCATGTATTGCAGGGGACTGGGCTAGATGACCCTTGTGGTCTCTCCCAACTCTACAATTCTAGGATTCTACATGAGATCAAAAGCCCTTTCATGAGCAAAAGGGCATCACAATTGGAGATGGCCAATTGATTAGTTGCTAAAAAGGGGCACAGACAAAAAAACCTACAATTTAAAAATGGTTCTCCAAAGAATGGCACATTGTACAAATGTCTAAACTTACTGAGATTGTGAAACTTGGGATAAGGAAGCCAACAAAAGGAAACTTCTGTGAAAACATGGCATCTATTCATTAAATTTGGAAGGCTATGTATACATATCAATATGAATGTTTATACAGGTTTTTAAGTTCAGTAGCATAATTTGTGTTCTTTTTTTGTTTTGTTTGAAAGGCTTTTAAAAGAGTTTTTAAAAAAAAAAAATAATGAAAAAGCTAACAACCACAACAAAACTGTGAGGCATCACAAACCGTTTGATTTAGAACTGAAATTACAACTAGGAGTTTTGATCGGCTTCAAGCAAATCCAAGTAGCTGAACTGGTCTTCTCTGGAGAGGAAGGGATTTAGCCCAATTTTGTGATACTAATGCAGACACAGCCATCTGATGCTAAAATATGTTAATGTGTTGACCAGGTGTGATAGAGAGAAAAAGGGGTTGGGAGTCTGACTTTTGAGAGAAATGGGGGGGGGGTGGCATGGAGAAGAGGAGTGATGACCAAGAAGTTGGGGGGGGGTAGATTACAAGGATTTAAGTCTTTAAAGCAGAGACCACCTAACAAGATGACTCTGAAATGCTTCTAATTTCAGTAAAGCTGCAACCCACCCCCTCCCCTCCCCCATGCCTCCATTGTAAACAACTAATCCCAGCAGAAAACAACAGAGAGTAAAATGTATACTCATTCTGCAGCATTCCAGGCCTTGCTTTATCTTTTATTTATTTTTCTAAGAGGTCAGAGATTGTTTGAAAGAAGGAGGAGGGAGGGAGGCAAAGACACAGGCCATCTCTTGTGTGGGCTTGAAGGAAGCTGTTTTAAAGGCAATGTCCAAGAACATACAATCTGGAGTTTTTATAGCAGAGCAATCCCAGGCCTCATTCTCTCTCTCTCCCCCCCCCCCCCATTTTGTGGTAAAGCTACACAGCTTTAAACCAAAGGACAGGGTGGTCGATTACTTCGGAAAGAAATGTAAAGAATTGGGAAATAATTCCTTTTCCTGTTGAAACTATAAATAAGGAAGGCTGATTTACACAGTGCCAGGACTGCTGACTTTCAAAGCTTGCTATCTGTCTATAAATCAAGTGCGTTGAGGGAAGTTAACTCTATACTTAAAGAGAGAGAGAAAAGCAAAGCCTCCACCACCTAAAGGTAGCGAGAGAGCCAAGGAATTGTGGTCTTCTATTCTCTTTAGCCCCAGAAAAATGCATCTGAGTGAAATCAAACATAGTGTGGAGGAGTGGGGGAGTGGGAAGGGTGGGAGACTAAAATCTGCAGCGTTCAGCACACAAGGAACAGGCTGCAGAAATCCAAAACACAGCCCATAATTACAGGCTACCCGCCAATTATTTAGGACTCAGTGATTAAAGTAATGAACAGCCATGGAGGAAAAGGAGCTTAGATGACTGAGGTCAAGACCTCAAGCAGAGCCCCAGCCCTAGACTCAGCTACCCAAAAAGGTATGGATGACAAACCCTTGCCTTGCAGCCAGTCTACAGACATGGAGAAGTACAACACATCTATTCTTTTATGTGGTGCTTTTAAATGCCAGGGTAGTGGCTAATGGAGCAGCAGCCATGTATTATTTGACACAGGGCAAGGCTGGCAATGTGGCACACTTCAACAAGCCCTGGCTGGATTTTGCACGAGGGCTTATGCTGCTCTGAAGAGTTGTGAAGGAATATGTGGTGAATCATTCAGCCCAGTAAGGGGACAGGAAAGTGTAATTAGCCATAACTTGTAAAGTTTTCATCCTTCTGGTCAAAATTATTGCAAGTTTGGAATATGCATATTTCATGTCGGAACCTGGGATAGTCTAGAAATCTTGCAGCTGTATTGAACATTCAGCTTCTTAAAACAATCTGGATCAACCTGTCTCAGAGCTGGTGTCTGTGTCTCCAGGACCTGGTGTCCTAGAAAATGCCGACATCTATATCAAGGGTGTCAAGACTGGCTCAACATTTCAAGGCTCCTGAGGGAACCACAGATCTCACCATGTATCGTATTGGCAGCCCCACAGATGTGGCAGTATATACAGTGGATTTTTAAATTCCACACAAGCCTGGAATCTGCTAACCTGTATTGTGATGGGACTAGAATGTTACCTTTGACTGCTTTGTCAGGGCATGACTCTTAGGGACTATTGATCTATGGATTTGACTCGTTTCCGGAACTCAGAATTGCTCACTTAATTCACAAGTTTTCAAGGTAATGATGTAGTCAGTTTCTGGAAAAAGGTCTAATATAACACAGAGGTTGCTGGTACAATTGCTCCTAAGTGCTTCTCTAACCCCACTCTGAAGCCACCCATAATTGTAGATTCAGTCAGTTACATTGCTTACAGAGAAGCAAAGCAGCAGGAGGAGTGACAATGCAAGTTTGAATCTGACCAAATATGCCACAGGGCCAATCAGTAGGGCTATAATGTGGCATAAAAATCACCAACACAGTTATGCCCAGAAGAGCTGTTCCAGCTAGTACAGAGACTATGTTTCCCATGTTTGAATATTATGGCATTTAAAGCTAATGTGGACTGTTTTGGTTTTTTTGCAAAGCAATTTGCAGATAAAATAATACAAGCTTACTTTGATTGTTGAAGCAGAATCCAAAACAGAGATGTCACAGTACCTGCTTGTCAGAACTGCTTAGATACATTTCAGTTGTTGCCGAAATATGTTTATATTCAGGAATTATTAGTGCAGTTGTCAAAACCCTGTCCCTAGGTTATTTCACAACTGCTTAACACAATAATATTTATTCCAGCCATGTATTTGTTACAATGCTTGTGTTACTGGGACATCTTATCTTTGATCATTGGATCATGATGGAAAGGCATTTTATTCTTCCTCATGTGGTCAGATCATTACTTTTGAGATTATGTCCCACAGACCTCTGGATTGAATTTAGGCCCAAACACTCATTGCAATGCACATGTATGCACCTGCACTCTCCATCCTTTCACTTTTCTGCCCAAGAGCAGAACAGATTTCTTTTTTAAAAAAACACCTGTTCTAAAAACAGCATGAGAATTTCTTACTGTGGCCACTTGCTGAATTCAATAAGGCAATAAAGGCTATGGCACTGTTTTGGAAAATAGCTTAATGTTTGCAGTAACAGCAGACCCCATCACCTTCTATTCTCATATAAAGTACCTCCATATTTCATATGTTTGATTTGGGGAATTATCCATTCAGATAAGTTCTCTTCAGATTTAGGTACCATTCTCAAACTTTAAAACAGAGTGCAACAGCCTTATGACTTGGAGGAGGGGAAGAGAGAGAGAAGTCACGTAAGTGCTATTATATTTTCATTATTTCTTGCAATATTTTCAGTTATGTACCTTCATCGTTGCTTCCAGCAAAGTGCAATGAACAGTTTTGTAGAACTCTTCACTGTAAAAAGCATCATGTAAAATAAGGAAGGATGGGGGCAAATGGTACAAATGTCTCAATTCTTCAAGCGGGGCTTGGTCTTTGGGCAGGGCAACAGCACCACCCCCTCTCCCATTAAATCCAGTGGGCATTCCTACAAGCTTATGGGCTATTATGCAATGGTTCTGGGTGGTCTGCTAACTAGAGTCCTTCATAATGGTGAAGGACATGTAAGGTGTCAAGAAGCAACATTCCCTATTAGTATAATGCAGTGCAGAGCTCATCCTGGAGCTCCAGAGGCATAGTTGGCCAGGCCCAACGCCAAAGCAAGCATCTTGCTGGCTGTTTCTTGTCTGTCTTTGGCAAGAGCTGCTTTGGCGTTAAATATAAATCTTATATGTAGAATATTTTTGTCCTTTTTAAGTGGTGGACATCTTCCACAAAGCCCACTCAGTATAAACAGGGAGTTCCAAATTCGTGCTGCTTCAGTTTTGTGGGGCAAATGCTTTCTCCAGAACAGAAACAAATTCTGGTTCACATTAATGCCAGAGCACTTTGTTCAGCCCATACTGCCTGACTGATGGCAAAATGTCCTCCAGAAAGAATCCACCATTTATCACTGGACATAAGTAGCCTGCATCAGTGTGTCCCATATGATCACCCTTAGTCTAGCCCCACAAGGAGCATGCCAAACTGGCAACTGAAGAGGAGGCATTCCTGTGACAGTTACCATCCTAGGATGCAGACCACCACAATATAAAATGTTTTGATCATCTCCACATGAGTTCCACATTATTTGCAGCTTCGCAACTATGAGATTGGAAACAACTTCATTTTCTCATTCCTACTCAAGAGGGATTATGTTGTAAAATATATTTTATGATGCCACACAAATATTGCCTTGGCAGCAGGCTTGTTCCCTTGTACATGTTATACAAGGTGGGGGTGGGAGAAAGCTTCTGTGCTTGTACCCCTATAAATCCCCAATACCACCCTGGGCTTAATTAGAACTTTCTTCAGATCGCTCGCAACTTTGTACATCAGGTGCTGATTTGGCACCATCGAGGAAACAACTCATAAACTTCACAATCAATCTGCAGTTAGCAGCCAACTCCTCTTGCCTTGCTGGTTGGGTTTTTCCTCTCCCCTCCCCCGCCCTTGTACACATTCTCATAGAAAGTAGCATTAAATTGGAGACATGTGGTAGGCGGCAGCGGAGCTTAACTAGACACATGTGCTCTTTCTCCCATCAGCCTACTGCCTGAAGAACAGTGAATGCATCTATATCATTCACTCAGGCAGGTAACTGAAAAGGTGCTTTAGAAAAACACAATCACCACCAAGCAGCAGCTCATTTCCTAACTATGACTGACTGTAGAAGGTCCCAGTTATTTCATTCCCATTTTTCCATATAAACTATAATTGAGACAGCTTACAAACAATCAAGAACAATAAAATAATGTAAGCCAGCTCACAGCAGCAGCTTCAGTAGGAGTAAAATCTTTATCTTCCAAAACGTTTCATTGAAATAAAGCCACTGCTCATCTGAAAGTGAACAGTGATGGGACCAGGTGTACTGGCCTTTGTAGAATGTTCCAGATTCTGGATGCCAAATATATCATCTAGGCTGTGTTCAAATATTGTTGTTTATTCCTCCCCAACACTTTCAAAACTCCCAACATCTTATCCAGGCTCTTTCACCTCAACATCCTTGTCTGACCACACTGATTCCCATCACAATGATCCTTAGCATTTAAACTGAGCAATTCTCTTGGTGCACTCCACTGAATGAACAGGAGCTATACAAAAGGACAGCGCTTGCTTTCGCAATGCCCATTCATCTTCAAGCAGCATGAGCAGAATTTCCCCATAGACTGTGCCCTGTGGCAAGGGTGCTATTTGGATTTTGTGCCTCAGACTCCAAAGTGCCTGCTCACTTCCTCACACTTCCCTCAAGTCATCATCCCCACAAGTGACCTCACTTGTCTGTTTTATCACATGATATTGGTAGCTTTCAGGTCACCAGGCCCTTGTCCCAACCCTTGTCCAAGATTTTATCCTCACCTGTTCCTTGAATTGACCTGTAAATTACCTAATTAGGCAACTTACCTCATTTAACCAGTGTCTAAAGTATACAAAGAGGCATAGTGCTATTACTGAACAATACCTCAAGCAAACTTCATATTGTATTGTGCTTGTGAAGCTCACCCACTTGCATTCCCCTTGTCAAATATGCAAGTCAAGTGATCCTCCACAATGACATCTTTTCAGATGGAGACCCTAGTCGTGCAGCATATCTGCCTGGTTGGTGAGGACAGCAGGCGTCATGGTCCATTAGTGTGTCTGGCTCACACATTCTGTGAGGTGTCTGTGAGGGGGAGGGGCTTCCACTGCCATCAAAGTGCAAATCAGGGCAGCGATTCTCTCTGGTCCCTTAACTGGGAGGGGACGTGTTTAAGTGGCTGCTAAAGATTTATTAGCTTCAAGCATCAAATGCATTTTTACACACCGCACAAATGGAGGCCAATATGGATTATCTAGACTAGTTCTAAAAAGGCAAGAAAACTGCAGGATTAGAAGTCATCTATCCTTCCTAGATTGAGTGTTCTATTACCATGCTTATAGGCAAAAACTCCATGCCTTCATTTGGGGGAGAAAAAAAAGTGGGCCAGAAAGTACTTTGTTGATTTTATCTTGTCTTTTAACACTTCTATCCCAATGGATTAACCATGCAGACCCAGAGGCAAACATTTTATATACAAACATAGCCAGCTTAAGCCCATGGCATCTTGGAATGCAGCCGAGCACATCCAGTGTTTTAAGTAATATGCTGAAAATAAAACTGACTGAATTATACAATAAGAGCAAAGAGCCTGCCAAACATGTTACTGTTACCAATGACATCAGTTTTACTCTGATGACATTCACTACCACTTGTCATTTGGCAAGAAATCTTCCCAGATGTGCTGTGCATGCCACATGATAGGCAAAGCCAGCTCAGTGCTGTGAGAACTTGGCTGGAAGTTCCCAATGGAATGGCTACAGTCTCCTGCCCATGTTATAGTAGCAAACTGAGTATTTTTAACATGGAGAATAATTATAAATTGTAGGGCTCTGTGACAAGTAGCAACAGAATCCCTTTTCAAGGAGTTGGTTGAGCATGAGACTAGACACCTAGACATTCCTATTAAACAATGCACAGATAATTTGTCAATTGAGTATCCCTGAGGTGTTTCCTCTACATTCCATTTACATGTCAAAAACTGAAATCTGGGTAAGACCTTGATGTTTCTGCTTCACTGTTTTTTCCAACTTAATGAAATTCAAAATTAGCAACTCCAAATGTGGATCTCTCTAGTACTATTGACTAAACTTAAGCTTGGAAATATGCAAGTTTGTCCTTTGTCAACTTTGCTTCCAAGATTGTTCCTTCCCCATCCGCTGTCTGATGTTCCATTTCCCTTGGGAATCAGCATACTTCTTGTGAATCTCCCACCTCTAACCATAACATCTATTAGAATCTGCAACATAACTAAGAGCCACTACAGTGACCACCATTCCATTCCCCACTTTCTACATGGCTGTGGAATATCTAGGTTTAAACTCATGGATTTGTGATCCTGACACCCAGTTTGGCTCTGAGTGCAACTAGTTGATTCTGGGGTTCTAGAATCAACTTTAATGCTACAAAAACAGAGGCTCACTTGCTCTGGTGAAAGAAGCAGTAAATGGAATAATATGAACGGCATCTTGAAGCTATGCTTCTATTAAGATTTTCTCTCCCCAGCACCTTCTGATACTATGCAACAATCCTTGACTGGTCACAACAACTGGATTTCAGGCTGTAGAAACTCAGGCAGATTACCTACTGTTAGGGATGGTTGGGGTGGGCTGTGGGAGAGTTGCTTCTACTTAGCTGAACTGGCTTTGATGCAGAGATTGGCTATTAACTCACCAGTCAATCTCTGTGCTTACTTCTCATTGCAAGCCATACTCTTCCATTGGTCACATATGTGGCAGAAGGAGCAGAACAGAACCAATGAGAGAGCTTGGAGCCAAGGGTCACCTTTCAGTTATTGCCAGGGGCCGTAGCTGTTTGCATGGTAAGCAGCCTAAAAACAAAAGACTTACGTGTCCAACACTCAGAGGCATAAATCATGACTCCTACCTTGCCACACTTTAGCCAAAGTAAAAAAGCCAACACCCATTTCCCAGCTGCTGTAATGATTGAAGGAGAGCATGTGGCTACTGTGCACTGTGCATGGATACACCTGGCTGGCAACTGAATAGTCTCTGTAGTGTGGGTAGCAGTTTCTTCCTGGCTGCACAGCTCAGTGCAGTCATTTGTCACTGAGCCCTCGGGAATGTCCACAAGGAAACATGGGCATTTTCTACACTCCTGCCTGTCACCTGATTTGCCAGCATCTCTCAGCACTTATACTCTTCTATAAATTACTTCCTTTAACAGCTTTTACCAGTTCACCCCGCCTGCTTGCCAAACCTGGTCAAGCATGCCTGTCATTCAGCACATATGGAACTTGCGTTAGTTTACTGCCTCCTGAAATGGAAGAGCAAGCGGTGTAGTGAGGAAAGCATTAAGGAGAGAACTGATAATCTCACTTAGCTATATTGGATTCTTTTTTAAAAAAATGCTAAGGATTACTTAACCAAACTAGGAATCTAGACTTGATGTAAAAGAGAACTGGCTCATCGTTGTTGAGTACTACAAAATAACTCTTTCTGTCATAGCAAATCAATGGGCTCATGCATGCTAATTAAAAGATAAACATTATTAAAGAGTTGCCTTGATGCAAATTCCAAATGTCTCCACATTTCTTTATTGTTGAAAACAGCGCTGTAGGTTGAACGCATGCAGCCAGGTAAAAACTCTCAGGTGAGAAAGTGAGCTAAACCACAACTCTAAAGAGAAGATACTATCTGTTATTTGGTGCTGGATTCCTGATTCATTTCCTGAAGGCCAAGCAGCACAAGGGCTATTTTGGGTTGATGGGATTTCACAAATACCTTAGAAGAAATATTCAATCTAACACAGAGGAGCTCTATCAGAGGGTGAATCATGGACAGCAAAGCAGATGGTTAGTGGAGTTTTAAAAGATTCAATATTTAGAATAGTGTAGGAAAATATTATTTACCGTATTTTTCGCTCTATAGAACGCACTTTTTCCCCTCCAAAAATGAAGGGGAAATGTGCGTGCGTCCTATGGGGCGAATGCAGGCTTCACTGAAGCCTGGAGAGCGAGAGGGGTCGGTGCGCACTGACCCCTCTCGCTCTCCAGGCTTCAGTGAAAGCCTGCATTCGCCCCCACAAGGTCGGGGGACAGCAGGGAGGCGGAACGCCGCCATCCCGCTGTCTCCCGAAGTGGTTTGGAGGCTGACGGCGGGGAGACTCCGCCGCCGGCCCGCAAGCTCCGGGGACAGCTGGGAGACGCAGCGCGCCTTCCTGCTGTCCCCGGACCTGATCTGAGGCGGGCAGCAGGGAGAAGAGTGCTTCTCCCGCTGCCTGCCCCGCAAGCTCCGGGGACAGCTGGGAGGCGCAGCGCGTCTCCCGCTGTCCCCGGACCTGATCTCAAGGCGGGCGGCAGGGAGAAGAGCGCTTCTCCCGCTGCCTGCCCCGCACGCGCCGGGGACAGCAGGGAGGCGCTGCGCGTCACCCCGCTGTCCCCGGACCTGATCTCAAGGCGGGCGGCAGGGAGAAGAGCGCTTCTCCCGCTGCCTGCCCCGCAAGCCCGGGGACAGCTGGGAGGCGCAGCGCGTCTCCCCGCTGTCCCCGGACCTGATCTCAAGTGGGCGGCAGGGAGAAGAGCGCTTCTCCCTGCTGCCTGCCCCGCAAGCTCCGGGGACAGCTGGGAGGCGCAGCGCGTCTTCCCGCTGTCCCCGGACCTGGTCTGAAGGCGGGCTGCGGGGAGAAGAGCGCTTCTCCCTGCTGCCTGCCCCGCAAGCTCCGGGGACAGCTGGGAGGCGCAGCGCGTCTTCCCGCTGTCCCCGGACCTGGTCTGAAGGCGGGCGGCGGGGAGAAGAGCGCTTCTCCCCGCTGCCTGCCCCGCAAGCTCCGGGGACAGCTGGGAGGCGCAGCGCGTCTTCCTGCTGTCCCCGGACCTGATCTGAAGGCGGGCGGCGGGGAGAAGAGCGCTCCCCGCTGCCTGCCCCGCAAGCTCCGGGGACAGCTGGGAGGCGCAGCGCGTCTTCCCGCTGTCCCCGGACCTGGTCTGAAGGCGGGCGGTGGGGAGAAGAGCGCTTCTCCCCGCTGCCTGCCCCGCAAGCTCCGGGGACAGCTGGGAGGCGCAGCGCGTCTTCCCGCTGTCCCCGGACCTGGTCTGAAGGCGGGCGGCGGGGAGAAGAGCGCTTCTCCCCGCTGCCTGCCCCGCAAGCTCCGGGGACAGCTAGGAGACGCAGCGCGTCTTCCTGCTGTCCCCGGACCTGGTCTGAAGGCGGACTGCGGGGAGAAGAGCGCTTCTCCCCGCTGCAGGCCCCACAAGCGCCGGGGGGGGGGGAAATAAATTTTTTTTTCTTTATTTCCCCCCCAAAAAACTTGATGCGTCCTATGGGCCGGTGCGTCCTATGGTGCGAAAAATACGGTAATGCCACAGCAGAAGGTGCAGAATAATTTCACACATGAGATATTCAAAATATTTCCCCACCCAATGAACAATCAGCTTTTGATATTCATTGCTAAATGTAGGATTTAAAGCACCCAGATCCATTTTGTTTGTCAAATGCAGGGTGCTAAATTAGAATAATAAAAAACCTGCAGTTAATCTTTAAAATATTCCATTTGTTTATACACTGGAGATCCTTATATCCCAAGCTTTCCATTTTTACCAAAAAGCTATTTCTCTCCAAGGTAAAACTCTCAACAGAATATGAGTGCCATTTATCAAGTGTAATTCATGGCACCAAAACTGTATGGGATCAATTTAGAAATGAACCAAAGGCTAGCCATTATTTTTGAGCCAAAGGATTTATGATGTACTCAATGTTTGGCAACTGGGCACCACACTTACCTGTAGTTTCCTTTATTAAGTACAGTGTTCTCCAGAGATCTGACATCTTTTGCTTCCTCCCCTCCACCCAAGCATGTGGCTGTGAGAACCAACTTCACATTTTTCAGGGGTCTCACCACTGTCATGAGAGCTATGAGTCAATGTCAAGCTTAAGCAAAAAGGAGTCAATAGCTCCTAGGGTTTCCTATTCACTAGTGCTCACAGGAGGCTGCTCTGTAAAGGGAGGTGGAAAACATTCATGGCAGCTGCCATTTAGGTAACCATTTGTTGTTGTTTTTTAAAATATGGAATGCTTCATGAATTTGCGTGTCATTCTTGCACAGGGGCCATGCTAATCTTCTCTATCGTTACAATTTTAGCATATGTGCTGCCGGAGCAAGCACAGTAACCATTTGCTTTTATCAAAGGTTAAAACTATGCTGAAGGACTGGAAGGTCAGTGTACCAAAGACTGAGGAAAGCCCTGGGAAAATCCACAGAGGCTGCAATCCTTGGGAAAAATCTGTGAGTCCTACATAAACAAATAATAAATGCCGCCACTTAGCATTTGTGGAGTGTATGGGGTGTTAGGAGGACACACCATGCTCCTTTTGGGGTAGTTTGTCCACCTTTGGTCCCCACCCTGCACTCATCTCTCACCTGTGGCTGCTGGAAGCTGTCAGTATGTGACAGCAGCCGCACCCCAGAAATGGCTTCAACTGACCAGCTAAAGCAGGTGAGGGTAACCAATGGGTCTCAAACCCTCAGTGAGTTTGGGACTTCCCCTGCATACAAAGACAGGCTATGGTGGATTGAATGGACGAGACCAATAATGGGTCCAATAGCCAAGAAGATGATTTCTGCACGTGCTGTAGATGGAAATGAGGGGAAGAGGGGGCTCGTCAACCTGGGAAGGTATGGTTGTGCTAATGTAATGTTCACCGTAGTGCTACACTGAATGCAACCCCTTACCTTTGCAACTTAACATTTATTTTTCTTTCATCATTTTTCTTTTGGTCTTGGGAGATGAAAGCTTCTGTCCTGGGGCTTTCAGCCAAGATCAAGTGTGCTTGGAATACACTTACTTCAGCAGACACTGGTGAGTCAGTAACCAAAACTTAAATATGTCAAACCACAAAAAAATTAAGAAAACTACCTACCCTTCCTCAATCCTGACAGAGTTCATGATGATACAGTTAGTAATTTTAACTTTGTCTTTGATCACACATGCAGTACCAATGACAGAATGTTTAATTGCCGTTTTCTCTCCTAGTTGTGTTGATGCACCTACAATGCTGTCAGATCCAACCTTGAGAGGAGCAGAAAGAAAACATAGTTAAACTTCCTATTTACCTTTTATGGGTGCTGCTAGGTCCAATGAGCACAGAACAGATACAAAGGACTCTTGAATGAAAACCAGCAGGGAAGAACAGTCCCTTACAGCAGACTAGGAGATGGGAACCCAGACAGATATTTGATCTCTGAAAAAAGCTATGCCTTCCCCTAGTCATAAGAAGCATGTTTGTGATCCAAGAGTCTTTTCCACATAAACAAGGTCTGTTTATTTCTTTTCAGTGCTGTAGAACTAAAGAACTGGCTCCAGGATATGAGTCTTAGCACTGAAGAGGGTGGTGCAATCTTTGCTCATGTAGAACTGTGTATGTGTGCACTACAGCTAGTGGCACCGCCCACCCTGTGGAATGCCCTCCCATCAGACATCAAGAAGATGAGTGATTATATATCTTTTAGGAGACATCTGAAGGCAGTCCTGTACAGGGAAGCTTTTTAAGGTTTAATGTTTTACTATGTGTATATATGATGGAAGCCGCCCAGAGTGGCTGGCGCAACCCACTATAAATAATAATAATAATAAATAAATAAATCTACCATAGTAGAGCAATGGTGTCCAATGGTCAGAGTCTTTGGCTAAAATCTATGAGAAAGCAGGAAAAACCATAATACTGCTGTTGGTTGCTGCTCTCACTTAGAGTTTAATACTTTCCAATACATCCTGCTGTAAATGGCAATTGGTTGCATTAGGTGGGGGAAGACAGCTCTATCTGACTGAATACTTACATCAAGATCTACAAATTTGACACATAACAACGATGCCTGTCTGCTGGATCAGTTTGAGAGAGGAGGTGACTTGACTTGAAGCTGGATGCATTCTGACCCAGTCTGTACAATTATATATTGGTTAAATAAGCTGAGCTATGAGTGAACCTTATGCCTGTAGGCATGCAAGCACTTCCCTTTTCAGTGCACCTGAATGCAGTGTGGTAGTTTTCAATTAACCATAGTTTCCCATATCATCCAAACCAGGAAACTATGGTTACTAGCCTCAAAACAAACCAGCATCTTAAACCACGTTTGAGTGTTTGTTTAAGATCTTGTCTTTTTCTAAAGTTGATAACCACAGTTTCCTGGTTCAGATGAAATGGAAAAATAGGGTTAATTTGAGACTTCCATACTGCATTCAGGCACCTGGGCATAGCCACGGGGAGCAAAGGGGGCAGCTGCCCCCCAACTACCCCCCTAAATCAGGCAAAGAAATAAATATACTTAACTAACTGACCAATTGTGTCACAGATAACTCGGTTCTGCCCCCCTCCCAACATAAAGCCTCCCCGCCAAAAATAAATCCTGGCTATGCCCATGTTCAGGCATGCTGCAAAAGGGTGTGGCTGCATGCATGAACACAATTATCATTCATATGTCAGCATAGTAAGTCCAAATACAGTCTCTGAGAACTTTCATTGTATTAGGCGGACAGTTAATATGGAAGGAAATCATGTAAATTAAGGACCTTTTTTTGTCCCAGTGCCCCATATAAAGAGATGTTGCTACTCACCAGACCTCTGTCAATTACTTGTGCAGTACAGTGAACCAGAGGTTCCTCTGGGCAAAGCGAAGACAGCATTTTAGGAACCTGAAAGATGATATCCAAAATCACAAGTTACAATCCACTGCAGAACTGGGATAAAAATCTACACCCAAAGGGCTTGTTGGAACAGAACGGCCCTCAATAGGTACAAAGAGACAGCAAAAATTGGTTTTTTCTGATATATATCAGGAGGGAGTTCCAAAGTGTAGCTGCCACCACGTTAATAATCTGATTTGTACATCATATGGAATGAATCTCCTGATGCGATAGTATCTGAAGGAGCGCTCCTGCAGACTGAAGTGATTGTCTAGGTATATATGTGGTGAGACAATCTTTTGGGTGTCTTGGGCCTTTTTTTCAGCCGGAACTCTCAGGTGGGTGCCATTGCTATTTTAAGAGAACAAGGGAGGTGTTCATGATGAGATAGAAAAATACTACTAGTTCTAGTTAATTAAAAGCAAGCAATATTATTAGAAGCAATATGCTGTGTGACTAGAGAGCTATGACCTAGAGCTAGGGATGGATGTGTTGGGGAAATATTGGGACACTATCAATTTTGGTTCTCTCAGTTTCTCATTTTTCCAATCTGAAAGTCAGTTCTCTGAATATTTTTTGTCAATCCTCACAAAATTTATTCAGCATTTTAGTGTGAATTTCTTCTAATAAACCCCTTTTTGTATGCAGTTTTGACCAATATACACATTTTTGCAAGCACTTTCACCTACTGTCATGCATTTTTTGTATACTATCTTCACTAATTTTGTACCCACTTTCCCATGATATATGCAAGAAGATGTAGCAAAGGACCATGCAGAGAGCAAAGGGAGAGGGGCTGCCAAACTCTTTCCCTTCCAGCCATTTCCTTGCTCAAAACTGTTCCATCACAAGCTGCTTTCCTGCCCATCTGTAGGAGAAAAGGTGCAAGAGCTTTGTGAAGGTTTAAAATGTGTACCCCAGTTAAATAATGCAAAAATTGTCAACTAAAAGGACACCATTCCTGCCTGTTGCCTGCATGAGAAAATGAAAATAACTATCTAAGAGGCAAATATCAGCTATGCACCTAAGAACTGAAACATACCAAACAACCCAGGAGAATTTTTTTCCTATGCTAGTTCTGCTACCGAGATTTACACCTCAGAAGTTGAGTAGAAAAACTCAATTGCTGCTAGATAGAAGGCAAGGACCAGGCATGAGGAAGACCCCTCCTCCCCAGTTACAATTTCAGGCTGGTTCAGGATCAGGCAGTTGTTAGATCACTTTTTGTTCCATGTTGAAGACCTGTTTTGCTTGTGTAAGGGCTAGAGACCTTGTGCATAACGCTGGACATATTTAGCCACCTTGAAGACTTAAGAGATGAGGAGAGAGGAGCCGGAATATATTTATTATGTATTTATTATTTAAAGTACCGTATTTTTCGCTCCATAGGACGCACTTTTTCCCCTCCAAAAATGAAGGGGAAATGTGTGTGCGTCCTATGGAGCGAATGCAGGCTTTCGCTGAAGCCTGGAGAGCGAGAGGCATCGGTGCGCACCGACCCCTCTCGCTCTCCAGGCTTCAGGAAGCTATCCGCAAGCCTTGCAAGCCCGGTGGGAGTTCCCGCGGGCTCACAAGGCTTGCAGGCAGCAGCCTGCAGCCCCGGCCGAGTGTCCGCAAGCCTTGCGCGCCCGGCAGGAGGTCCCGCCGAGCGCGCTAGGCTTGGGGCGGCAGCCTGTCGCCCGAAGCACGGGGAGCCCTCCGGAGGGCTCCCGTGCTTCAGGCGAGTGTCTGCAAGCCTCGCGCGCCCGGCAGGAGGTCCCGCCGAGCGTGCGAGGCTTGGGGCTGCAGCTTGCGCCCGAAGCACGGGGAGCCCTCCGGAGGGCTCCCGTGCTTCGGGCGAGTGTCTGCAAGCCTTGCGCGCCCGGCAGGAGGTCCCGCCGAGCGCGCGAGGCTTGGGGCGGCAGCCTGTCGCCCGAGCACGGGAGCCCTCCGGAGGGCTCCCCGTGCTTCGGGCGAGTGTCTGCAAGCCTTGCGCGCCCGGCAGGAGGTCCCACCGAGCGTGCGAGGCTTGGGGCGGCAGCCTGTCGCCCGAAGCACGGGGAGCCCAACCGAGGGCGCCCCGTGCGTCGGGCGAGTGTCAGCAAGCCGTGCGCGCCCGGCAGGAGGTCCCGCCCAGCGCGTGAGGCTTGGGGCAGCAGCTTGTCGCCCGAAGCACGGGGAGCCCTCCGGAGGGCTCCCCGTGCTTCGGGCGAGTGTCTGCAAGCCTCGCGCGCCCGGTGGGAGGTCCCGCCGAGCGCGCGAGGCTTGGGGCGGTAGCCTGCAGCCCGAAGCACGCGAGGCTTGGGGCGGCAGCGGGGGGATAATTTTTTTTATTCATTCCCCCCCCCCAAAAAAACGAGGTGCGTCCTATGGGCCGGTGCGTCCTATAGAACGAAAAATACGGTACTTATAGGCCACCTTTCAGGGGGGAAATCTCACAAGGCAGGAAACAATGAGATGGGATACTTTAAGATACACTGGAAGACTAAAAAAATTGTAAGAATACAGCATTGTAAAAAAAGAAGTAGTAAGAATCAGTGGCAAAGACTGTTAAAGACAGGCCATCTGGAATATATGAGTTCTCAAGGTATGTTTGAAGGCTTCTGGTATAGGCGAGGTGTGTAGCAAGAATAGGATTTAAGACATAAGGGTAGATAGAAGAGCATGATCTCTACCAGGTCAAACTAATGCTGACTGTAGTAAATTCCAGGTGCTTCAGTAAATGCATGGAAGAATAGGAAAATGTTCTGTTCCACAATAGTCACGTCTTCAGAGGAGCGAGTAATATACACAGATAATGTGCATACTCAAGGCACAATCCTCAGTTAAAATCTCAGAGCCCAAATAGTAGCATAAAAAGTGGCCAGAGAGAGCGGCTATACATAGAAAAAGGAGATATGAAAGACAGAGCAGTACTTGCAGGGAGTGTCAGGGTCAAGAGGAGGTTTAGCTTAGCTTTTCGTTTTTCTGAAGAAACCTACTTCCTGTTCTCGGAGCTACTCCCTCCTGCTGCCACCTGCCCACACAAAGGCAGCGGCAAACTTAAGAGGTCAACGGAAAACAAGTAAAACATTTCCTGAGTGCAAGGGCAGGGAGGTAAACTGCTGTTCTGCTTCTGCTGCTGAAGCATTAACAGCTGCTTCGCAAGTTACTGATAAAAAAGAATATGCTGTGTGCACATCTGTACATGCATCTCCTTAACGGTGTGGCTTATGTATGGTGAAGCAGAAGCTAATCTTCTCTCCCCCCATGTGATGGAACAGGTATACATGTAGCCACTCCAAACCTAACTATGCAACATGCACACAAAGGGTGCAAAGAAAGCAGTAATATGCGAAGCAGGCTTAAGAGAATAATGCTGCAGGTCTGAAGAAAATGCTGACTTTGGCATAATTTTTATTGTACCAGTGACTAAATATGTTGTTGTTGTTTAGTTGTTTAGTCATGTCTGACTCTTCGTGACCCCATGGACTAGAGCACGCCAGGGACTACTGTCTTTCACTGCCTCCCGCAGTTTAGTCAAACTCATGCTGGTAGCTTCGAGAACACTGTCCAACCATCTCGTCCTCTGTCGTCCCCTTCTCCTTGTGCCTTCAATCTTTCCCAACATCAGGGTCTTTTCCAGGGAGTCTTCTCTTCTCATGAGGTGGCCAAAGTATTAGAGTCTCAGCTTCAGGATCTGTCCTTCCAGTGAGCACTCAGGGCTGATTTCCTTAAGAATGGATAGGTTTGATCTTCTTGCAGTCCATGGGACTCTCAAGAGCCTCCTCCAGCACCATAATTCAAAACCATTAATTCTTTGGCAATCAGCCTTCTTTATGGTCCAGTTCTCACTTCCATACATCACTACTGGGAAAACCATAGCTTTAACTATACGGACCTTTGTTGGCAAGGTGATGTCTCTGCTTTTTAAGATGCTGTCTAGGTTTGTCATTGCTTTTCTCCCAAGAAGCAGGCGTCTTTTGATTTCATGACTGCTGTCACCATCTGCAGTGATCATGGAGCCCAAGAAAGTAAAATTTCTCACTGCCTCCATTTCTTCTAAATATGCTCACAAATAAATGAGTGAATGAATTCTGAATGCAACTCCACAAATTAAAGCAGAAAAAGTAGGGCGGGATGTGTACGCAGATCAAACATATACAGATTTTTTAAAAGGGGCACCCCGAACCAAAAAATGAAAAAACAAAATCAGAATGTTAGAAACAACACTCCCTTTTAAGGACTCCTCATTGACTTTTGCTGTGATGTTTTCCCTCGGCATAGTTTCCTTAATAATGTTACCATCCCGGAAAGTTAAACATTCAAGGAAAATCTTCTCTGACCATCGAGACCCCTGTGAAGATTTGCACATTAGTTGGGATTACCACCCAGGTGCAAACACATTTTCAGTCCTGACCCCAAATGCTTCAACTGTTTAGATATCTTAAAGGCGGCCGGGGCGGGGGGGGGGGGTTAGAGGCAACCCACACAGTTTCTGGATGAATTCAACTTTGTGGCTTCTTACACAGGCTGACAGCAAGTAGTGGCCCCCTTAGCCATACTGCTCAAAATTAACAATGGTAGCAGCAGTGCTCTCTCTCTCTCTCGCCCCTGCCATAAAATGGCTGCCATCCCGGCTATGCCACAGAACAGGTCCCCTTCATCTCAAATGGCAGAACAGGTTACTGTCCAATGCCTGGGGCTCCTCCAGATGACCTGTTTATTAAGCATTTATCCTGATTTCTTTCTACAAAATTTACATAGATGTAATACTATACCTGCTCTTTATTGAGCTGATGTACAGTTTTGTTTGCAGGGATATTACATGGCAATGAGAATTCAGGGTGGTCTTCCTACCAATACATCCATATCCCACACTTTAGGATGCATTTCCCTGTCACTTTCCTAACTGCAAGAACTCTCTCTGTGTGTTGTTTTTTTAAGTGGATTTGTTGTACCAGAGCACTTTAATCTATTTTGATTGTACAAACCTAAATGCCCTCAAAATGGTGGCAATCTGGAGAACGCAATGGTATCCCTTAAAAGTGTGAGCAGTCTTTGGCCACTCAGTCTCCTTCCTCTAAGTGATGCAGCCAAGATGCAGAAACTTCCCACCTTACCCATCAACAAAATCCTGCAGCATTTTTGCCACAACTACACACAGTATTGGAAATTTTACTATGTATTTTGTGTTTTTTATATTGTAATATTACAAACTATCCTGAGACCTACAGACGAAGGGTGATCTACTAAATAAACAAACAAATAAATAAATAAATAAATAAATAGACCCATACAGTTTAGATTTCCAACAGATAGCACAGGGTGCCCGACAAAAGAACAAGGTAAAAAATAAATTCCCAAATTTGTGTATTTATGATCACAGGACACCAGTCTATACTGGACTGTTGCAAACATGTACACACCTCCATCTTCCACAAGTCATGCAACATCTCAAAATTGTCCCAGTAGACAGATAAGCATGCAGATGTGGTTTGTTTTTGTTTTACCTGTCTGTTAGCTTCAATGTAAAGCCCAAGAGTGTTTACTCGGTAGCACAGCCCATCTTTCATTATGTGAACATAACAACGAACTTTCCCTTCATGGAATGCTTCCTTCATATCTCCTCTCCGATTGTTCCAACAAAGGTTGTCTGTGCCCAATTCAAACAGGCTATCCTCCTTCAAGAAGCTATAGATGTCTGTACAATATGCAAAAGCCATAAAAATGAGATTTGAGTGAACATCACATAATATTTTGAAACCATTACTTGGGAAAGCATACAGCACATCTTCACATGCATGTTTCTGTGTGCTGTACAAAATGCCATCCACGAAAGTGGATGTGGCTCTCACATGCATGCACACATGTACAGGATACTCAGCTCCCCCATCAGTTGATCTGTGCAATTCAGCTGAAGCAGGTGGGGTTGTCTATAATTAAGCAGTATATAAGCTGTCTACATACATACATACTCCTTTTTGAACTAACCTAGTGGTTTCTGGTCCTTTTTCCTTTGGTCATGCTCTTTGATGTTTTGTCCCTGTTGCAATGGTGCAGGAGATGAAAACTGCTTCCTAACCAAGTATGGAATCAGCTCACTTCGGATTGATGTAAATGACCTAGGGGAAGTCAAAACAAAACAACATAGATATTAAATCTGGAAACACTTCGAGAAAAACAGGTTGCGTATTTATAACTGATATTCAAGTGGTTATCTTTGCATTTATGCCATTGGATTTGAAACCCGAGCAGAGCATTTGCAGAACCTTTAAACTGTGAGCAAGTAGACATGCACTTTGGTTTTGACTTCTGTACAGCACCGAGCACATATTAGATACTTTATATATAATACAGAAAGATGACACAAGCCAGTGAGCTGGTGCTCCTGTGTCCCTTCTCCTGAGTCAGAGAGAACTAGATTTGGACAAGAACACTCTAGTGCTCATTACGTTCCACACAGCCTCCTTATACCAACCAACAAAGACGACACAGCGGGAGCAGGGAAAGAGAGTGGGTTAACTGCAGTATACTTGGCCAACTATAGCTTGGACGGATGGCTTTAAAAGAGGATTAGACAAATTCACAGAGGACAAAGCTACCAATGGCCACTAGTCACAATACCTACGTTCTACCTCAGAGGCAGTAGATCTCTGAATACCAGTTGCTGCAAATGGCAGGTGGGGAGGGCACTCTTGCCCTCAGGTTCTGCTTGTGGGCTTCCCATAGGCATGAGGTTGGCCACTGTGAGAACAGAATGATGGACTAGACAGTCCTTTGTTCTGGTCCAGCAGGGCCCCTCTTGTGTTATACTATACAGATGACCACTTGAAGAACACGGGGGCTAAGATAAGCAAGTTGCTTTTCTTTGAGGTCTCTGTGCAGCCTCACAAGTGGGCAAATGGTAAATAACTGAATCAGATCAGCAGGTCTTGGGACTGAGACCCACGTACTTACAATACCATAGCTAGAGTAGGAGGAGAAGCCAAAGCAGAGATGGGAGACTTTGCCAACGTGTTTCTGTGGCTGCTTCTGTCCATCAGAAATCTATTTATTTATTTGAACATTTTATATACTGCTTAACTACAATGATATTCTAAGCTATGCACAAGAAGCTCAATTTAATGCAAATAAAAATCAAGTACGTGGATCTGAAGGGGCAAAGAGCTTTGTCTCCTCTGAGTGCTTGGAAGTCTTCTTGGTGGCATGTTCAGTCTTAGGCAAGAGGTCTTAGTCATCAGAAGCCAATTGCACAGTGGGGTCAGAAGCAGGGTTGGAAGGTGCCAGAAAAGAGACCGTTTATACTGCTTCCCTGGAAAGTCCCCCCACCAATTCAGCAGAGGAGGCCTTTACCAAAAGCATAAACTCTAAAACGATAATTTCCTTAGCAACAGTGCTCAGTCTTGTGCTCCCCAACTAGACATATCAAGCAATAACCTTGCCTGCTTCCACACATGAGGTACTTTTAAAACATTACCTACTGTGTCAGAGGGTTGGTGGTAAAATAAAATAAAATGATTTTTGCAAAATACGAATGGAGTCTAAGCCAATTAAGTGAAAATATTAAGAAAATGAAAGAAAAATGTGTAAAATCACTGAGCTCAGAGAGGACGCTCAGATAAAGTTCTCTGTTATGTTGCAATGATCAGAAAAGAACTGAGGAAGGCACCACTTTGCCCCTTGCGACAAATGCATGAAAGGCCTGGCTAAACTGTTGTTCTGTCCAGTTGTTCTTAGGCTGCAACTGTCCTCAGCCCCAGCCAGCATGACCAAAGGGTTAGAGATGATGGGAGCTGCAGTCCAGTAATATCTGGAGGACTACAGATTAGCCACTCCTGCTTTAGAAAGTTCCAGAGATGCTCTGAGAGGCACAGGCACTACAAGCCCTGTCCCACTCCACATTCACAACACAAAAGCATTAGCCATGTCAGTTAAAAAACAACAACAAAAACCTGGGTAAAATTAGAATCTAAATAGTTATGTTCTGAAAATATTGTTGGTACTAAGCAGCTTTCACTCAGCAGGTGTTCCTTTTTGTAATCTTATCATGGTTTCAGACAAACAATTTAGTGGTGAAAGGATTAAAACAATTTTAGTGGCATTACAGATTTCTCCTCTGTGTTTGTAACTAGGACACCTGGGACTGATTTGCTGTCTCCTTGTATGTTCCAGCAGTGCTGACTTATTTGCCTCACGAAATGAGGATAAGAGGCTAACTCTGCTTGTTTAAAATTGCAAGCTCTTGGACCACACATGGTTCTTTCCTTAGGGAGGAAAAAGGCATTGCTTCTAGGTTGGCACATAGCAAAGAGATGAAGATCATAGAAATAAATCATGGAGAGTGAGTTATTTCACATTTTGAATGGATTCTTAAAAGATGCAGCATATGCACTAAGAACAATCCTGTGGTAGTTGGTCTTCTCATAGTACCATATGTATGACACTTTCTCAAACATGGAAATTGTTTGTAGTGTTGGAAAATGTGTATAGTGTAATATATGAAGTGAAATGAGAGGGATGTGAACATCTCAGGTTCATACATCAGAAAGCCGTGGTGGTATTTGCTTCCTGATGTGTACAAGCCACCCATCATATATTACAGGACACACATTTTTTCCTACTCAGAGATGATGTTTGAAAAGTAATATGCAAAATGGCCTTGAGACATAGAGGAGTTGGATTAGGTTTGAAGCCAGAGTTGATTTTTTCCATCTCTGACTTCCATGGGATATTTCAGCTTTCATCCCCAGACCTACTGTAAAGATTAAACCCAGCATTTTCCTGGCATTGGTACCACTGAGGTTTTCAACCAAAGTTTCATAATTGTACCCTATAAATTTTTAGGCACTGCTTGTGGAGCAATCTGAAGTATCTAAACATAATTATATTATTTTGTCATAATTTTACCCTCCTCTGTGCATTGTATTTTGCAATCTGTCCTTAATGTCTGAAATAATCACAGAGCTTAAAGTGGCTATAATCAAGAACTAATGAATAACTCTTCATTCTTGAATCACAGCATCTCTCCCTGCTGTTTACAATCTGAGTGCACCATAGTTCCTCCCCTACTGCCTTGCCTTCTGCCATGCATGTGGGAATGCAGACGGGCAGTTTACTAGCTTAAAATGTTTACACGCAGCTGTGCCATTCAGCAATGATTTCCTGCTTGGGTTTTATGCTGAGTCCAAAACTGACAGTCCTGTGTTTCTCTCAGGGACTGACCAGAGCATTTATGGGATCCATTACATATAAAATTGCTGCGTTTGGCAGAGGCCAACCTTGTCTGATGCAATGTTGCCCAGCAGGGCATTAAAGAGATGGAAATGGGAAGATGGCAAAGCTGTGCTTGGTTGTGATCGTTGCATTCCTGGCTTGACAAACACTTATCTCAGGATGCTTCTACCTAGCATTATATTGCCCTTTAGAAAATAAAAATTGGGGTGTATGCAATAAACAGCATGATCTCTAGCTTGGCACTATCAACCTGCTTCCGCATTAACACACATTTTGTAGGAAAAAATAATCACATGTGAATGCTGGTCATTCGGTGCTGCTTAAGCAAGGCTTATTGTGGATTGTCCCAGGGTCTAATGCTTTTGGAAGGTATTGTTTTATTAGCAGAAAGGCAGTGAGCAATAATGCCTTTGGAATTTTCTTTAAGGCTTTTGCCAACACTAGTGATGGCGTGAGAATCTTACATGGAAGTCTGCCAGTCAATGTGGCAAATTAATATGGAGCTGGAGCAAGAAGGAAGGGAAAGGCAGGAGGATTAACACTAATAGAGGCCAATCAGAAGGAAGATGGGAAGAACCAAAGTAGCCCATCTTGATTTTTCAGGTAAGACAGAAGCAGCAGCTGCCTGCTCAGATTATAACATAGGTGCCATCTGCACTATACATTTAAAGCAGCATCATACCACTTAAAACAGTCATGGCTCCCCTTCAAGCATCTTGGGAATTGTAGTTAGTTGAAGATGCTGTGAGCTCTGATAACTGTAGCTCCTTGAAGGGAATAGCAGTCCTCTAACAATTCTCATCACTCTCTGCAGATGGGGCATAAGAAGAGGCAAACTGATAAAATCCAGATATTTTCCCTCTTATCCTGGATCCTATAGCTTCCCCAAAGGCCTCCAAGTGATTGAATTGTACTGTCTGATCCACATACAGAAAATAATTCAGCCACAAGTTGGTGAAAACTTGCAGTCATGGCAGCTGAAGCCTGCAGAACTCTGCAGGAGGAATATAGTGAAGCAGAACAGAGGCAGGCAACTTACACGCCGATGGCTGAAACAGGACTCCCCAGCAGCATAAAAATCTCATTTGAAAAATGTGGGGTTTGGCCCTATTGCCACGGACAAAGTCTCATGCAAAAGGTTAACTGAATAAGAAAAACAAACTGCATGCAAAATCTGTTGATTTCTAAGACAAATCTAAAACAATTCTGGGGTTGGCTTTTTATTTTGAGGGCTAATATTTTTAGGACAAGGGTAATTAACATGTTCACCAAATGAACATGTCCACCAAATGAACATCTACACTTCATTGCACAGGAAGCTTCATGAATGTTTTCAGGGAAGGGATGAAATTTCCATTATCCAAATAAAATATGTAAAATTAGCCACAGGCCTACAGCTTACAATATATTTATAAAAAGTCCTTCATGCAGAGCAAGATTCCCACCTCTGCAGAACAGGATCCCAAGAACTGGCGTTTAGCAAAACACACCCTAAATCCTGAAAAATATTTGACAACGCTGTTAGTAACAAAAACTGGCCCACTGTCATGGCAAAAAGCAACAAAACCAGCTACTCCAAAATCATGTCATACAGATAATTCTTGGATGGTCTCCTCTGCCTCCTAGTCCTCAAAATGGTGCTCTTTGGCCTGACCCCCCGCAGGGATGGACACAGCCATTGCTTATACTTCCTTGTACTGTTTCTTGCTTGCTTGAGATGTTTTTACTACAAGTGTCACTCCCATTTCACTGGCTGTCATTCATTTTTATTTTCTATGTTTAAAGTTAAACACCATAAAACAGTATTAATGAGTATTAGCATTTTAATAGCGCCTCGTGTGTTTTTTAAATACTGATCTGTGATGAAGTGTGAAATCTTTTATTGTTGCCAGCCCCCACCTGTGAAATCTGCTATCCTTTCTTTAGCACTGCTTACAGGGTGGGAGTGTTGCCCTCCTCATTAAGAAGAGCAACACCATCACTTATTTTCTCAGGTATAATAGTAGTTACAGAGACCAAAGCAACAGAGCAGAATTGTTCCTTTAATTTCAGGGTCCCCCTGACTGATTGCTTCATTTGAAGGTTTGTTGAGACTGTAGGTAGGGTTTCTTAACATACTGAGGGATTAAGCCTAAACAATTATAAAGTTACTTCCCTGGAGCTTTTGAAAAGAGCTCTTTGGTTCTTGGCTCAGTTCCTCTGTTGCCTCCCTCCCACTTTTTAGTATCTTTCTACTATTAATATCTGCCACTGCTTTGCCTTCGCCTCTCAAGCCAGCTGCACCTCCTATGGGAAGTTCACCTGACACTTCTAGAGAGCTGTGACTTGATATTCCTATGGTCTGTCTTTTACACCACCATCTGGTAATATCTGGCTAGAATTTAAGCAGAGATTTGGCTAGGTTTCCTACCTCTATTATGACCAGGAAATTCATATTGATCTTAATAGGAATAGACCAGTGTTACACCTATAGCAGTATGGGTTTCTAACCGACAGATGCTTGTCAATTAAGTATTAATTCTGCCAATTCAGTCCTGATGAGTTTTGCAGATTCGAAAAAAATAAGAAAGATGTAAGTGGGGGCGGAGGAAGGAAGGAAGGGAGGGAGGGACAAAAAAGTAAAGAGGATAGAAGAAAGAGAAAAGTTAATTATGAACCCTGTTGGTACATAGCTCATGGTTCTCATCGTTTTAAGGGATAAAGCCAAATAACGTTTAAAAATGCCGTGTAAACCAGGCGCACTCTTGTTGGATCTCAACATTATTTTCTCCTGATCCTTTGATGGAGATTAAAAATTTCCATGTGAATACAAATAATGAAACAACAGTTACTTGGAGGTTTCCCCCCAGCTCTCTATTTCTCCAAACTAGAGCAACCAGTCACAATTCCCCTCCCCCCCTCAATCCCCACTGCTTTAAAGAAAAAAAAAGTCAACTCACTTTGAAGAAAAAAGACAAAACAATGCCAAGAACAGGGGGATTAGGGAAATGATATTTATATCATGGACCAAATTAAAATGTCAATGCAGGAGGCGGGCAAACAGCCCCTACCATATATACACACCAAACATGTCTCTTCAAGGAAAGGGAAAAGAGATTTGAAAAGAGTTAATGCAGCCCCCAGTTAATACCACCTGCTTCAGACTCAACACTCCTTAAAAGACAGGGTTTGGGTTGATTTCCCACAATATGGCTTTAGTGAGCACAATGGAAGAAGCCATTATTAGCTTCTTCTTTTTTAAAACTTTCTTTACTGATTCCCGTCTTTAAAACTTAGGAATTTCAGAGACATGCTAAGAATGCAGTGCTAGCAGATGTGCGTTATATGCAACAGCAGGGAAAATAAACAGGCATACAATTTTTGGCCTGGACTGTGTGTACATCATTTTGCCTCATGTCTTTCCATGCTCACAGCTCCTGTTTGATCTCCTGGAAAAAAATGGCATCCACAAGTCTGGAGATTGCACTACTTTTCCATTCTACTGAAAAAAAAGTCACTCTGAAGTCTGAGAATAGATGGAAGAACCTCAAAGAAAATAGAGGATGACAATGATGGATGGTGGTGCCATGAGGGTGTTTCATAAAAACAGTGAAGAAAGCACGGCAATTCCACAGTATATGTCTACTGTAGAAGCACTGGATAAAATCTATTATTTCCCTCATGCAGTGCTTATATTGCCACTGAAAGTGTCACATGGCTGTGGTTACAAAATGATACGTTCATCTACTGTTGTGTACCTGTTATATTACTAGTGACGATAGTTTAAGTCCAAGGACACAGATCAGTTTGATGACTTCAGAGTCTCCACACAGTCTGACAGTTCTATGCCATTGAATTTTATAACACAGAACAGGTACAGACCTTAAGTGGGACTATAAAGCCATGTTCAGAGATGTACCATATCTTGGAGTTAGTTATTCCAGACTCCCGTTCCTAACTATTCATTGTTTCTGGTAGCAAATTCAAAAAACAAAACAATCTCACTTAAATCAAACTAAGGTGCTTCTTAATATACCCCAATGTATGCAAAAATGTCCAAAGGTACTCAAGAAGGTGGTATAGCCCCAGGCATAGTTGGATAAAACATTTGGCTTCAGACTTGTTTGGGGCCTGAAACTGACTCAGTTGCTCTGGTTGACCGTTGTTGGGAGAGAGACAGGGTGTGTGTTGATTCTCCTTGACCTTTCAGCAACGTTTGATACCATTGACCATGGTATCCTCCTAGACCACTTGCAGAATTTGGAAGTTGGGAGCATGGTGGTTCTGCTCTTATCTCTGAAAGCAATTCTAGAGCATAACACTGGATGACTTCTGTTTGGTTCCATGAAAGTTCTTCTGTGGTTGCCCAACAGGATTTGATCTTGTTGCCCAAGCTATTTAACACCTATATGATGGAGTCATTAGAGGATCTGGGGTGAGGTGCCATCACTATGTTGATGACATCCAGTTCTCTCTCTGTTCCATCAGTGTCAGGAGATGAAGTCCAGATATTGAATCTGTGCTTAGAGGCAGTAATAAGCAGCATGTGGACCAAAAAACTGAAGCTAAATCCAGCTAAGATGGAGGTGCTGTTTGCAGGTAGTTCCCACGTCTGGGACCAACAGCCTCTTCTGGATGGAGTTGCTCATATTTTAATATATCAAGAAATCAAAGGATTCACATACAGTTCTATGATTCAAAATACTCACATACCTACAACACTCTGAAATGACAATTACAAAGACTGTTAAATTTGACAGTGTGCACATCTGAAAGCTAGAAATACAACTGAGACCAGCTAGGAAACATAGACACCAAAGAAATCTAAGTAGCACTGAGCAGAGAAAAAGCTTCCTATGGAAGAGGTGGTGACTTCAGTGCCCTCAAAGTTTCATTCCCTTTCAGGTACTCTGTCCTCCCCTACTGCAGGACCACCCCCAACTCTGTAAATCTTCAGATTTAAGAGTTATTGAGATAAAATAAATGGGACTGTTTAAAATGTAGGCAAGTGTGAAGCAGTGGTCTCCTCATAAGTAGGAAGGAAAAACAATAACCACATATCCTTAATTGCACATTTACTTAACAGACAAAACTTCATATTCCACATTATAAATAATTAGGACATACATTTTGTTTGCATTTTGATTACTAGAAATATTGCAATTTGCTCAGTTTCTTCTGAACAAATTTGTTTCTTTATGCATTTTAATCACAAGGAAAGTATTCATTATACAACCTGATTTTTACAGGGCAAAAAAATACATTCCAGCCATACGGCTGACGTGTTCTCTATTAGGTGTCCACAGAGCAAGCTCTGTTTTGCAGCCATCTTTTCGGCATGTGAGAAGAGAGAGAAAGAGAGAGAGAAAGCATGCATTAAGCCAGGATTTTGGCTCTGCCAGACCTCCCTCACAGTCTGTAGGCCTTGCCAGGAAACACAGGTGACAGTGTGAATGATAAAAAGGCATTGAGAAGGGAAAGCAAAGCTATGGGCTGGTTTAGTCTGGGCAGCATCTTAATGTAAACCTGCAGGGGCCTCTGTGTACAACATACCACAAAGCAAATCAAGCAGAAGCGTATGGACAAAATATACCCTCATCAACTGAAGCACAGCTTCCCACCCCCTGGTAATCTCAGTATTCTTCATAGGAGGTACAGGACACATTTCAACTTTTCCCTCGCGGGAAGAATTTCAAACTGTAGTTGAGGTTGGAGAAGCAATCTTTTCTGGAACACTTTTCCAGAGAAAGGCAGGACTGGAGGGCTGGCTGAAGGAAGAGGAAGGGGAACTACAGAGGAAGTGGTTTATCAAAATGCAGGGTTTTTCAACCATTTATAGTTGTTTTTTAAATTCCTGTTTTTCAGAAGCACTAAAGGTGACAGTTTAGCTAGTCTGAATACAAGCCAGCCAAGAGCTTCAGCTGGAATGTAACGAGCTTTTTAGCAGAGCGCAGTAACCACGTTACTCAGCGAACTGATCCACGCATAGCTGTTGAATCTCACTAAGGACAAAAAATTAAAAATTTGACAAAATAAGACAAAACTAATTCATCCGTTTTAAATTCTAGTTTGGTTTATTTAAGAATATATATAGGAAGGCAGGTTACTTAAGAGGAAGTTGTCCTCAAATCTTCCTTTTGTGATAGGTGCCTGATTCTATTTTGCTCTCCTTCTTGTTTAGTCAATGCATGCCTTTCCCCCTCAGAATCAGGCTCAAAGGTTTATTTTACTAAATAATTGCCTACCTTAGCTGTGGGGCAGATGAGTGCCAGCATGGTATAATGGGCTCGGCCCTTGAGCCAGTCACTATCTATTGGTGTAGCTTACCTTACAGGGTTACTGGGATAAAATGGGGAAGAACTGTATCCAGCACTCTGAGCTCCTTGGAGGCAGGTGGTGGGAGAGGTTAACTGTAATAATGAATGAAAACCAACCAACACAGGTTGAATCTAGATAAATGGCAACTGCTTGGTCTGGTGATATAGGAAGGTGTGGAACTTCCTGCTATAGATGATATCCAGCCCCGCTAGTCATGAGGACTAGAACCAGAAATTTATTCATTTCATAATTTTCTATCTTGCCTCTTTCACCAAAGAGATTCAATGGGACTTACGAACAGTATTAAGAACAAAATTAAAATAATCCCTAAAAGTACCCCTATAAGCATTCAGATTAATACATTAAGAACAAATAAATCCCAGAAGCACAAAAGTAAGCAAAACTGACCCAGCAAAACTTAAAACATTAACCAAATGCATTTTTTAAAGCCAAGTTTTAGCTTATCGTACTAATCAATAGAGTAAGGGTTCCCAATAGATCTTGCACAGAGCAAGGGACTCTATAGGGTAGGTGGCACAACAGAAAAGGCCCTACTCATAGCTAACACCAGCTTCACCTCCCAAGGTTGAGGGATCTGAATCAAAGCCCCATATGACACTCAGTATGTGCAGGGAGGAACATTTTGAATAAGACAGTTTCCAAAGCACACAGATTCCAATCTACGTTTAAGACCAGCACCTTGAATTGAGCCCAGAAAATCACATAGAACCCACATGATAAAATCAGAGTGCTGAGCTTCTGTCAGCATTCTACATGCCGTATTCTGCAAAAACTGAAGCTTCCAAATACTTCCACATAGAGCATATTACAGCAGCCTAATCTGGAGGTCACTACAGAATGCAAAGTCTGCCTTTCTCACAAATGGCTGTAGAATATTCAAAAGCACAAAGGCACAACAGAACATTCTCCTCCCCTCTCTCCACAGCCCCCCCCCAAACCTGTTTTAGGGGTTCTTGCAACAATTTGGAGCAGATTTGTGGAGAGTGCAGGGTATGCACAGCGGGAGGAAAAGTCCTGTTGTGCAAGAGGAAATCCTTGCACTGATGAGATGTGGGTAGTTGAATACAGTACTGCCCCTGTCCTTTTACCATTCGAGTGCATTGTACTGAAGGGAACATCCTGCATGTAGATGTATTTCTGAAGCTGACCTCTCTTCCTTGGCTGGCTTTTTCATGAACAAGTTAAGGTTTAGTAAACTATTATCTCTGCTGTATCACGTAGCAGCAATTTTTACTGATTTTCATTCTATCCCACTCACACCAGCTTTTTTAAAAGTAAAAAATAGAGTTGCCTTCCTGAAGTTTCCTAAATCCAGACATTTGGCTTCCAAGGTGATGAGAGACACTGAAGTACACAACCTATCTCATTTACGGTAGTGACTACAGCAAGTGGTAATAAAAGCGAGGGTCCATGGGCTCAACTATGGGCTGCTCCTGATTTTAAGGCAAATGCGCTGACTTTTTCCAATAAAGACTGTTCTAGCCAGGATTGCTCTCTTCCATAAATAGTTGTTTTGCTTCCTCTCAGTGGGTGGTCTCAGTTTCATAGAAGAAACACCACAAGTTAAAGAATACAGGATGTATCAAAGATGTGCAAGGTTATCCAGGATGGGGTGGGATTTGCAGATGCACAAAACAATATACACACAGAAGATACACACAAAAGGAATGGAAATATGTTAATTTTGTTAACAAGGAAGCCCCAATAGATGTGAATTAAGAGAAAGCAGGCATGTATTAGGTTTCTCTAAGAAACCAGCAAGATTATTGGTTCAGTGTGGCATATCCCATTTTCTATTGCTACTGCTTTTGGGTGGGAAGTTATCAGTCATAAAAAAATACACATTTGAGGGTTTGGATTTAATTTAAGTGTCTAAACAGCTTGCTTTGGTCTTGTCAGATACAGTTAACTGTCAAGCATTTATGCTGAACAAACTTCCCTCTCATTTGATATGTTCAGCTAGCAGAAGTCCTGTGGTAACTTCTTGGTTAAAACTAATGAGCCTTCCCATATCACACATGGCACCAGTGGTCAACTAATTTTGGATAGACTTGGTGGCCAGTGAACCTTTTGTCAATATGATCAATGTCATTCTTGTTGTTGCTGTCATCTTTACAGTGATTCAGTACAATGCCTTGCAGCTGTGTCTGCAACTATGCAATCTGTACCAATGTTTCAGGAAAACTCAGTTAAAAAAATTAGTGGTTAAAAGAACATAGCCATCACTAAGAAGCAGCTCTGACACCAGCTGTATCTCTGGAACACAGCAGAAGGTCAAGGACAAACAGAGGCACCTCTGTGGTTCTCCTGCAGTTCAGAAATGGAAAGGGGCTGTGGACTCCTGCAGGCCTTCTCTGCACCTGCCATGCAGCTGGAGTTCCATCCACCTGAGGCACAGGCACAAAAATGAGACAATGGGGAGGGCAAAGGCTTGTTTTAGCTCTTTGCTGGCATCAAACAAGCATGAAGCTAAAGCAAATTGCAACCTTCCTCCCATCTTTGGGGCTGGAATCATCCCTCCACCTTTGTAGCTCTGTTTCTGGGAGGAAGCTTCTGGCTTCTCTCATTCACCACAGCCCAGCTGATTTTTCATCAGGTGAGGGCTAAAAGTAAGATTGCTGAACACAGTGTCTCACCAGAAGTGCTTTCTTCCACTAATAGTGTGCAGAGGTGATATACAGACAGGGTTGTATTCAACATATCACTAAGCAAATCATTCTCTCCCTTTCCTCCTCCAATGTGCTTCCTAAAACTGTTCTGAGCGACCCCCTCCCCAACCCCCTCCAAAGCAGATTTGGAGATTGTGTGGCATAAAGGAGCATTTGTATCTGACATTGTCACTACAGGGTTGGCATAGGAGGTGGAAGAGATTAACCTAAGGAACAGAGGTTGGGTAGAAAATACTGCAGCTGCTAGAACAGGAAAAGCTTAAGGGTTTGTTGTGTTTTTGTTTGTTTTTTAAGAGAAGAGGAATTTAGGAAGCATTCAAACCCAATCACAGCAATTAAATGGGGTTGAGAATCATAAAAGTATCTTCTCTCTGCCCACCCACCCTCTTCCAACAGTTGAAGAATCTCTGAACAGAAAATCCCACCTTATGCATTCCACATAATTTCTAATGTGATTATTAAAACACTTTAAAATGCACATGTGATTTAGACTCTAGAAAACCTCTTTCCTTACCTGTTCTCTACAAGGAAATCTACCACACATTTCTTCAAGCAGTACAGATGAGCATCCATCAGTCCTGTCCTAATGTGCATTTTAGAATGCCTGGAAAGGGAATGAAAGAGAGTGAAGTTATTCGGCTCTGCATTCCACAGCCATTTTAAGAGCTCCACTTTAAAATCACTACATGGTAAAACTTTACAAGAGACATCTGTGTTCCCAAACCCTTGCTGCGGAATTAGTAGGGAGGTGAATGTTGATGGCTTCCATGACTAGACTGTGTCATACAAACATACACCTGTTCATCCATTGCCCTTATTCCATAAGTGCTGTAGGCTCCAGCCTGCTAAAGCTTGGGCCACAATTAATCCAATAGTCTTTGAAGATGCCACAAGACTATTTGATAAGGTGGTGGTTGTTGTTGTTGTTGTACCTCTAATACAATGGATATTCTTCACGAGTGTTTTGCATATATTTTCTTTAATTTTTATTAAATGCAGAAACCAAGTTAATATGAACTGTAGTAAGATTTCAAGTTAGGTATACCAACTTCACTTTGCTAGTTATTTCTATAGAAACAATTTTCTCATATACAATATGGGATTTCCCCCACATGAATACATTTTAAATCAGGGTTTGTTTCTTCTTAAGAGATGGTATTACAAATGTTGGTGTTGGTGGCATCCATCTGTCTTGAGAGACAATGGGAGTGCACCTCTGGAAGTGAAGTCAAACCATTGCATTAGCAGCGCCAAAGTGACCTCCAGGGGGCACAAGTCTGGGCAGTGTGCATGGTGGTCTTGAGCTGTGCACACAACATGGACAAGAGATCATGACATGCAGAGGAGAAACATGAAGCCTAGGGATTTTTTTGTTTGTTTTTTGCTAATGACCTGCATCATCACTTTAAATTCTCCTTGACCTGCAAATGTTTTTAACACAGATAACTCAATCAAAGCAAAAGTAAAATACTACATAGTGCTTCATGTTCAGTCCTGTCTTCTGCACGTAAAAGCAAACATGTACGGTAAAGAAACTAGAATCATACAGTTTGGCACCGACTTCTGAAACCAGGCTTACCCAATGAAGAAGCATAATCAGGGTCAGAATCTAACTATGAGGGTCAAAGCAGAATATACAATTGGTGCATCTTGAATGAGGCAAGATGATAGTTCCAGTTTTGCTCTCTCAGCAATTCTGCTACTTGCATCCATGGGAAAGGACTCTATTATTTATAGCACAGTCCTATGCAGTGCTTTTTTCTAAAAAAAATGTTTAGGGGTACTCTCATTTTGACTCAAGAAAATCATAATTTTATTGTTCAAATCAGGAAAAAGAAATACAGTAAATGGACAAAAGTACAAAGATTCACCAAATGTTTAGGGGTATGTGTCCCCCTGCGTCCCTCCAGAAAAAAAGCACTGGTCCTATGTATGTCTACTCAAAAGTCCCACTTCTGTGTTCAATTTTCAGTGAGGTTTAGGGTAGATCCAAGAAAGTTAGAAGAATAACTTTCTTCGCCCTTCCACCTGACTTGCTACACCCAACCCAATCAGCTCCAAAAGTTTGGGGAAACCTCCAGATGAGATTTTAGGAAGTGCAGGGGGCACACAAGGCAGGAAAGGGTAGGGTAGTTCCAATGCACAAACAGAAGCCATCTTGCTCATGTAATGATTTTGTAGGATACAATCCATAGTTCCAGGTAAGTGTACAAAGGATTGCACCTTTAGAGTGCAAACTTAGACAAATTTACCTGAGTAAATCGCACTGAACAGGGTGGGACCTGCTTTTGAGTAGACATGTGCTGTTAGTGTGACTTTTATACTTACTGAAAGTTCCCAGAAGCAAGGTTACTCATTCACTTAAATGGCAGATTGCACCCTGTATATTGCTTTGACATGGGATAAGAGACTTCACTGCGTACACAAGGAACTTTGGACTGTAGCCAAAATATTGGCTTTTTATTATCTTCTGCTCAGAAAATTTGGGATAATTTATAATTGATTTCTGGGTCAATACCTGTAGTATCCTTCCTATTTAATTTGTTGGTTGAATTAAACGCTTCAGCCAAGTGTGGCAACTACAGAAACTGAAGAAATTGTTGGAAATGAAACTTCTTATTTTCTCTTGTAAACTGGAGACAATGTGCTGGAGAATTTGGAATTCTCATATGTTGCCACCCCACACAGCTCTGCTCAAATCCAATGCAGCTGCAGGTCACATTTCAACAACAACAAAATCCCATATGCATTCCACTAACAGTATAAAGCAGGAAACACCTCCCTCATTCAGGGTAGTACACCACAAAAATAACGAGGTTTTTGTTTATATCTGAGCTTTAAGAGAGCAATTCCAGAAACTGCAAGTTCCTACATGGTAGTATTGATTTAATTAGCCTGAATAGCACATTTTGTTTGCGTTAAAGACCTCCAACACATTTATTAAAATGGAGTCATAAATGTTAACTGCTTGCTCAAGTACTTAAAGATGACCAAGTGCGGGGAAGATACTTCAAAACTCATTTCAAACTCCTTTATAAGCAAATGCAGCATGTTTTAAGGGAGTTCAAACTATATTTAATTAAAAAAATTACCCAGTCAGTCAATCAGATCATACAAATCTTGCAACCCTGCCAACAATCAAATACAAATTAAAGTCATGAAAGAATTTATGGAAGTACAAACCCTGAAGCACTGCAATTCTATTCCTGGCAAATACGACAACCTTCCGTGTTAAAACAAATCTAGGCAGGATTAAAAGAATATTGCCCTATGGAGTTCAAACAAGTATGGATCCTCAGAGTTTTGAGGCTAAATCTAGAAATAAACACTTCAGAATAGAAAAAAAATATATTAATAGAATAATATTCAGGCCTCTTAATTACTCCCTAAATTATCAGTTTCCCTCCTCTGACCCAACACAGTGAAACCAGAGCACCTACAAAACTGACTGATAAAGATTATATTCCCATAAAACATGGAAACTCAACTTTCAAAGCAACAAGGGCCCTAAATTTAATTAACATTCAGTATTGTCACACATCTCTGTCTGAGACAGCCTCTCATGAGAGCACTAAATTCTTCCTTGCATAGAGGCATGAGACAAAAGTAGCACCTTTGCCTTTTATAATTGTAGGGATGGTGAGGGGGACAGAGGGGGCTTTAATCTTAAGGTGCAAGTGTGTGTTTTAAAGACTAAAACCATTTCTGTTAATTTCACTGAGGGATAGTGGGAGAGATATCCTTAGTGCTGGAAAATAGCTGGAAGCTGTACAAGGTAGGGCATTAAGAAAAGCTGCAAAAGAATTTTGGGGATGACATAGAGTCATAGACAATAGAGAAGTCCATAAAAAACACAATGGCAATCTGCTATTGGAAGAGAAGACAAGGGGCAGGACCTAACTGCTTAAAAAATGGAGGGGGGAGAATCATTTCAATAAAGAATGAAAACTCATGTTCTGACTCAAAGCAGATGGAGGTAGAAGATTGATTTTCAATGACTTTGCTTCTGTTTTAAGTAGTGCTTTTTTCTAAAAAAAAGTTTAGTGTACTCTCATTTTGACTCAAGAAAATCACCATTTTATAGTTCAAATTGGGAAAAATAATTACAGTAAATGGACAAAAGTACAAAGATTCACAAAATGTTTAGGGGTATGCGTCCCCCTGTGTCCCCCTTGAAAAAAGAAATGTTTTTAAGAGGCTTTCCCCTTAACAGAGACTTGAGCTATGGACAGACAATTGAGCAGTGGAGGACGGAAATGGTGCAAGGCATGAAAGTCCAAGAACACCAACATATGAATCTGCCATCAAGTTTATCTAATTTGGTCCTGTTCTTTATGGAATAAAATTAAGGCTTCCTGGAAAAAAGCATCAGATACAAAGCATGAACAACAATGGTCTAGTAGCTATTCAGAAAGACATGTTTGAATATGGTGTTTTAGAAATGTAGAGAGAATTTAGGAATCTATTAAAAACTGCCATGTGGTCAAATACAATGGAACAAATAGCTGGATAGGCATACATCAAGCGCAGTTAGTTTGTGTTGGTGCTGCTTCTCACTCAACATCTTTCCAGTTTTAGAACATTTAGAACTTGCAGGAATAATTCAAGAAGAGACTATATACACATTGCACTAATTATGTTAACATTAGCATGGAACATACTTGAGGTTATTAAACCAGTTATGAATGAATTGAATATTTTGGGTGTACTGCATTGACAAACACAGGATGCTAGAGCTAAGCCTCCAGAATTATGTTTTTACACAGTAAAAGTGGAATAGTGTAGTAACTGCTTCATGGAATATTTGTAGAAGAGCCGTGGAGTCCTGAAGTAGCAGCAGTGTTATATTCAGTGGCATTAGCACAATAGAAATATCTGAAATGAACTGAGACATCAGTGTCAATGACATCTTAAAGAGGTGGTGATGGATAAACAGGGCAAGCATTCTTCTTCTGTGATTAATCAACATGCAAGAGGGGAGAGTGAGGATGACCATGCTAGTTCTGCCCCCATTGCTCTCTATGAGCTGGAGAGGGAACTTCTGCAGCGGGAAAACTTCTCTGCTCAAGTAGGCTCCTTGCAAGATTTAGAACCACAGAAAATATGGGTTCTATATCATGCATGAGTACAGAAGGTTCCCTGCTACAGGAGTTATCCCTCCAATTCATGGAGGGAGACTGGGTGCTGGTGGTAGAAAGTTGTACATGTTATCTCACACTCCCCTGTTGCATCTTGTGGAGATGTAGAAGTTGAACATATGAATAGGATAGTAGAGTCAGTTATATGGGGTAAGGTAGTCACAGAACCATAACGCAGCTCAAACGTGAAGTATGAGCTGGTTCACATGACCTGCTAAGCCAAATCTTGGGCTTTAATTTCATCACCAAAGTCCCTTCACCACTGAAAAAAAGACAGCAGTAGGGCTTTCCATCAAGAGAGATAACATAGACTAGGTTGAATGGGTTTCAAGGAGGAGCTAACAGATCTGTTCTACAGCCATCTCTCTCTGGACCAATTCAGAAAATATGCAAAAGCACTGAAAAGAGGATACCTTCCCCACACTTCCAATTAGGGTGACAACTGGTTTTCAATATCGTGATATATCACCAGCTAAACATTGTGATATATTGCTATGTACGATATCTGAAACAAAGAAGGAACCACATAGAGGTGAATAGGAAAATGTCCTGGCAACTGCTACTACTTAGGGTCCAAAACAGATAAATTATGATATTATCAATCACCTCATCATGATCCCTTTGATCAGCAGGCAAGCCAAAACGCAAGCTGAAAATGCAAGTTGGATGGAACTATACAGAGGCAAGTTGCCAGGACATTGTCCTGCTTGCCTCTGTATAGTTCCATCCTTATTTCAGACATTGTGGTAGATTGCAATGTTTACCTGCTGATAACATTGCAGTGTTTAGCTGGTGAGTTCTCGCAATGTTCAGCTGGTGAGTTATCATGATGTTGAAAACTAGATATCACCTAGCCCTTACACACATTGTGATTCGCAATATGCAGCGGTACCTCAGGTTAAGTACTTAATTCGTTCCGGAGGTCCGTACTTAACCTGAAACTGTTCTTAACCTGAAGCACCACTTTAGCTAATGGGGCCTCCTGCTGCTGCCGCGCCACCAGAGCCCAATTTCTGTTCTCATCCTGAAGCAAAGTTCTTAACCTGAAGCACTATTTCTGGGTTAGCGAAGTCTGTAACCTGAAGCGTGTGTAACCTGAAGCGTATGTAACCCGAGGTACCATTATATTGCCAGCTCAAATATAATGAAACAATTATCATGATGTGAACTTCAAACCGGTTTTGGACAATAGATCAATATATCACCCAGCCCTACTTTCAATTTAACTATCTAAGGCTAAGCAGAAACCTCCATATCTTCCTACAGTCTTCTGTGCATACTCCCCACAGGAGATGTCCCCACTTTGAATATTATGCTAAAACAAAGGAACAGGATGCAAAAGTCACCTGTGTCATCCTTTTTGGCACCTCTGAATAACACCAGGAGTAACTCTTTGATGAGAAGTGTTGTAGCATAGGGACTAGGATTGTATTCAGATTGGATTCACAAAACTCTTTCTACTGAAAGATGCCTTTATTCAGACACCTTGCAGAAAAATCCACACGAATTGCACTAATGCAAGTGATTCATGTACCTTAGGAGAGTGTCTTTCATCATAAGATTAGACTACTCTCTCACTACCTTCATCTCTGTCTCACATGGTCATAAAAATTCTTTCAGATGTGTGATGACTGAAGTTAAGGAACTGCCATAGGAAATAGGATTACAAGGCAAAACTTCTCCTTTGAGGGGTTTTGCTGGCTTTCTTCTACGTTTTTACTCCAGACACTCAGTAGCTGACAAAAACTTTTATTTCTTTTTTTAAAAAATGAATGTTGTAGGTAGCAAGCCAAAGTTGGTGGAATTATTAAGCCCAGATATAAAAATCCTTAAGTCAGTGCCTCTAAAATTGTGCCTTTGTTATTTTTCCTCCGATTCCCAAGCCTTTAGCACAGGTTATTAAACTCACTTGTTTTTCTGAAAACAATTAAATTTGTCATTCAGTTTTCAGGATTCTAATAAGAACCTGAAATATTCAGTTCTCCACAACTGTTCAGTTTTATCCATACTAGAAAGGAGTCACTTCACAGAACACACACTATTCTAGACCCAGCAAACTCAAGCAGTGTGTTGGAAAATCAACCATGCTAAACATACACACCCATTACCTACAACAGCCTTCCCCAACCTGTACTCGAAATCACATCATCTCTGACCACTGGCCATGCTGGCAGGGGCTGATGGGAGTTTTAGTTCAGCAACAGCTGGAGGTTGCCTGTTCTCACCCTGACTTAAGTTCATCTTCAATGGTAAGCATTCATGACTTCCTACATTTTTCTTCTCACTTTCCTCTTTTTAAGTAACATGAGCCATGTAAGAATCCTACCCAGCTTCCAAAATGTCTCTTATCTTCATACACCAATGTACTTTTCACAATGGCTGTATCCTAGCACTCTATTATTAAGGAATAGGTATATCAAAAAGAGGCCGGAGAAGGAAAACAAGAACAGAACATGAAGGAATGCTCTGTCTTATCGTGCAGACAGATAGTGAGGGGGACCCCCCAAAAAATAATAATAATGGAAAAACCCACAGGTTAAAGGGCTTTGCCCAACACAGAATTTTAAATTCTGGCCTTCAGCATTCTCATTAAGTACACTTGGGGCTGAGAGGGTGAGCAAAAGTAAGGCTGAAACACAGAAATGAAATAATTTTGACACAACCGCGCTCCAGTAGTCTGGCCATTAGGAGAAGAATGGAGCTGAATCCATTATTCTTTCAATAGCGTCTGGTGCAGCTAAATATGTGCTCACATACTCTCCTTCCTGAAAAGCTTAAAAAAAATTCAATAGCTGCTTGGCCTGGGAAAGAGGTGTTCACTGAAACGCTAACGCATGGACCAAGCACAGAGCAGTACTCTACCTGATGAACAATATGTTTCAAGTACTCTTAAAACCAAAGGCTGCAGGAGAAAAGGGAGTCTGAAGAGGTCCTGTTCTCAGGGGTTCTTTTTAGATATTCTATCTGGTGGCAGCCCTTCGGGTGAAATGTTCCAGCCACAACCCTAGCCCATTCTACTGCAAGAATTGAAAAATGGGGCCCCTCTGAAAATAATCAGGCTTGCTGAAAAGCCTTTCTTGCACAAATAGTTTTAATAATAATGCAAACAGAATTTGGCATCCCTCCCCCACCTAGGTTCTAGCTGAATTTATAGTACCCTGAGATTCTGTTATTACTGTTCTATCTGGCCAAGACTCAGAGTTTCAAGTGGGGAGCTCAAAGATATTCAACAATGTTCACTTTATTTGACCATAGCTTATCCAATGACTGTGATGTTCAACTTTAAAACACTTTAAAAATAAGTGACGCTTACAGCAGATGCAATGCAAGGAATCTGATAGTCCCTGGATTATTATATCAATAACTGCTATAGTATTTTAAAGCACATAAGCAGTTTTGGCATCTTTTCTTGGCCATACTCACAATCCATTATGCACTTCAGCTAGTATTCAGTGGCAAGCAAAATTTTGCACCATTTTTATTCCAGTTTTATTGCAACAATTTATTTAGTTGGGCATGTTTCACCCCACAATCAATTCCTATTTTTTGAACAGCAGTTTGAAACTGTGCCCCCTTTCTTTTTCTTGGTTTTTTAAAAGGTTTTCCTCAGTTTTCAGACGGCATCCCCTTTCCTTCTGCTCATCCTCTGAGTCAACGTGAAAAAGACACAAGATAATCCTATTGTACACGTGGGGAGCCAAAGATGAAAGGTAATGACTTGCCAATAATAGCTGAAACATATAGACAGTGGTCATGATCCAACAAGCTCCTTCATATGCCCACCAGATTTCTCTCAGGAGCATTTGCAATCCACATGCTGTACACATTTCATATATAGTCTCAATACACTATTGCAACCAAGCTGAAGTGCATGTTACTAAAGTGATTGACTAGAGTTCTCCAGCTTACATCTGCCTTCCCTTCTGTTTCCCATTGTGTCTATTTTTAGATTCTAAGCCTCTTGGGGTATGGACTTGTGAAATATACAGTTTGAGGAAAACACCATATATATTTAAATTATTTATTGATACATTCATTTATTTAAATTATTCATACCCTACATTTTGGTATGCCTATCCTTCCAAGATGTCTTACAAGTAATAATATTGCCATGGTTTTATTAAGGTAGCAACTAACCACAACCTTCCCCACAGGATTATTGGTGGTAATAGGTCAGGGAGGAGGGAACAGAAGGGCCAATCCAGCTCTTCCCCTGCTTTTCTCTCTCTCTCTCCTGGGAACATTCCCAAAGGGCAGTTGATAGTAGAACTGCCTATGGGGGCAGTGGGGGGGGGGGAGAGAAGCAGTACAGTCCTGCTAGAACACGTATTTTCTTTGCTTACCTGCCTCTTTCATCTTCCTGCCTCCCACTTCTCAAATCCTTTGCATATGACAATTTGGAGAGCAGCTGGGGGAGGCTCCAAGGTGGTCTTTGCCTTCCTCCTTCGCTCTCTTCTTGAATCATTCTCCATAAATACATACATACTTTTTTCCTACACCCGGGTTATTATTGTGTGGAAATACTTGTTTTCACTTATGCTTCCATCTGACTAGCCTAGAACCAGAACCAGACTCTTGAAGTGGCTTGTCTAGTTTCTTGCTCCCACAAAAGGCTTTCATGTTAGAGGCAGTGCATTCAGCAACTGGAGAGAACTAACTTTCACCTTTCAGTTGTTGACTATTTATGTTCCACAAGGCATGAAGATGGTGGCCATCAAACAGGGTAAAAGCTGATATAGTGTCTCACTCTTTTATTCCTTTCTCCAGTTACAGTACAACCTCTACTTATGATCATAATCCGTTCCGGAGGCCCGGCCACTGGGCGAAACCAGACTCTAGTAGAGGTGCCATTGTGCGCATGCACATTAAGCACCAGCACACTTCTGCGCATGCGTAGAGGCGGCAGCCGCTTCCGCGTATGCACAGGTGGCAGGCGCCGCTTCCGCGCATGCGCGAATTGCAGCAAACCCAGTGTTTACTTCTGGGTTTGCCACGGTCGCAACTTGGAACGTCCGCGAGAAGAGGCAGATGTAAGTCGAGGTTCCACTGTACTTGGCCTGTCAGGGAAACTAAAGAGAAATAATACTTGCACATGAGCTCTCTCTCCTGTGCTACCAATCAAATTAATAATAAAACCACAAGAGCAATTCTGGTTGGGGACCAACTGAACAACAGTCAGAAGATGATTCAGTGGATTTTCCACCAATAAAAGGAGGATTTAAAAAATATCATCAGTAAATGTCCTAAATGACCTCACAAGCAATCCACCAGTTCATGTTTCCTGCTGATATTTAATTTGCTGTTTCGACCTGATGGTGCTGAGTTTCACCACAGTGAATAGCATTGGCCACGCACAACATTCCCTCAGCAGCCAGTGCAGTAAGTGTAGCAAATTGGCATCATGTAATTCCAGTTAGTTCAATCAATACCAAATGTAGCTAAGTTTAAAAACAATGAGATCACTTTTGAGTATTCTTTCAAACTGCCTGCATTTGTAGACAAAATGATTGGGTTTGAGTAACAGCCCTATCTGTCCTAGGCTTCTTGGAGTAAGACAAATCAATAGTAGCTTGCAAAATGAAAATAAAATGATCACACAGGTAGCTGAAAAAATAAATCCCACAAAGGTGCGGGGGAATTCCTGTACCCACTTTAAAAATGCTGTGCTACGGCACAACATTAGACATTTGCGGGATAGTAACAGAAGCTGCAAAAAGAGCTTAAGATGAGTTTAGTAGCAGTCTTGGGTCTCTCAAGGATTGAGGACATTTAACTTTTTAGGAAGGAACAGCCACATGCCTCACATTACTCTTGCAGTGCTTCATGTAATATTTCTTCTCTATTCTGCTTCCTTACATTTGTCAATATATTTCCAGCCAGGGCAGGGGTGTTAACTCACTTTGCATTCCAGTCTGCTTTGCGTCATGGAGTTCCGCAGCCCATTGATGAGTAACATATGTCTAAAATGTGGCCGAGAAGATTCAGGCCGTGTTCAAATAGGCATGGATAACTCTTCTGACCTCTGACTCAGCCTTCTGCGCCATCCCAGCAGCACAGTAAAATGCGGCTAGACAGCTTAGGAACAGTCCACTAAGAGGATGCTGCCCAAATTCAAAAGATCAATACCTTATATATCTCTCTCACACACACAGGCCTATTCAAACTTAATAAAAAAGGAACATTTATGATTCACCAGTGTTCACATTCTCACCAGGAAATTTGACACTGCTTTCCCACCCTCAATAGTGTCTCTTAAGGTACACAGTTGCACACTTGTTTACGTTTGGATGTACCAGGAGCTCACACAGGCCAAGCTTCATCTATCAAATTTGAACATATAGAGTTCTATTAATATCAGTGTTACAGTAAGAGGCAGAAAGCCACCAGGATATTGTCTCCCATATGACCAACATGCAGCTGTTTCATACACTATAAAGAAGCGGGACACTTAAATTCAACAACAACTCTGGCCCAAGTGAATTCCTTATTCATTATTCAATTCTAGGCAAAAAGTCCATATTCTGTGTGCACATGCAGCAAATAAAATTTTTTTGATATGTATGTGTGCACGCATGTGCAGACACACTCACTCATGTTCACAGAAGAGTGAAAAAGGTGGACCATTAAGATGTATATGTGGTTCTGCAACTTTGGCATTCATCCCAAGCAAGATCTAGCATGCTACATATCTTTTCAGGCAGCCAATGAGGATACATCTGTTTTGCTGAGACTTCCATTATCGGAAGAGTTTATAGCTAATTTAAACTAGTTAATGAGGTTTTGACTTTTTTATATAGTTTAAACTACTGAAGTAGTTTCTAGCTTGCTTTCAAAACATTGGACGCCCCCCCCCCCACATGCACAGCTGTTTGCACTTGAGGGAAATTGCTTAGGTATTTATTATTATTGATCCAGTCTTCTCTAAGCACTGCAGCATCCATAGATAGGAACATAGGGGCCTAATCAGCCCTCTCCCTCACATTTCTTCAGGCATGCATGGATTTTATAGGAATACATGCACAGCTTTCAGTTCTACAAAAGAACTGATGTGCAGAACTGCAATGGGGGAAGGGAGAGGGGCACATACAGAGGATATACAGTGGTACCTCAGGTTACAGATGCTTCAGGTTACAGACTTTGCTAACCCAGAAATAGTACCTTGGGTTAAGAACTTTGCTTCAGGATGAGAACAGAAATCGCGTGGTGGCAGCAGGAGGCCCCATTAGCTAAAGTGGTACCTCAGGTTAAGAACAGTTTCAGGTTAAGAACGGACCTCCAAAACGAATTAAGTTCTTAACCCGAGGTACCACTGTATAGCTCAATAAGAGGACTTATGCTTTGCATGCAGAAGGTCCCAGGTCCAATATCTGACAATACCAGAACTTTTGTTCTATTGCTTATTATTAGTGTAAGAGTTTGTGTCAACATCACATAGGGAGGTCCTTTGTTTATGCATTTATTTTATTTATTTATATTGATAATGCGAGAGATTAGGGGGTCCTGAGTTTGGTTGGTTGCATTCAGTTGATTGCAGTGTGGCTTGCTTATATGTGTGTGGAGGGGGCAGGTTGTTGGGTCAGGCTAGCCATATTGATTTGTATGCTGTTGGTGGGGGGGTTATTGTCTTGTTGTGCTGTGTGTCAGTCTCTACAGCCACAGCAGGCGCTGTAACCTTCCAACAGTTTGACTTCACCCCCAAAGGCACATTCCTCCATTGTCTTCCGAGACAGACGGATGCCAACCAACCAGTGTAGATGGATCAATGGTCTGACTCTGCATGAGGCATCTTTCTGTGCTCCTTTGAGATCCCTTAATTTGAATAAGGAAACAGGACAACCCTGAAGTATTTGGTGTCACTACCAGGATCAGTTCATAGCATTGATGCCAAGTACAAATAGTGAACCAAGGTGCCCCTCAAATTTGAAGAAAAATATATGCATCCAAACACTCACAGAAGGTTCTCCATCACAAATCCACACTCTGCAAAGGAGGTTAGAGTTAAGGCAAACTGATGACTCACTCCATGGGCACACTATTGTAAAATCAGGCACACAGCCAACTATAAAGTTTGATTTTTTAAATAATAATATTTTTTTAAAAAAAATCTCTTCCAAATTATTCTTTTCTGGTAATTTCCCCAGGATATTTTGACAGAGCTTGTGGCTGTTGCAGGCAGCTTGGGACAGGAGTGTACCAAAAGCATAGCAAACCATATTTTAAAAATCAGCACTTAGTCTGACATGCAGAGAATTCCATCCTTCAACCACTTATGGCAAATAGCTGAACTGCCAATAAAGGGGGCAGGGGAGAGGAATCCTCTGAATCTACCAAAGGGGGGTGGAGCGGGGGTGGGGGTGGATCTTTTAGCTATTTAACATGCCCTTCTCACTAGTTACCCCTTTTCTAATCATGGTGATTTATGATGCCTTGGAGGAAACCGTAAAAACCTCAACATTGACATAAAACCCAAAATTAACCTGAAATATGTACTTTATAGCAGCTACACTCTGTTATGGTATTATGCTCCAAAGGTACAAAAGGAGTCAAGTTGGCTTTTAGAGAGGGAATTTAAAGAGAAGACCGTGGCAAAAAAATTAAAAACGTTGCAAGTGAACCCAAGGGTTGATGTTTTCTTTTGTTTTAATTTAGGTTTTGTCTTTATTTTATATTCATTTTAAGTGGAGTTACCCGAACCAAAAGTCCCCATGATCGACCAGCATTTGTATGTGTGTTTATCGCTGCACTTAAAGAGGTTTTCATCTATTTCCCTCACATTAAGAACTTCAAGAGGACTATTTTCATTTGCATCTTAAAGTGAGACTAGGGAAAGGGGGGGGGGGTTACCCCAGACACCCTGTTTCAAATACATGATGAGTATGATCTTTTAAAAGAAGGCTGCACTGTCACTTCAAAGCCATTCTTGCAATTACCCCATACATTTATATAGGAGGTATTCTTTTCTGTATGAGGTAATGAGTAGTCCGGATTGTCACTGTGATTTATTAGCACATCCTCTGGAAGCAGCACTGCACCTGCATTTGCACAGATGGAACACCCACGAAGGCGGATGGTTTATTAGGGACAGCTCATCCTCAAACAACCCAGCAGCATTTTAAAAGGAAATGCTCCAAATTTAGACCTGCTCCAACAGGTGTCTTTTACTGTGTTTCTTTGTGAAACCATAAATGTCTTAAGGTGAGGCAAACAATTCCCTGCCCATAATAATCACTCTTTGAAAACAAATATATCAGCCCCCACATCCTTGAGGGGGGAGGGAGGAACGAAGGCCAATGGAATTCTCATTATTTCCTCAACCCCATGGCTTGCCAAAATGCTTAAAGAGATGGAGTTTGGTGAAGTGAAGCTTCTGTGGGGTCGGAGGACACTGAACAGAAGTCAGGAAAAATGGGCAGGGCTAGCTGCTGCCCTGCTTTGACCAATAGGGCATAAGGGGTGAGGGTGGAGGTGGTGCGAAGGTGTCAGAGGCAAGGGATCCAGAATGAAATGGAGTCCATGGTCACTTTAAGGCAAATATTTTTCCATGGACACAAAAGAGGGTACCAGGATATATTTTATCTGTGAGCTTAAGAAGATTTGTGCAGTACATGAGCAGATGATAGGCCTAAATCTCGCAAGCATAACTCTGTGTTGGATCTACGACATAGAATTTAGAATTGAGTTGTAGGTTATGTGTGTAGCTCTGAATAATATTGACCTCTAAGTAAACATTGCAGACATTTCAATTTTCAAAATAAAGGGGGGGGGGAAACCCAACAAGATCCTCACCGTCATTTTTTTTTTTTTTTAGAAAGTTAAGATCTCTAGTGCAACAGAACCTGAACAGCTACATGCTAATGTTAATTTATGTTAATTTATAAAATGCATATAGGGCTTAATATAAAAAAAAATTATTTAAGCAGCTTATATAAAATATTCGGTATTATCATCAGATCAGTCACTATTTCAACAGGTTTGGTCTCTTCCATATAAGTTCCAGCAATTTTACAGATAATCACCATATTCTGCTCCAATTTCTAAACAGTTTGGAACCAGGATTCCTCATGGATTGCCTTCTTCTATATAAACCTGCTCACACAAGTTACCTTTGAAGGCCTGGCTTCAGACTCCCATTCTGCCAGAAGTGCAAGGATGATGACACAAGTTTGGTGCTTCTACTGAAAAGACCCTAAATTAAATAACATCTTCCTCAGGGAACCCCACTTTTCTACTTCTTTGTTAGTTTTTAGACATCAGGTGATGACAGTTTTAGTCAAGAGGGTGTTTGGGACCAACTGAATAAACTATTGCAGCTTTTAATTTATTTTAGTAGTTGTTACTGAGGACATTGGTTTGTTTGGGGGAGACAAACCATGAGCCCGGGTTCAGATGTAACATTAAGCCAATCCATCACTTAACTTCTTGCAGTGCAGCAAGAGCAAGGGAGAAATAAAGCAACTGCAGTTTTCCAAATATGCACGAGCACACATACTCGTTAAACTTAGCCATGGTTTAGCTTAGTGTCATGCTCAAACTGAGCCAGTGGCTTACAAGGTTTAAGTAAACTGCATGAAGGAAGCAGTATCTTTCCCCACTCTAAGATCTAATTGAGAAAAATTTGTGGTGGGTCTATCTCTAATTAAGTTGGTAGCCACAATGGAAAGGGCACTCTTGGTGGTGGCTCCCAGGTTACAGAACCAGCTTTCTGTCAAGTTCAGGAACTTGATTTTTAAAAACAGACTTTTTATAAAATATCTATTTATTTAGATCAGGGGAGACAATGTGGTTTACTTCCAATATTCATGGACTCCAAATGCCATCAACTCAAGATACTTTGGTCGATAATCAGGGATAGTTGGAGTTGTACTTCAACAACATCTGGATGATACTTTTGATGTTTAAAGTGCCTGGTTTTATTTGGGTTTCTTGATTGCTGTTTAGTCTCTCTGCTCACAGTTCCTTTTGACTGTTTTACTGTTGTATTATATTTTGTTTTATTTGCTAAGAATTGAAAGGCAAGTTATAAAAATGCAACAAACAAACAAAATATGGGTTGAAAAGAAATGCTTGAGGCAGAAATAGGATTGCTGAACCCTCAACGCAGATGATTAGGCATGCAATAGAAAGACAGTTTGAAAGCTTAAACGAAACCAACAGTGGCTGTGTTGCTTATGGTATCTTCACATTTAATTCAGTGTTATTTTCTATGAAAATCAAGTGGCTTTTTGCAGTCCATGCCCCACAGACAAGATAGAAAAATAAGTACAGTCAAGAAACAATGGGTTGCATCCAATGAAATAATCTCGTTTGCTCAAGGGCTTGCACAACAGAAGGTCCCCTCCCTCTCCTCATTCTATGTACCTCTCCCAAATTTATTCAGAGGTTTGGGGGAAACTCCAGAACAAATGGGGAGGTTACATGGAGGGAAGAGAGAAAAGAGTAGCTCTGTTATGCAAGTGGGAATCCAAACATGAACCAAACAACTTCACTGGACACAATCCAACTGACTGGTAAAGACAGTAAGTTGCATTTGGCATATGAGCTAGCAAACAAGAACTGCATCTAAAACACAACATAATCAAGAGAAAATCCTCTCCAAAAAGTGATACAGACAACTCAATAATAATAGAAACATAGAATTGTAAATTGGAAGGGACCCCAAGGATCACTTAGTCCAACCCCCTGCAATGCAGGAATCAAATGCAACCATGCTGATTAAGAAAGGGAACTGCATGTGTTATTGTACATTAAGTAATATGGTAGTTGCAACAAGTGAAAAATCAGAAGTCAAATGTTCAACATCAATCCATGGCAGAACAGCAGTCTAGGAAGTTGTTCTAGACACCATTTAATACAAATGATGCTGAAGGGGGGAAATACTTGTGAATTGTCTGTATTGTCTGTATTTCTAGGTTATATAACTATGGTCTGTTTCCAGTGCTAGTCCTACTCAGAGTAGATCCACTGAAATTTATGAACATAAATAACTTAGGCCCATTAATTTTAATGGGTCTCCTCTGAGTAACCAGATGCAAGGCAATGCTTTCCACTCAGAGGCAGTAGCTATGTAGGTATTTCTTAAGGAACCCTCCACTGACTCCAATTTAACTACTACCAATTATTGCTTGGGAACAGAATTAAAATTTGTAAGGGACAGAATATACATCCAGCCCTACCTATATTCCCACAACTACCTACAGGAGCTATCCTTTATTTACCATTACAACAAGTTCCTTGCTTTTCATTTCCTTTAGCAACCCAATCCGTTTTCAGTACCCTTAGTTATACTCTCCCACTCCAAATGAGTTGGCTGAAAGAGGAGTCCCAAAGCTTACTTCTGAAGGATAGATCTCTTAATGACAATTTCTTCATCCAGATCCGCTTCGTTGGCCATGAAGAGCAACCTCTTTCCAGAGTCATCCACTCCAATGAAGTCACGCTGTTCCACTGAAGTAGAAAATCATAACACAAACATTTTACACCTCTGTTTTAATGCAATCTAATGATAGATATTCCAGCTGAAACACAGCATATATAAATGTCAGCAAAGTTCATTCATCAAAGCTGAAAGAATTCCTGAAAATTCTGGAGCATACTCATGCCATTCAAGGGAGGGGAGGCAGAAAAGCTGAGGAAATAATAAGTGTCACCCCTGCAGCTAGCTGCATCTATAATTTGGAAATGATATATGTAGAGAATGCAACCCTCAGAATACTGGGTGAATTTTAGATAGAACTCCTCCCATACATTTTGGCACCGCATCACTGCTTTAAAATTTGCCTCATTAAGAATCAGCAATAGTGAGGTTGTCATCACAAGCCACTCTTCTCAACATAAATCAGATTATTTTTTGACATGGTTCGTTACTGTGGAGAAGCTTTTCATTTTGTACAAGGATATTCTTCATCACCTAAAATCTTGGGCACATGCTTTTGTTTCCAGAATAAATTCTTGAAACAAGTCATCTTTTTAAAATTGACAATACAAAAGTGAAAAGGGCATAAATAGCCAAGTACAGTATGGGTCTCAGGGCAGTGGCAGCTTTGTTCAAGAAACTGTTTACTCTGCCCAAGAAGAATCAAAGCAATCAATTCTAGGTTCTGGCAAGGCAAGGGTTCCAGGATATAGTGGCACCCTGGACAGCTCCATAACAAGAGAGATCAAGCGTTGTTTCAGCACCAGTGAACTTCCAACAGAGCCTTAAACTGCAGCCCTGACTAGTTAGCACTCCCTTTTCCTTTGAAGGGGCTCAATCTACTTTAACAGTCCAATAGAACAAGAAATACTGATTCCACTAGGACTTCTGAGCTGGCATCTATAGTCTGAGAGCAGGGCAACAAAACCTCCTCTAACTGGAGATATACAGGAACAGGCTCCTCTAGTGTCAGAATTTCTGTCTTTAAATGAATATTTGGGGCTGACTCTGAACACAATTCCCTGAATCCCAGGCCTCTGAATCCCAGGCTTCAAACCCTAAGATGGAGAGTCTGACTATGGTCAAGACATTAATAAGTGATTGATAACTGTTAAAACAAACTAACATACATACTTTTAATTTCTTTTTCTGTACATGTGGATATTGGAAATTTTTCAGGACAATGTGGCAACAATGCTAAAATTACAGAGGGATTGGCAGACACAAATATGGGAAACCAGACACAAACATGGAGAACCATTTCAGCTGGCCGATTCTGCTCCAAGTTTGTGAAAACTGTCATTTTCTGCTGGCAATCCCTGTGAAAATGGCAGGACTTTAGTATCAAGAGCACCCAATTTACCTAGCTTTTTCTTCCCTTTATGTCCTGGTATAAGCTCTGTAGGTTCATAAGCTTTCTTCATCAACATGGAGAGTGTGGCATCATTGGCTCGGAATAAGTCCACTACTTCATGGAGAGCAACATCTGTAATCAGATCACAACTCAAAACCAACACATCTGTCTGTCAAAAGAGAAAAGAGAGGAAGAGATCATACACATGCAAACACATCTGATATACAAACTGTCAAGGAGAAGTCAATGTGGAAGGATATCCCAACAAATATTATTATTTTTCTGGAATCTGCATCAAGCTACCAGAATTACCAATGGGCCATTCCACTAAGACATTTTACCTGTGATACTTACTTATAGCATACAAAGCTTAAATGATTGTTTTCATTTCGCATATTTCTGCTGCTGGTGCACTACCCAGAATGGATCCGTTAAACTGCTCACCACCTTTTATCAGGTTACAGAACACTAGAATCGTATAGAAGTCCCTAGTTAAAACTGCTACGTTTCTTGGCTCAGTAGTAGAACATCTACTTTGATTGCAGAAGGTTCAATCCCTGGCATCTCCAGGTAGAATAAGGGAAAGGCCCCTTGCCTGAAACCTTGGAAAGCTAGTTGGCATACACAATGCTGAGCTAGAAGAACTGAGCTTCTTCTGTTCCCATGCTTCCTAGTTTGTGTGCCATGTGAGAAAATAAAGTTTACTGTATTTGATTCTCTCCTGACCCCCAAATTTCAAGATCACAACTTATCCACAGATAAAAGGAAATATGCAAAACAATTTAAATAAATGGGCATTCATTTAAAAAGCCCTTTTGTTTAAATCTCATTTAACAGGCTGTTTTTAAAAAAACAAATTAATCCAAATTTCACCTATCTTAGTTTAATTTTCACAAATTCACAGGTAAGTTATAGCACAATGATTTCTATCCAGAAGCATTTCTATCCAGAAGTAATATCCACTGAACTCAATGGGTGCAAAACTCCAGGTAAGCCTAAGGTTGCAATCCTATACACACTCACCTGGGAGTAACTCTCATTGAACTCAACAGGACTTAGTGCTGAGTAGATATGCATTGAATTGCACTGTCTCCAGGCAAAACATCTATCCTATGTTGCTTTGCACTGAATAAGGGAATATATGAATTGCTGCTTTTGAAACCAACACACTGCTTCAGAAAAATATATTTCTTTTGAGGAGCCCAGGGAAAACAGGACTGAGCTTTCACTGGGTCTTCAAGGAATAATTGTTAACACCAGGCTACCACTTATGAAGTGTAAACTCTGCAGAGATAGTAACATATCCAGAAGAAATCAAATTGTACAAATTCCAGAGAAAATGTGTAAGTGCACTGGTAAAACTGCAAATGTTACCATTATCGAAGTACCCATGTCCCTGCTAAAAAGCTGTTTTCCAAAGATAATGTCCTTCCAGTTGTCCCCTGCCCTGACTTCAAATCAAAATTACAAAGGATAAAACACCACTTGTCCACTTCAGAGCAACCCTACCTCAGCACAGAAGTGATCCCTTGTACAGCAGAAATAAAATTCCACCATTAACTTTTGACAGTTGCAAATGGTCATAAGCTAATCTTGAACAGAGTGAAAAAAACATGGAAGTGTTGAAACCTGTGAGTGCTCGGCCTGTCAAGTTCATTGTGACAGCACCAAAAAAACTGTCGAAAATGCTTTAGCAAAAAGTTTACGCCGTAGCCGCTGTTAAAGACTAGACTGTTCTTTTTCCATTAGGAAACCTCTTTATTTCAAAATTGAAAAGAATTCACATCCACGATGAAAACTACGTCAGGGCCACGGACATGCCTTTAGAAACAACTATCTGGACTTGTTAACTCAATCGTGCAATTATTTAACTATGCACTTTAATCTGTCACCCTAGTAAACTGCCAACAAGGCTTTCATAATTGCGAACAGGCTTCTAGTTTTAGGATGAACTTTGGCAAAGGCTGAATGCAAGACCCCCGAGGAGCGCAGGGGAACAGAACCACCAAATGTCTGGTTGCCATCTGTTCTACCCATTTACTCTCTCAATATGTAAATAAACGTCAGAGAGCACAGGGACCAGTGAAACACACGGTTGCTAAGTAAAGCCCACATTTCTGCCTCTCCTCCTGATGAGCAGAGCAGCGGCCTCAGATGCACGCTGAGAGTACACCATGAAAGGCTCTTTTGGGATTCAACAGCCTCCCCTTTGAAACACCAACACCCTCATAAATAAAGCCCTTACTGTCTGATGGATGCCCTTTTTCCAACGTGGAACCCCTGAAAGAATAAACTAATGGCTGAATGAAAAAATAAACCAGGCGAGCACCCTAGTAGAAGGGTGTATTTTCCTTTACTTTCAATAGTTGGTGCAGTAGAAAGAAAATAAATGGTACAGTCTGTATTTTTAAACTATATAATACAAAAATTTTCGTGATGAGCCACTGATTGGAAGACAATCACACACAGAGTGCGTGTCCACTAGGAAAAGGGGGGGAGCCCCCCGCAAAAATGTGGCCCTACCGCTTGATTTCATAAATTCCGCAAAACGTTAAAATCCCAACAGAGCAAGTCTTTATTAAAAATGTTCCATGCTGGATAGATCAAACCCCAGTTATTAAAAAGGGACGCAATAAGAAGCAACACTAACTGATGCTGAAGTGGGCGCTATGTTTCAGGTTCAGTCAATGCAAACAGAAATAAAAATCATGCAGAACAACTATACTTGCATAACATAGTTTGGGGAAGAGATAAAAATTATACCTGATGGGATCTAAATATTCAAAGTATCATGGGACCTCCCAGATCACTTATAATTATATATTTTTCATTACTTATATAAAGATCCTTTATTTGACACTTGTACATGAAAGCTGAACAGAAACATGGCCTTGCAGGACATCTAGTGCAATCCTCACAAGCTGAGAATGAAGGAAGACTAGAGTGGTGTAGCAGCTTCAGAATGCTAGAATAGGACTTGGGAGACCAGGGTTCATATCCTAACTTGGCCACAAAGCTCACTGGTGACATTGGGCCAGTCACTGTCTCCCAGCCTAACCTACTTCACAGGGCTGTTGTGAAAATAAAATGGGTGTGGGTGTGTCATGTATGCCACTTTCAGCTCCTCTGAGGATTAAAAAGGACATAAATGTAATAATAAAAAATAAATAAACTCTACAGTCTCTGCTTCAATACTTTCACCAAGAAAGAAACACAATTCTAGTGAATAGTCCCATTGCCAAAACTGCTTTTACCATGAATAAGTCACTCTTAATGTTCAACCTGTTCAGACTGTGATTTAAATCATTCAGACCGGTTCCTCAGGAAAATGTTTGTATTATCCCCACTTTCGCTACCCTAGGTCCTTGTTAGATAAACAGATCCCAATTTCCTTTTAGTGTATTTTATTTCTTTATGGGCTTATATAGTACACAATAAACAACTTGTTACCCACAAAATCACTTAGGCCGAGTTCCTTGGAGGAAAAGTGGGATATAAATTTAAATTAACAACAACAACAACAACAGTAACAAACAATACAACCCATACAACTTATTTACTTAACGATTTACTGCTCTTATTACCTAGCTTTTAGTATTTGAATTTTTCTACTTTGGATTTTAAAAATCTTTTTTCTGTCTTTACTCTACTGCTTTTTATGGAAATTGTTGTAAACCACCCTGGAATTTTCAATGAAGGGTGGCATATACAGTAAATGTCTTAATAAACAAACAAAATAGAATAAATAACCAGGATAAAAGGCCAAGACCCATTCTAAAATATTTAATTTCAAGCACAAACTTCCCAGCAGTTTGATTCTCAGGATGGTGATGTTCTTGTTTCTCTTCCCTATAAAAACTGCACTGCCAAAACTAGTTATTTGAAAGCAGCACATGCTACATATGGGGAACACCTGCAACACTCCCCCATACATATCCCTTTCACCCCATACATTTGTGCTTGGGATTCATGCCAGTTTAACAGTGGCTAGACTAAAAAACAGGGGAACCTGTCCATCCATGCCAGCAAAGGCTTGCTTTCTGCTGCTAATAACCATGTCTGCAGAGAGCTGAAATGGGGTTTTGGCTAAGGAAAGGACAGGAAAGATGCAACTACACTCTGGTTAATCTAATCATCCCATTCAACCCCCAACTACACCAGAGCACTTTCTCTCTCTCTCTCAGGTCATTCTGGCTATTTAAAATCTGGCATGCTGCAGAAGTGTGAATTAGTTAGAATTACAGGGGGTAGGGTGGGGGAGGAAGAGCCCTGGTGAGCAAATAGTCCCCTTGCCTGCCAGCCAAACATAAATCTGGAAGATTTAAATGCATCTATTAAAGTATTTATGTCCTACCTTTCCATTTGGAAAAAAAGATATGCCTAAGGTGGTTCAGATCATAATTTTAAAAAGTCAGAATATAAATACACAAGGGAACAAAGACAGGAAATGCAGATCTTAAAAAATGCCAAGAGGCCAAGCATTGGTCAGGTAAAAGGCCTACTGGAAAGGAAATGTCTTCATACAGGGACAGAATGTTATCAAGGAGAGGGCCAGACAGATCTCCCTCTCACACGCACTCTTAACTGTGCAGGGCAACAAGAACCACAAACAATTGCAGAGATAATGCTCAGCTGAAATGGAATGAAATACATCTTTTAAATCTAGATATTGATGGTATTTGAATTTGAAGCTATTTTTGGTTCTGTACTTTCTAGATTCCTAGTTGGACACAGTACTACAACTACTACTGCTGCTGCTGCTGCTGCTACTGCTTTATTATTTATACCCCGCTCATTTAGCTGGGTTTCCCCAGCCACTCTGGGCAGCTCCCAACAGAAGTTGTAAGTTATCACTCATTTTAATATGATCTCACACTTTTGGAGTAATGCAAGAACAAAGAACATGCAGGAACAAAGAACAAAGTTATCCTAAAATACAATTATTTGTTTGTTTATCCCCATTTTAATAGTGGTTGGGTTGAACAGACCATTTTCAGCATCAGTGTATTTTCCTCTCAGTTCACTGACTTACCAAGCATTGACTGATGCTTAGGAGGAAAGGAAATGTATCAAGCTTGTTGTGATCTACAGAATTGCAGTAAGTACGTCAAGAACTCAAACAAACCTCATAATTCAACATGAAATACAAATCCTTCGACGTTTCTTCACAGCACTGACATGGTCTAAGACTTATATAAATCTCATCAATGAAATGTCTATCAATTCAGCAGTTCCCCCAGAACTGTATGTAGTGAGACTGTAGTGCATATGGACTGTAGTGAGATCTTTATTCACCTGTTGAGTATCTCACACATCTGAAATAGAACTCTATCTTGACAGTGAAAACTCTCTACGTCCACATGAAAAAGCATTTCAATTAATGCACCGTCCTCATCACTAGACTTGATATGCCTCATACAAACCTACTTCTACCAATAATATCAGAAAACCAAAGACTCATAGGAGGAACACATGACATGGTTGGTTGCCATGCTCTTAATGCTCCTCCTGGGAATAGGAGCAATGCTAGCATGAGGAGAAAACTCTTCCCACAAGATCTCTGACTTTTTACCAAATGGCACATGCAACAAAGGGAAATGTTGGAAGAGGTCCCTGCTGGATATGGTAGAAACCCAAACCACATAGAGCCACAGATGTGACCAGGAAGTACAGCTCCTTGACAAATATAGGACAATAGTTCTCCTATTTTCTTTGTCTCCTGCCACACCCTTTTAATTAGGCAGATATAGCTGGATCATTTGGACTATTTGATGAGAGTTTGGAATATGAAGCTAGTATGCTGGAGTATATGCATGTGTTCCCATATACTTTATTTTGTTTTTCCTAAGTATTTCTCATGCTGTTAAGTTCTTCTCCGCCTTGTGTCACTAGCTATACTCGGGCCAGCTATTAAGTTGTAGTGTTACAGCAATGGAATTTTTTTACATTTTCCTTCCTCAATGAGTTCTTAGTTGGGTGATGGAAGCCCTGACTAACACACAGCAAACCAGTCTTCATTATTTAACCTTCCATTTTTGCTAAGACATTGACTATGAAATAATGTTCTGTCAGATAGACTACCTGGTTTCTCCTTATTTTTTTCAAAGTAAAGTTTTTTAAAAGGTTCACAATTCTTCCACAGATGGAGAGAGAGTGGAATAATGTCTCAGAACAGCTAAACAAAGACCGAGAATCCAGATCTTGTTTGGTATGTACATCTTTTGGAGCCACATTGTGGAAAGTGTGATGTCACAGCAGTGGTCTGTATGCTGCTGAGGATCACTGATCCGTGTAGTCTTGGAAGGAGCAGCTTAGCGCTTCACTTCCTCTGTTGAAAAATCTCCTTTCCAAACACATGATGTAAGAAGGCTCACTGTAACGGCTGGGAGGTGGAATCTGAATCTCTTGTACAGTTGACGAGAACTTGGTGACCATGGAAAGAAAAACTTCAAACTCATATTAGAGATATTTTTGGACTGTTTTGGTGGATATTTTTTTTAAGTACCATGAAATTCATCTATGAAGAGACAAATGGGACCTTTTCCTCCCTCACTTAGGAGTGAATTTTGAAAAAGATAAACAGAGCAGTTAGTTTTCTTAAAGCATTTCACCAGACTCCTTTAGTGAGGCTGAAAGGACATTCTCTGTACTTTAAGGCTGCAGTGCGTCCCTCTAAAATACAAATAAAAATTGCTTTGCCTCACTTACCTCTCTTGATGGCTCCATGGAGACTCTTGTGCTTTGCATATGATGTTAACACGTTGTATAGAAAAAAATTAGGATTCAAGGGATTGGCAGTGGAGTACATAACATAAAAGAGTGGAAATAGCCCAGTTTGGAGCCCAATTCTGATAGTGGAACACATGTGAAAATCATTAGGTCACAAAGTGAAATCTGCATACATTTTTCAGGAAAGAGCCATAAGCAGAAACAGGCAAGAGCCTAACTATCTCTTTGCTAATATTGCATACAAATTCATTCTCAAGTATTGTGGATTTTAGGCAAGAGAAATGCAATCTGAGAGGGCTACTCTGGAAGATTTGGAGGTTAAGTGATATTATGCTTATCAGTTTTTCTAAACAATACAAGTTTCTTTTATGGGCTGTTAATACCAAATTCCCAACACGTGTGATGGGGGATACACAGTTGTATTTATCTGCTCTGATGCTATGCAAAGATCTTGATGGGAGACTTGTAGAGTTAGAATAATCAAGGCAAGGAAGATGATGGTCCAAATTCAGCTTGAAGAGAAGCATAATTGCTGCTGCTGTAGAAGAGTAGAAAGCTGGAAGGTTGCATATCCTGGGTCTTCAAGGCTTTCATTGAAGCTCTTTAAAGGTGGCATACATTAATGTATGAGATGGTAGGTAGCACAAGAGAAGGTTCAAGGGTAAAGATAGAAGATGGAGAACCAAGTTACAGTGCTATAAAGTCAAGTGGGTCTTGTGGAGTAGCACTTCAGGAAGGAAAAGACATCTTGGCAGCAGTGGTTTCAATGAAAAGTGCTTTTAAATCTCAGAAAACTGAATGATGAAATTTTGTCCAGCTTTAGACTTCCCACTTCCTGCCAGGTGGGAAGGGGGCACATGGAGTGATCTGGGCACAATGCCTCAAAACATAGGAAGGCAATGGATATCCTCCCACCCCACCCCAGCTCAAAAAAATTACTTGTACTGAGAAGTCAAATCTTAGCCTTTCACGTTGAAAACTAATTCTGTTCATAACAGCTGTGGTAATAAAAGTTTCCACTTCATCACATGGTAAACAGATATACAAGTCAAATTAAAACATTATAACCAGAGTACCAGGTGGAACATGTGGATCATTTCATGGCCTAAGGCAGCAATGAGAAACCTGTAACCCTGCAAATGTTGTAGGACTCCAGTTCCCATCAATCCCAGCCACCATGGCCATTGGTAAGATATGGTAAGAGAAGGAGTTCAGCAACAGCTGGAGGGGGCTACAGGTTTCCTGCTGCTGGCATAAGGTGACCTAGAATTTTCTTGAATTTACTGAGGATACAATAGATGCATCTTGGCAAAGTCTGGGATCAGAATGCCAATATGCTAACAATCACAATCTGCATCTTTAGCTTCTTCACACTAACTCCTTTCCACCCTCTCAGTTAGTTGCCAGTTATGCACTTTCCTATGTTTTCCACTTGCATTACAGATGTTACACCAAATGACTTGCTATGGAATTACTGAAATGGCCAGGACTTCCAGGAATCTCCTTGGGAAGATGGCCTGCATTGTACATTATGATGACTTCAACAAGTTCATGAACCCCTTTAAAAATAAAATAAAATGGAAGCACTCAATGTTACAAAGGCACACAGAGAGCAAGACAACGATACAGAGTGCTAAAACGTCTGCAAATGAAAGCTATTTCTACAGAAGACTTAAACCAAAGATAGACAGCACTCGGCAGCCAATGAACAGAATTCAGTATAGCTTCCAGACCCTCTTCATAGTCCCCAGAGATATTTGTATCTTCCTTTTCCTGTATCATTACCAGAGTAAAACTAATTGGAAAAAATTATAATTATTTTCATAAATACAAACAGAACAATGTACCCATTCAAGAACTGCTTCAGTAACAAGAATCTTGGCATTAATTGTATGTATGTAGCATTGTAGGTACCGTATTTTTTGCACCATAACACTCACTTTTTTCCTCCTAAAAAGTAAGGGGAAATGTCTGTGCGTGTTATGGAGGGAATGCCTACGGGTGGCATGCCTACGGATTTTCCTCCTCTAAAAAACTACGTGCGTGTTATGGTCGGGTGCATGTTATAGAGCGAAAAATACGGTAATTTTAAGAACCACAGATAATGCCTTCAAAAGCCATACCAGGCAATTTGCTCAGGTGTCTCTCTAAAGTTTACCCTTTTTACAAAGGCTAAGAGGATATCTGAAGGTTACTATAAGGATCTTATTAGTGAAAAGTTCCACTGCACTTCTGAGCTTTTGACTATCTTTTTATATACCTTCCCTTTAATCTTGCCTCTTCTCCTAAGCCTCTGAAGAAGAGTTGTAGAGAGGACCAAGAGACACAGAGGAACCTTTAGAAATCAGTTCAGGTGGCTCCCAAAGAATCATTGCAGCTGCTATCCAATGGAGTCTAACATGTGCAGAGTCATGTGAGAATAATTCCTAAACAAAGTGTCTGGTAAGGCACCGCAGGGATGTGTATTGCAACATCACTGAAACCCTTGGAAAATTGCTGTGTTAGAACATGGTTGTCTTCTGTTTGGCGTCATCTTGCTGAGGATCTACCAGAATTTTTTACATACAACACTGGTACATAATGCACATTTGCTATACTCCAGCCCACACCTGTGACATCATGGCTTATTCTGCTAGGTAGCATGACTTAGGACATAGGATAAGAATGGCTGTGCACAATACCCTATCTAAACACACAACAAATCTGCAATCAAGCAGAAAATCCTCCAGACTTGAATTAAAGGGAAGAATAGATAAATGTGAGGAAACCACTTGAACTGGGGTAACAAACAATGCACCATGTCTCCAAATGTATGTACCTTTCATGTATTTTTAAGCAAGTCAGCTGAGTGCACATGAAATTAAAAAACATTCTGATTTTTTCTAAGAACACTGAAAAATCACATGCTAAAGGTGACATGGCATTCCCAATCCTGAAATTCTTTTATTAATTATACAAACTAAGATTAAAGAAGGGATTAATGTTTAGAAAAGACAACATTTCTTGGGCAGCTCTGGAACAAGAGCAACTCAGAATATATCTGGATTGTTGTTACGAATCAGTAAGACAGCCAATTCACATTTGTGTTTAAACTGACCGGGGGGGGGGGTATTTTATTTGCTGTTTTTGAACATTTTGGATTTTTAATTTTGTTTGAAAAACATCGCTTTTATTTTAACTGGAATATTTTGAAACTGTGTTTTACAGTCAGTTGGTGGGATACAAATCCAACAAACCAAACTGTTTTACAAGACTTTTCTCCACTTTGTTACTCAGCACCTGGGATGAATTCCAGAATATATCGAGTCCCCATTGTCTGCTTGCCTGCTTTGAAACCCTCCCTTGTCTGCATGCCTGTTTGAAAAAGATTTTAACCAGTCAAACTAGCAAGGTCTAATGTATGGCTAGAGAAGAGAGAGAAGACAGCCACCTGAGATTCCAGATTTGAGGAGGCATTTGCATCAGCTGCGTGGGAAAGAGCAAGTAAACCATCTCATTTCAAAGGCAGCTTGTATAGAAGGATATTTCAGCAGATCATGTCCCATTTTAATTACTAGGAAAGGCACTATTTGCCTTTGGCCAGCTCTGCTAAAGGCTATAATAAGACACCACAATCTTTCACATGAGGAAGTAGCACAACAATGGGCAAGGCAACCACGTAAATAAGTAGTTTAAGATTATGCGTAAATATCTGAGAAAATACTTGGTTATTAGCTAGCAATGGTGTTTATGCAATGGAGATTATATAATTATAACAAAATATCTTACAAGAGGGAAAGTACTGAAGGCATGAAACAGTGTGAAAAAGTTTGGTTTACATAGGCTCTGGTTTGGGTCCCCCCCTCCCCCCATAAATCTAAAACATTTTTTACAAAGCTGTTTTACCGATATCTTACACCATGAGAAATACACAAAAATGGTAAGAATCCATCCTTTTTGTTTCTGTGTTTCAAAAGGACTAAGTCTCTTAGAAGAATTATTAGGCATCTGGAGTGAACGTATTTATTATTACTAGATTTGGGAATAAGGGTATTAAACAAAACAAATAATGGAATTAATATTTCACATTTATTTATGTATTGCATTTATATCCCACCCTTCCTCCAAGGAGCTTAGGATGGTGTACATGACCTACTTGTTCAAATGTTGAATTATCTTAGATGCTGTGCCCAGGGATTGACTGAAATGAACAGCAAATCTATTCACTGAAATTCACTCAAGTACAATATAATGGAGAAATAGTAAGTTCAAAAACATATCCATGACTTTACAAGGTCTGGCAGATTGCTAAAATTATAAAATTATTGGCTGCATATAGGCATTACACTATAGTTCAGTGAGACAAGAACAAGCTGCAGAAAACCTCTGGCTACCATGTTCTGCCCCTGCCTCCCCACTCTGCTATGAAGTTGAGATTGGATGCTTTTAGTTGCACAGCAACAGTTCAACCACAGTTTACAGTTTGGAATAATGTTAACTATGGTTCTTTTAAATAAGCTAGTTTCATCACTCATAGCACAAAGTTGACTTGTTTCAAACCATAGTTAGTCAAAGTTTGTCAGATTTTGATAATACAGTGGAACCTCGGGTTGCAAACGTGATCCATGCGGGAGGCATGTTCGCAACCAGCAGCGTTCACAACCCGCAGTGCCGCATCTGCGCACGTGCGTGACGCAATTCAGCACTTCTGCGCATGCACAAAGTGTGATTTAGTGCTTCTGTGCATATGCAAGCGCCGAAACCCAGAAGTAACCCAATCCGGTACTTCTGGATTCGGCGCGTCCGTAACCCGAAAACGTGCAACCCGCAGCGTTCGCAACCCGAGGTATGACTGTACAACAACCACAATAGAAGCAAATGCTTCCAAACTCCTTCTCACAGTTGCATTGGAGAGCAAAGGTTCACTGCAGCTCATTTTATCATACTAAATTGTGATTTAGCATGATGTACCATGATTAAGAACAACCATTAATCTGATACAGGAAATCTAGATATGGGAAATCTAATTCTTTTTTTCCCTCTTCTATTTCTTCTATTTATTTATTTTTAAGTTTATTTCATTTCTTCATTATAGAACACTTATTTGTACTAATTGTGTTATTAGCTTTTCCTTATACATAACTGCATTATCCATATCTACTAAAAATTCTGTTAAATGAATAATTTAAAGTAAAATTTTAAAATACAGTAATACCTTTATTTTCTCATGAATATGCCGCAGTGAGTCTGCAGTCCCCATATCGGCATCATCAGTAATACATACAATATCAAGCTTCAGCTTCGTCTCCAAGTTTAGCACTTTCTGAACTTCTTTTGTTGTAACCACAATGACTTCTAAAGTGCAGAAGAAAATGTTGTATGAGTACAACTATGAAAAGTTATAACATTATTATGCTCGTCTACTGAACTGAATCTGAATCAATCAAAGCTTGTTTTTCCCCAAGACCAGCTGCTATTGTGAGAAATCTAGAAAACCTGCTTTTTACTGACTAAAAATGATCTGCAGTAGAATATGTAAATAGTTAACATTTTGTGGAGTTAAGTATTTTATGACATTATTTTTATATTTGTGACACAGGAGCCTTGAGGACAACAGTCTCACCTAAAGGAGTTCACAATCAAAGTATAAGAAAGTTAGCACCTCTGCTCAGTGTGGCATTCCATGGACTTAAATGGACACTCAATATTTACATGAACAGATCATGTTTGAAACATGTGACTTTATAGGTACATAAGAACACCTCACTCTGAAGAGTATCTAGAATGCTTAGTTTGGAAGTGGGAAATACAGATCCAACTCCTCCATTAGGCTATTAATCACACACCTTGGGTAAACCATCAACTCTCAGGGCCACTTGTTAGGGGTAGCAAAACTTGTTGGGTAAGTTTGGCTAATGTCTGATCTCTGGCAAGAGTACCTGCATGAGAGGAGCAATTGAAGAACATCTGTTTCCCAGTACCCCACTTTGCAGCTATCACAATTCAGGAGAACAGGGCCAGAAGCCAGATGACATCAATGTTTAATACCATAAGTAGTACCTGGTATTCCAGATTTACTATTGCAGAGGCAGTAATCTACCTATAAATCCAATTTTACTACTGTGAATTGCTCTGAGAACTATTAGGGCAGAAAAGCAGTATACAAACAACAATTTACTATTTGAAAGCTATACCTGGAAAATGTTACCTATGCACTTGGAAGAAAGGTACTGTATAAGCCGATTTTTTCAGCACATTTTTTATGCTGAAAAAGCCCCCCTCGGCTTATACTCGAGTGAGGGTCCTTTCGGGCTGCTCCTTCCTCCTCCTCCGCCTTTGCCGCTGTAGGCGGCGGCGGAGGAATGAGCAGCCCGAAAGCAGCCCTTTTGGGCTGCTTGTTCTTCCTCCGCCGCCACCACCACCAGGTTTGTGGTGTGGTGAACAGGCTTATACTCGAGTCAATAAGTTTTCCCAGTTTTTTGTGGTAAAATTAGGTGCCTCGGCTTATATTCAGGTTGGCTTAGACTCGAGTAAATACCGTACTTTAAACTAACTGCAAGCCACAATCTGGTGAATCATATTAAAATGAACCAAACTATTCTAGAGAAATCCAGATTCCGCATAGCTGCCCCATATTAAATAGGCTCTTGAGAGACACATATATTCTTTATATTTAATTGTGGTGGCAACCTAAAAAGATGCATACATTCAATTTTTTTCTGTGTTTTCATCACAGAAGTTGGCCCTACAAGAACCCCAAAACTTTAAACTTTCTCAGACTCGAAAGGCATTTTTGAAACTTGGCACAACAGTTTTAAAACAAAAGATAATGCTGCTGATGTGCACTGTTTTGCTGCTTGCATGCCAAATCCCAAAAGTGAAAAGCAATAAGAATAATTCTGGCATATGCATCCCTCTGGATCATGACCATACTATAGAACACTCATATATAACACCAATGCATATAACCCTACACTTAAATACAGGAATTACCAAGCTATATCAGTCACAGGATCAGAATATAAGAAAAGCTTTTCAGGACCAGAACAGAGATCCATCCAGTGCCACATCCTGTTCCACAGAGCAACCAACCGGTCACCTCTGTGGAAGCCCATAAGCAGGACTTGAGCACAATTCTCAAGCAATTCTCCCATTCTTGTTTCCCAGCACCTGCTGTTCCACACACCAGTGTTCAGAGATACTGTTCCTCTGATCCTGGGATCATGACTAGTAGCCACTGATGGCTTTTACTATCCACAAATATGTCTAATTCCGCTTTAAAACTGACTACATTAGAGGCCATCCCCAGATCCTGTGGTAGTAAATGCCATAGTTTAACTATATGTTGTGTGATCCCCTCCCTCAAAAACCCCTTGAAGAGTAGGGTGACAGTTTGGGTTTATTTGGCCTGCATATATGAAGCAAAATCCTCCAATTTTGCTTCTTCTTTGTAGCTCATTTCTACACCTGCTGCAAACAAGAAATACAATGCCATCTCTCTTTTCTTTCTGATATTATGTGTAATTTGTTCACACCACAAGTCATCTTATCATAGGCATTCTGCAATGTTTGGTGCTCACCTTCAAAACCAACTTGTTCCAGCAGATTGAGTGGGTACCATATTAAGGGTTTGTTGCCAATAGGTAAGAGAGCTTTAGGGATGCTTGAGGTCAGATCCATCATGCGGGATCCACCCCCAACCGCCATCACCACTGCTTGAAACTCCATGGCAAAGATCTGGAAAGACAAATTAGAGAGCAATCTAGAAACAGAATCAGCAAATACGCAGTCACCTGGGGAAGAAAATGCAGAGCTAGTGTCACTCTGAGGCAACTGCCCCTGAACTTATCTACAGGCACTGCCTTGGAGCACAACCATCACCCTAATCTCTTATTTACGGACAATTAACACGCTCCCAACCAGGCTAACCTGCTCTCAAAGGATGTCTACCTCAGAGCTGAACTCAAAATTTGAAACACAATGATCCAGTTTATAAAACCAGAGAGGCCAGAGCAGAATCTTCTGGGACAGGACAGGTTGTGGTAGCTCGGGAGAAACACACTTTTCATATGCTCAGAGGTTTTTCCTTTATTGCTTCATGCTGAATTTTACTTTTGTGTTTACAGTACTTGCCTTACTGGGTTGGCCTGGCGAGGGCTAGAAATTCAGGCAAGCAAGCCAAAGGCGTCCCACAACTGAGCTCTGGTATTAAAGCCTGTGTGCAGCGCCCACGGACTTCAGCCCCCGGCCTCAAAAGCAAAGGAGGCGGGGTTTGATGATGTCCCCTGGCAACTTCGGCCTCTTTTATTATGCTGGACAGCTGAAGACGGCCGAGGTCCCCCTTGCCCAGTCACAGCGAAGAAACCCCCGGTGGGCTCGCCGGGCCTGGGCGCCAGGGCTTCGCAGCCCAGCACACCCCTCACCTTGTCACCTGGATATCAAAGGCTGCCGGTTAGTCCCCTGCCAGAGTGACAAGGAACCAATCGCAGTGACTTCCCCTTCCTTCAGGGTTGCTTCCGCGCCTGCGCCGCCGCAACGTGCATAGGCTCGCGCCAGCGTGTTTACCCGCGGAGCGAATCGATGAGCATCCCCTCAGGAAGAGCGCCGAACAACCAATCCTCCTCCTTGCGGGCGGGGAAAATAAGCCGGGCGCGAAGAACACCGAGCTATCGATTCCCGCAGCGGCAGCAACGCCGAGCTACCGATCTGCAGGTTTCTTTCTGAAGCTCATTCGGATAGGAGGAGCCCATTCGCAGCTGCTGGAGGGAGGGGAGGTGGGTGAGGTGGCTTGCTGCCTCTTGCTTCCCAAAGTATAACTCCCAAAGAATAAAATATCGACTGTTTCTCGTTGGTGAACCTTCGCCCCTGCCCCGTTGTTAAACTGCAGCTTCCACCAGCCGCAGAGCAACATAGCTGCGATGGTCAGGGATAATGGGAGTTGTAGTCCAGAAACATCTGGGCTGAGTAAAGCCGGGTTCGAATGGGGCAAGTCAATCCGCACAACCGGCGCGGATTTATCTCTCTCTCTGTGTGTACTTGCCGTTGACTACTTTTGCCTGATGGGAAGCAGTGAAACTTGAAATCTCACGTTGTTTCAGCTTAGAATATCTGCCAATACAGATAGTGAGTCTGACTGGGTTTTGTCAAAATTGGCTCTGGAAGACATGCGTGTTTCTGAAATGTGAGCTTTATTCCGGCTAGTAGTAACCGAGGTTCAATATAAACACAGCTGCCACGGATTTAGTGACAGATGCAAATCCAGGGTTGTGGAAAGTTTTTAACCTTTCTGCCCAGAAACACTGAAATATCAGAGAGGCTTTAAAAAACAAATTTGTTGGCTGCTCACTATTATCATCTCCAGAAAATGAGGTGAAAAATAAGATTCATCTTCAGCTACCGTTTCAGTGTTTTGTTTTTGTTTTTTGCATCAGTGCATGTACAGAAGGCTTCAAGATGCTGGAGAAGATAGCAAAATTAGAAAACAGGAAGCATATATACGGTACATTGACTCTAAAACAAAGAGTAACAGCACAATATAAAAATAATTAAAAAAACTGACACAGGAAACTGCAGTGCCAAAGATCTAAAAACTACTGAAAAGACTTTCCTAATAGCCTGTGGGAATGAAAAAGGGTCTACCTGGCACAGAAAGCCCACAACATGAATCAGTGCCATGTGAGCCTCTCTGGGAACGGCAGTCCAGAAACATGATTTGGTTGCAGAAACCTTACACAGAAGTTAGATTATATCCTGTCTTTATTGAACATTTACTTCGCTTGAAGGGTGGCTATATAACATTGAGCATTCTTCCTGATTTGCCACTCTGGGGTCTTCCTGTTTCTTTTCAATGCATTTCCCTATCACTTTCCAAATCACAAAAAGTCCAACCTTTTTTAAGAGTGGATTTGCTGCACTAGGGTGACTGAACCTTTTAATTAACTTTAATTGCAGAAACCTTTGGTATGCGCTTAACTCTTTCCCATGAAATACAGTCTCGAAGTGACCAGAATGTCACTGTTGCTTCCTGGTCTGCAGAAAACCAGACTCAGTACAGCCGCTTGACTACAGCATTCCCAAGATAACTAGAAGCTTATTGTGGGGAGGGAGGTCGAACAGTTGAAGCAAGACCAAGAACATAACATTTAGGGGCTGAATCTCTGCTGAAGCTTAACTTTGCTTAACACTGTGAGAGACCACACAAGGCAAAAGAGCAGAGTAATTTAGAACCTACTGAGTTTCCACATGTACGGTAATCTTGCCAAGTGGACTGTATGTTTAGGTAGCAAGCAATATGTCACTTGGGTATGTGTAGGTTAGATATAATGAGTAAAATGGAAAGGAGTTATTTTAATGAGGAACAAACACACTCCCCGCCCCAAAAAACCTGGTACCTAGATATTATAGGTTGCATGCATTGGCTCCCAAAGGATTAGGAGTTCTCATTTCCTTCATCGGCTCATGAAACCTAGCCTATGAAAGTTCAGAACCAATTACTATCTTGGTGCTGCCCTTTAGCTTTAAGCAGATTACTCCAATATCGCAAACATAACTTCTTGCCTGATGGAACGATCTGCCGTCTCCTCCCCCTGCATACTGTTCTTGGGGTTCTCCTGAGTCAATTTGGGAGGAAATGGGGATGCAGGGGGGAGATGTGGGGGGAAAGCACCATTGCGCTAGTGGAAATCCTTGTGTGCTTCTACTTATGGGGCTTAGTCGCTGAATCCTGCCCATACTTTGTGTTCTTACCTAGAGAGGCTATAGATGGATTGTCTAAAGGCCAAAATTAGGCAACAGAAGTAATTTTGAGGGATAGCCTCACATTCTGCAGTATATTTGCATGTAAATTTTAATATAGCCAATGGAAGTACTGTAAATGGGGTTATTTTGTATTTATAACAGCAGTTTGGGTCTCATCGCTGAATGGTTTCAAGCTGTGGTCCCCAAGTGCCTTCTATATGGGAATGCAGAATGCTTATATATGCTCTGCAATAATCACTTAATGTTTCCAAAAGTCATAACATAAAAAAGAGTCAAGCTATGATGTGAACCAATCAAAAATGTTATGCTTCTGCTGATCCTATAGAACTGAATGTTTAAAAAAGAAATTAAAACATATGCAAACATATTTTTCCATATTGTAAGATGTACATTAATGACAGAACTGACAACTTAAAAAAAACACCACCTTGTGTTTATCTGGGCCAAAATCAGGACTAAATAACATTTAGGCAGGGCTTGTGCAAATGTGATGAATTAATGGCAGTTAGGCAAGGCAGTCCATCTCCAGTATTTCTCCTGAGCGAGCTCTCACTGTTTTTGTTTAATACTTCATTTCTTCAAGGTTCCTCACATCTGGAAGCTCTCTGAACAATGTAAGTCTCCTGAGCATGTCTGTGCTAGAGTACAGCCAAAAATGGAATCCCCATCCCACATGAGAGTCTGATGTTTCAAAATTCATTTTCATCTCCATATGGAATGGTGGAAAATTTGAAATAGTAAACTTTCTTTAATTCAAAGACGTTTGGGCTTGGTACATAACACGCATTTGGAAATTCAGAATCATAGGGTACAATCCTACACTATAGCAGAGGTAAGGAAATGGATATGTCCAGTGGGTCAGGTCCAGATCTGGCTCACCCTCTAGGCCACCTTTTGATAGGTGGGTGGTAAAACATTTGCTCTAATCTAATCTAATGCATAACTGCACTGATTATCTCCCATGATCCTACACCCCTTTGCCATGTGTGAATACTGTGTCTTTTCTGAACTGTATTGCTCCAACACTTTCCCCTCCCAATAGCAGGGAGTGCTGCCTCCCCCAAATATGAGGCACTCCATTCCAGCCAATGGCATTGTTGACCAGTACAACTTTCGGGTTAGGGAGTCCATGGGACATACCAGGAGAGGCGGTCCTGTAGGTACGAGGGTCCTAGGCCGTATAGGGCTTTAAACCTTAAAACCAGCACCTTAAACCTGAACCTTTACTCCACTGGGAGCCAGTGCAGCTGGCATAACACTGGGTGAATGTGATCCCGCGGCGAGGACCCCATACTCAAAGTGTACTCAAAGTCCCTGCAGACTCCTGCTTACTTCCTCACACCTACTGTGCATGCGAATTCAGGGGCTATGTGCTCCAGCTGCTTCCTGTTTCCTATTACTTTCTCGATCGGTTACTTTTCTCACAGGTACAGGATCTATCCTGTGACTGTTTTGTGCAGGTGAGGAGGCAGACTCACCTCTTGACCCACAGCAATGCCCAGGATGCTCCCAGCTATTCCTATTTGGAATTGTTAAACTATCTGCTCCAGGCAGGTTCCTGTGACAATTATGCAACAGACAAAGGTATACTTAGCATGCAGGTGGTGCTGTAAGGAATAGTGCACCATCCTTCTGTCAGCCAAGCCACTGTTCAAGGTACAGGAGTCCTGACTGTCACTTCCACATATGGGCCTTTCCTGTTCAGGGATCTTCTCCATTCCAGATTTGACACTGCCATGTGTTTTTTTTTTTGTGTTTCCTAAAGGTAAAGGTACCCCTGACTGTTAGGTCCAGTCGCGGACGACTCTGGGGTTGTGGCACTTATCTCGCTCTGTAGGCCGAGGGAGCTGGCGTTTGTCTGCAGACAGCTTCCGGGTCATGTGGCCAGCATGACATGACCCCGTGGACCAGAGCACGCCAGGCACTCCTGTCTTCCACTGTCTCCTGCAGTTTGGTCAAAATCATGCTGGTAGCTTCGAGAACACTATCCAACCATCTCATCCTCTGTTGTCCCCTTCTCCTTGTGCCCTCCATCTTTCCCAACATCAGGGTCTTTTCCAGGGAGTCTTCTCTTCTCATGAGGTGGCCAAAGTATTGGAGCCTCAGCTTCAGGATCTGTCCTTCCAGTGAGCACTCAGGGCTGATTTTCTTCAGAATGGGTAGGTTGGATCTTCTTGCAGTCCATGGGACTCTCAAGAGTCTCCTCCAGCACCATAATTCAAAAGCATCAATTCTTTGGTGATCAGTCTTCTTTATGGTCCAGCTCTCAATGTGGAAGTGGTAAATAGTGATCCCTCTCCCATACCCTAATGTGATCTGGCTTCATCCAGCTTTACGATGTGGCTCTCGAAGGGAGGACAAGAAGCTTGATGGGCTCAGGGGCAGTGGTCTCTCCTCTTTCACTCACTCTTTGGTTCTTTGGACGTCAGCAGCAGGGCCCTAAGAGTGCCCGGTGAGACAGAAGTTGCTGTCAGGATGCATGAGGCAGCCCCTACCACATTAGTACCAGGGATCCCCCTCAGCCATGAAGCTCACTGTGAAACGAAGCTACCTTATGATGGCACTGTGAGGTTAAAATGGGGTAAGTGGGGAGAACTCTGTATGGGACCCTGAGGGTGGGATTAAAACAAATGTAATGTGGGTTGTATAGAAAATAGCCTGAGATACCACCAGCAGCCACCACCCCATTAATTTTTTTATAAACTTTCTGGGCAGATGAAAATGCCTGGTAGCAATCAACCAGAAGTAATTCTGGGAATGATGCGAATTTGAGGCACTCTGCCCTATACTAATATTATCCCTGGGCTCCTTCCCTAAACCATTGTCCCTACTCCTATTTGATTATTTTCAAACTCCAGGGACTTGTCCAAAGTGGCAGGGGCATAGTACGCAGTAATAAATCTTCTTTGGAATCTGCTGCGAGCATAATGTTGAAAACCAGAAGCATTTATTGCTAGGTGCAGATGTGACTATATGGGCAGTCTACAAGGGAACTTACTCTTGGGTCTTGTACTAGGCCAGCCTTCGCCAACCTGGTACCCTCCAGATGTTTTTGCAGTGCTGGTTTAGGCTGATGGGAGTTGTAGTTCAAAACACCTGGAGGACACCAGGCTAGAGAAGGTTGTGCTAGGTGCATGCAGTAAAATTTGCCTTTTGCCAAAGTTAAACAGCCATTGAAAGACCTACATCCAGGTAGCTGGGATAAACAAGTAGAATAACAAGTACAGTGGTACCTCAGGTTACATAT